TCACGATAAATTTCACAAACAAACACCTGAGATACATCATTAGATTAAACACAAAAGATACCACGAAATGAAGAAAAAGGGGGAGGTGGTCGAAAAAACGAAGACACAAGGCGTTTGGTGTCGGAAACCACAACGGGAGGAGATTAGCTTTCCCGAACAGTAGTGCAATGATATAACAAAATAAATCAGTAAATTGGTTACAATCATAATCCAAATAAGGTTGATTTTTAATGCTTACAAAGTAGATTTTTTTGGAGTTTCCAAAGTATTTTTCGTCTTTAAAATGTTTAAAAAAATTGTATTACTGTTGCTATAAATATTTTGAAAAGGTTAACTGTGGAAGCAATAAAAATATAGGAATTCCACTCAAAAGAAACTTATTTAAATTCCATTTAAATATTTCTTGTTAAAGCCTTAAGTTTTCTTCTTTTTATACAAGTTTCTGTATAAACAAATGAAATCAAATAAATATGCAAATAATCACAAATTACCATTTTAGAAAGGGTTTAAAAGTATTATTAAAATCTATATCATGTTTTTCATATTATTCCCAATTGTTGTGCAGGCACTTATTTACTTGATTAGACTAAAAATAAAACCATATTTCTTGAAATTTTATGTTCTTGATTTATATATATCCATTGGTATTTTCTTAATAAGAATCTGCTCCTCTATAACCACTGTATAAGCCGTAATGTTCCTGTTTTTTCCTGCCGTTTCCTTCTTCATTTTCCAGAGCTACCTGGCAAGCTCATTAGTGAAAAATTACTTTTGCGGTGACTTATGTCATTTTGCATGAATTTGTATTTCTGCTTTTGTTTCTCGCAGCTTGTGTTCTGCTTTTGTTGGCTTTTCCGCTGCGGCTGCCTTGCATTTGTGGCTTGCGGTTGGTCTTAGCAAAGAAATAGCTGGTCATGAATCATCATCTGCATCATTTGGCCCACAGAGACACAGAGAGACAATGAGATGACATTGAGGGGAAAATCCTTTGCCTTTGGCTTAAAGACAGCCAATTTCCACCACCGTTACGTGCTGCAATTGCAAGGATGTCAAGCAAAGCTTTGTGTGACTGTGTGACTTTGGCATGCAAATCATTGAACGGAATGCCAACCGCTCGGAGATTACTCAACAATTTTTTCTCACCCGCAAAATGTTCGTTTAATGAAGCCCGATTAATACGCACACACACGTCATGAAATATTATTAACGCTGCTGCTGCTGCGGTTGGTAATTAAAAAATTGCTCATATGTCACGTGAGCCAATCTCTCTTGTTTTATCGTTTTTTTTTTATAAATTTTGCGCATACTCTGCGCCGCGGGTGGCTGAAGTCAGCACACAAATGTCAACAGTAAATGCTGAAATTTAATAACGAAAAAAATGAGCAGCAACCAGAATGAAAAATTAAAAATTATAACACACCATGTGGACGGAGGCGAAAAAAATATTATTTATATTTCATCGGGCACTTAAACACTTTTACGGAGCGTCAAATCTTGCTGTTGAAGCTTTAATCCGGAGGGTTTAAAAATGCGTTCAAGTGTGTCGAGATCAGATGGAAATCTCGTTAATTAGCTGTGTTTTTAAGGGGTTTTTATAAAAAGATTTTAAGAACTGCTGATACCAAAAAAAACTAGAAACAAGGAGAGGTAAGCAAAAATCTCTTATAATCAAACTTCTTTAAAAATTCTGTTGAATTTCAAGATTTTGAGGAATAGCTTGTTAACAAACGCTTAACAGCTTTTGAGATCCTATACATTCCTACATCAAATATATATTTATAATAATACAATAAATAAATATTGCGCAGATTTATTAAAAAAAAATTCACAATTAATAGAGCCATAAAATATAGTTGTAAACAAATTAAGGTACAAATGGCATACAATATACCAACACAAAACATGCCCTCACAAAAAACACAAATTAAATTCAGCAATAATTCGAATTTTCGCACAGCAAAACTCTGCAGTTGACATTTTTGGATTTGAGCTCGGGTTAAATAAATTAAATTGTTACATGATAATCGCCAAAAAATAAACATATAAATTGAGATAGAGATGAAAAACAAGAACGTTCTGTCCAAACGTTGCATCAATGAGGAATTTCAGTGTGTGCAAATTAAATTAAAATGCCAGCGCGCAAAATGCTGGCAAAAGAAATGTATTTTCTTGCTAGTTTTTTGCTGTTGTTACTTGATATGTGAGTGTGCGAGTGTGGCTACTGGTTTGGCCAGCAGCTGGGGAAAAAAGAGGAACTATGCTGAAAATATCAGTAGGAGTGGCAATAGTAGCCTCGGCACGCTTCATATTGCTCACGCGCTTCGCTTCGTTTCTATTGAAGCAAAGGACGAAGGACGGGCTTTCTTTGCCCAAACCCCCCTCCATCCTTTGCAGCATTTTCATCAGCGCGGCGCGCACACCGCGTTGTCATTTATCAAAAAAACTAAAAGAATATATTTGCATTCTGAAATATGGCATTTTTATGCATTGGTGTGTTGCATTTTGCAAAACGGCAACAACATTCATCCCTTCGTCCTTTCAGAACGCAAAAATTTCATATGAAATACGAATTCATAAGGCGAAAAATACGTGTGTGTGCTTGTGTGAGCTTGCGGTGCGCGTTGTGTATACGCCACGTTGCTCGCAATTTATTCAGACATTCACTTACATATAACCACATAAACACTCACACACACCCGCTTATTTGTTACATCGACACACACAAACACACCTATAAACGCTCGTATATTTGCTTAATACTCGTCGGAAAGAAAGTTTTGCCCTAAGTGCATTGGCCAGTCCTTTGCAAACTGATGACTAGCTGAGATGAGAACTTTGAACTGTTGTATGGGAACAACAAATTGATGGCAGCACAACATAGAAATTAATTTTTTTTGTATAATTTTATTATTTATTTCCCTGTTTTTATTTTTTTGTTTTATTGAGTGGGATTTAGTCCTCTTATCATTCTAACTAATATTTGTTGTTCTCTAAATCAAAATAAAAAAAAACAGTTTTTTTATGTTTTCTTATGGAAAGCTGTCAAAACTTTGACTCAGAGCTCAAAAAATATATTTTATAAATTAAAAAGAAAAATAAAGCAAAAAAACTTTCATTATATACAACTTTATAATCGGAAGCCTGCAAGTAAAGTTATGGATTTATAGCTGTAGGTTTTATGTTACCATAGCAAAGCCATTTTTCGGAAATTTAGAAAGGGGTAACATTATAAAAACTACAAAAAAAAACGACTCAAACCAAGCTTTAAACGCAGATTTTTAGAGAATAAAGCAACAAGCCTTTAAAGATATACAACTTTGAAATCGGATGCGTGAAAGAAAAGTTATGGACTTAGAACTGCTGTTTTTTTGGTCACTTTTCTGCAAAGACGATTTTTTCGGAGATTAGAAAGGGGTAACATCATAAAAATGACAAAAAATCGACCCGAAATTACAAACCAATTTTTAAACGCAGAGTTTTAGATAAAGTTATGGAATTGAAACGGCAGGTTTTTGGTAACTTTTATACAATGATGTTCTTGGAAAATAAATTATGGAGTTATATCAAAAAATTAAAAACCCAAAACTTTATCACAAAATTTAAACGCAAATTTTTAGAGACTAAAGCAACAAGACTCTAAAAATATACAACTTTAAAATCAGAAGCCTGTAAGAAAAGTTATGGCTTTAAAGCTGTTGGTTTTTTGGTAACTTTTCAGCAAAGCCATTTTCTGAAATATAGAAAGGGTAACATCATAAAAATTACAATAAATCGACTCTAAATTAAAAACCATGTTTTAAACGCAGTTTTTTTTAGATATTATATAATATTTTCTTTGACAATGGTGCAATCTTATTAGTACTCTGAAACACATTTTAATCGATTTGTCTTTTGAAGCAAATGTTGGTTTTCTATCAAAAGAAACATTTTCTTAAAAAATTTGCTGAACACAAATTAACATTATGGGCAAGCAACTATTTCAATGCTATTGAAGATGAAGCTGCTCAACAAACTTCGCCCCTGTCAAGCATAAAGACACAAATGGCTGGCATAAAATACAAAGCTTTATGCTTTAATAAAATGCCTCATGGGCTTACACACTCGCACACATGTTATTCAATTGCCAGAAGGCGAGTGGTGATCCCCTGGCTACGCCAACAAATTAAGCATTGACTACAGTGTCCTGTGAAAGAGAGGATGTATCCCTGCCGGAGAAAGAGATGGCGAAATGGAGCATGGCCATCGGCACATGCAGTAGCACCTTAAGCACAGTTCAGACTTAACACTCTCTTGCCCGAATTCTACTTTCGGCCCAACTCTGACCCTTAACCACCTGCCAATGTAACATGCTACTTGGCCAACTGTATTTGTAGTTTCTCGCCACTACCCAGTAGTGGAAAAGTATGCAAATTACAGGCGGTGCTACACCAATAACTAGAGTTTTGATAATAATTCTTGTAATCTAAGATTGTTTTCTCTCAATCATCTCCATCTTTTTTATACTAAGCTCTAAAGGTAATTTATTAATAAAACTCATTATCCAATTTTAACGGTAAGTAGTTATCAGTATATATACTGACTTACCTATTTTAAATACATTTTCAATTAATACAATGATGACTAACGCGTCTACTCTTTTCTACAACCAATTTTATTTCCTGTTTGCTACCCCCTTTAAGTATTTTATGCTTGTTCGTTTTCCTTTCTACTTTACGCCTCGCATCTGCTGGGAAATACTTTTTGGTCGATGTTTACTAATTAACCGAAACATGCGCTCCTTGTATTTACGCCTTACTTTGGCACTTCCTTTTGTTCCACCCACATGAGCAAGTGTTAGTTCGTATCCTGAAGTGTGCACATGTATGCGTGGCATTGATGAAAGGCCTGGGCAAAATTCCGGCACAGGCTTTATGTCTGTATTATTTTGCAATTAAGAAACTGCGCCCCAAAGCAACGCCCATATACTTTTGGCTTAACAGAAAACACAAAAAAAAACAGCATCAGGAAGCAGAAATTTATTGGCTTTAAGGCTTTTGGACAGACTGTTGGCCGGCATTATTCATTTTGCAGTCAGCGTTTTCCTCTTTATATTTCGTCGGGCAAATACTTTAATTGCAAATTGCTCGTTGCGCATACGCCCCGTGTGTCCGTTGTTAATGAGCTGATAATGAATTTATTAAATTTACTACTCGTTTGCATTTTATAGACCAGTCGATAGATAAATTAACTCTCCGTGCTCTGTGTTTTTTTTATTATTGTAATGAGCCAGCAATATTATTTATTTATTATTTATGCAGAGACGAACCATGTAAATTGATCCCAATGTTGTTTCACATTTTACCATTCCTTTATTATTGTTAATTTATGCACTTTGTTTAATAACTTTAATGGTAACCAGAGGAAGGAAGGGGCAAAAAAGTATGTGGGCCATAATAAATCAGCATTTACGCGAATGAACCGCTGCAGATGAAAAAAAAAGGGTCTTTAAAAAAACGATACAAAAACAAGCCAATGCCCTTCCCAGAGTTTATTAATAAATTAAAATTATTAATTAGTTAATTATTCATTCTGTAAATTAAAGGTTTTGTTTAAAGAAAGAATGACTAATAACAAATTTTTAAATACAATATATATATATATGAACAATAACATAAAACCAATCTGCAGCACATTTGTGGTTCGGTGATAAAACAAATAAAATAAAATATAGACAATGCATTAAATAAAATACAAATTAGGTGAATTTTACATTGGTTTATTTATTTTATTTATTTTCGGCTCACTTTTAAGTTTTAATCCCCTTTATTTAGCTCCCCCTAACGGCGTTGATTGCCCTCCATTATGCCGCAAAATTTGTAAACATTAAATGCTAATTAAATTTAAATGCAATTAACTTGAGTGCATGATTTGATACGGACTGAATAAATATATATGTTTCAAAATATTTTATAAATATGTATCCTTTTAAACGGTCGTTTCATTAGGCTTAGCATAAAACAAAGTAATTAACGGCATTGATATTCGTTTTCTGGCCTCAAATTGCTGTTTGAATGTTGATTTAATTGGTTCAGTGAACTATAATGTAATGCTTGTGGCCAAATAGTTGTTGCATTTTATTTGAAATTGATACATTTGTTTATACAAAGTTGAAGCCAGCTGCGATTTTATATCGAATAAATAAAACTTTATATACTCAACAATACCCTCTCATTTTTTTCTAGAAATTCACATTTACTCAGATAATTTTGCTTAAATGGAATGGGGCCTATGAATTTTTCATAGTTTTATTACCAACACAAACTATTTTATTAAACAAAAAACAAAAGCATATTCTGAAAAGGTATCTTTCTGTATTTTAATTTTTTTTACATTTAGAAAATGGAGTTAACTAATGCAGATTAGAACATGAGAACCTTTCGTTAGTTAAGAAAGGTGCAATATTTTAATAAATAAATTCGCAGATAATTTTAACAAGTAGCAATTAAATTTGAGAAAACATTTTATTTGGAATGCCTTTAATCAAATCTTTCTTTAAATCAACCAAACAACGAAACACTGATTTGAAGCAATCATTATTTCACTATGTTACTACGTTGTACAGTTTATACTTGCTATTAGCAAACCATAAAATAAATGACGAATATAGGCTTTTAAAATTGCTCATTTACTCAAAACTAGTTGTAAAAGCAACAAGCAACAAGACACAGGAACTCATTTAAGCTGAAACAAAAACCTTTAATTTATATTAAAAACGGCAACAGTAATTTAAGTAAATTAATTTAACCTTTAGGTTATCCTGGTGGGCAGCAATTTCCAAAACCTGCGCAACGTAGATCACAAAATTCAGGCTGCTGAGTACTTGATATGGTAATAAAAAGTACTATCATCCAAAGATCGTTTGACTTCTTCATTATTCGCTCGTTCAAAAATACTGTATTAATTATACGAGACTTTACAATTAACTACAAAAAGCCAAAGGGTTTTTTCCATTTGGGAAAATTTAACTAAATTAATGATATTTGAGTTGGTAATAAAGAATTTGGTAAGGTTTAAACATATGAAATTAGCTTATAAAAGAGCGTAAAAAGAGCGAAAGCTAGAATTTAATACAATATAACAGCAGAGATACAAATAAAAATTAAATGGTTATTATACTAGCAAATTAATAATTCTTTACTATTATTAGGCCAAAACAAAAAAGCTTAAAATATGAAAAGGAAAGAATGCTTCTTTTGTATAAATTTTACCTTCTATTAATACCAAACTGAACTTATTGGTAGGTTCCAAAACGGATGCACATTAATTTTGGAATTAGATTTTTAAATTGTACCTGTCCCCGTCATAATTACCTAAACAAACTAAAAAATTTTGTTTCCAAGAAACAAGTCCACAAATAAACATGAAGGTAACAGCATTTAATCATGCTTAGGAAAAAACGTTTTTTGATTTTATATTTAATTTATCTTTACAAATTTTAAAACTGTTTCTTTATAATCAATTTATTTTGGAGTTTGCTTTTTGGAATGATAAACACCTCAACGAGAAAAATGTATTTATTCTATAAATAATTAAAGAGAAACGCATTACTTTACCTGAACAGGTTGCGCAGCATTCTGACTAGATATATTTACAATCTTTGGGACAACCCGGTGGATATGCAATTATTATAATTATTACTACTATCCAAAAGAGGAATTGAGGACCCTTTAATAATATACATTTTCTCTAGTTTTATAACGGGCAAGGCAGCCTCTTAGTGAAAAAAGTCACAGAAGTTTGTGCATTTAAACAGGTTTTGCTAAATCAATATGAGATGGTATAATACGATTAGTTCGCGTTGTTAACCCATCAAAAGAAAACAAAAAATTGTAAATGTTTATTGTTGCTATACCTTCTTTTAATTGTATTAATTTTTATAAATGATTATTTATGAATTCTATATATGCTCACATAGGCGTTTAGAATATTTCAGCACAGTTTTTAAAGTTAATTCGCCAGTTAAAGTAAGCACATGTATTTATACCTTAAAAAATTTGAATCAGCACTACAACTGTGGTAATTCTTTTTTTTTCCTTTCGTTGAGCACTTGATTTGCGATTGGACTTTAACCACATTCTGATGCGTTTTCAATATTTTCAATTGTTTAAGTGCCACGCCCACACATACACAAACCGTCGAACATTATCCCTATTGTTTTACAAACATAGACAATGGGGAAATCCTCTTATTCAAGGTATCAACTTTATCTGCAGCATAATAAGCAGTAAAATCGCCGCACCCACTCCATTTCGTTTCACGTTTATTATTTATTTATTTAAAAATTTCCGCCTAGTGTGCGCCACGATGGCCTCTCGATTCTTCCTTCTCTTTGTGGTCCAACCTTTTTAGCCACTTTCGTTTTAATGTAATCAAATGAACGTGCCTCGCATTATTCTGTTGCCAATAAATTTCACGAGGCAAATAGATGAGGATTGGATACCGGTCCCCTTGGTTGTTGGCTACTATTTTCGGATGGTGGCGTCGCTTTCACCCACGGGAACGTAATGTCGTGCATTGTAAGAAATAATCATTAGATAAAATCACATTTTATAAAAAATAACTAAACTGAAAATTAATTGTACAGTTATTATATATTAAACATTAAAAAAAAAGTTTTTTTTCCAATGTAATCTTTAAGGTCATTAAAAATAGCAAATTTGTTTCCGAAAATGCAAATGCAAGCTGAAAGAAAGAGCTTATTACTACTTATTATTACTTACAATATTCATAGACATCTTTATATTACTTGTAAATTACGATTCGGGTTTTTTTAAGTGTGAATATTCCCCCGACTCTTTGCAAACTCCCACGAACAATAACAATGAGCTGGCTTCGATTCTCAGTTGCTGTTGTCGAAACGCCTTTTCCTTTTGGGCAACGTGTAAAATTGAAAAATTCTCTCAAGTAGCCAGCAATAGGGGAAAAAAAGAAACAACCGCAGAGTCCTTGACGACGTCGGGGAGGTGGGGTTTTCGGTGGGCGGTAGGCGGTAGGGAGCTCTGGGATGGGATGGCCGGCTCTCATATAATTGAAAGGGACAACACGTCGAGTCGAGGCTATTAGGTTCGCTGCGCCCTTTATCATTGCTCTTGAGACTCGGCGGCTAATGGATTTCAGTGCCACTCCTCCCTCCACTCGCAAAGACACATAGTATTTATGTATTTTTTGTTATATTTATGTATTTATTTTCACTTACAGTCGAAGTACTCGAACGGCAGAGTAAACATGGCCAAACAGCATTTCACTTCACATATCCAGAAAGCGGTTCAACGGCTTCCCCTTAAAAACACCTCATCGCCCTCAGAACTGGTCATGGGAAATATGCAAAATAGCTAAGAGAGAAATATTTCTATTATTTATTTACTCACACTCCCTATTTGCATTCGTCTGTCCCTTACACGCCGATAAGAGGGGGGCGAGGAGTGCAGGCACAATGAAGCGTGCGGAATGTGTTTAGAGTGAATTTTCCTTTTTTTCGTTTTTTCTTTTGATTTTTTCTCTTTTGTATATTTTTCATATTTTACACTTAGCCAGTGCCCAGGGAGACAGGATAAAGCTGTGTCCCGTTTGTCCCACCTAATGCCCTACAGCATTTTATTGAGGCATTTTAAAAGTTCCACTAAATTTGAATAAAACAAAATTATATACATTTTCTTTTAAAATAAATGATTTTTCTTTAAGAAATAAATATTTAGTGAAACCCAAACTACTACAACTGGTAACAAATTATTTATTTTGTAAATATTCTATGAGTTTAAATTAAAAAAAAACTAATTATTAAATTTGTTAAACAACTATAGCTTATAATAAATTTATTATACAAAATAAAACTAGTTTTATATATACTTTCCTAGCAACAAACCTTAAAATCAAAGTTTAAATTCATTCTTGTTAGACGCAACAAAGTATGCTACAAAACCGGAAATGCCCCGTGCATGCACACACTCAAAAAAAAAAAGATTAAGTGTGGGAGAGAACGAATAAGAAGAAAGTAAAAGTAGAAGGCAACATTGTAGAGCAGCTTCCATTTTTGAGCTTGGAACTCTCAATTGAATCTTGATGCACGTGCCCTGGCCCAGAGCCCAAATATAATTCCGAGGCGGCCCTTGCGATGGCATCGCATTCAGGACTTCCCCGAAATTCCCAAAGGGTACAGGGTACACTCGCTCCTACTCCCTTCATGTCCTTTGCCATTCGCATCCCAATTTATTGGGCGGACGAGGGGGACCATGGAATGCCAAGGGGGCAGGCAGTGGCCCAATGGGTTTTTCTTGTTCTTGTTTCATTCATAATAATTTTTATTATGGGTCATCGGCCATTTGTTTAACGCCATACACATGCATAGAAAGGGTGTTTGGATGGTTAAGTGGGGATGGCATACAGCCCATGGGCTCGGGCCCATTTCATTCAGTCCATCTATTAGAGCAAATGTATCCTGGGCCCGTTTTCCCTTTTTTTTTGCGTTTCTGTTGCTTTTGCTGTTCTTCAATATCTTTTATATTTCTTATTTTGCATATTTTCGTATTATTTGTTTTATTTATGGGCCCATGACTCTGATAAATGGCCGTAACTTCATCCGTCGTCCTGCCCACCTATCAACGTGTTGATGTGATTTCTTTTCTCAGCTGGTTACCTCTTAAAGTTTGTACGTTTTCGGTTCCTTATTTACCTTGAATCGTATTTCGTTTATTAGTATCCAAATATCCAATTTTTAGTAGCAATATATGTATTTAAAAACTAGTTTTGCACAGTAAAAAAGCTTTTAGCATTTAATTCAGACAATTTAAAACAGTTTAAAAAGACACCCCAGATATTAGTATTTTATTTAAATGCTTGTGAAAGAAGACGTTCAAGACTTATACATTTTTATTTTCAATATTTACTTATACTACGGGGTATCATAAATTTGAACCTTTTGATCTGGTCATTCCGTCTACATTTTATCCACATTTTTTTTCTCAGCAAATTATTTAAATTTCTTATGCAGGCCCTCGTACAAAAAGTGAGAGATGGAATGGCACAGGATGAAAAGGAGGATGAGGAATATGTGTGGGTCGGCGGTAGCAAATTGATAGATGTGCTGACCGTCCGTTTCGAGGAATGAAAGTGGCAGCTGCTCGTTGCCTACACGAGAATTATGGTGGCTAATAACAGGTCTAAGTGGTTGCTCCACGGTGTTCCATCAAAAATCGTATACAGCTGCTAACCGAAAAATGCAATTGATTCGACAGTTGGTGATGGTTTTTGGCCCGAGGATAAATCGAATATGAAAGTGCACTGGTCAAATGAGTGGGCCGCATGATTTATCGTGCTTGAAGCTATGAATCGCTGTTTACATTTTGGCATAGATTACTTTTGGTCAGACGCAATTTAATTGAGCTTGATGCAGCATCAGAGTCCCTGGCTCTAGTTTATTCGATGTTTTTTGTTGATTGTTCTGGGTGCAGATGTCAGGACATCCCGCCACCGAGATCCCTCCCTTTTTACATCCTGCCGTGGCTCATCACGCTCGGCTACGTTTTCATTTTGGTTCAGTGTGCAGCGAAAAACTTTTCCCTATGACAAAGTTTGTATCTGCGGATACTCCCATCCTAACATCCTTTCGTTGCGAGTGTTTTATTTAATTTCCAGCACGCGGCCATTCGCAATTGCAATTCAAATTCACATTGCAGCGGAATTTTCGAAGGGTGTCGAGGGTGATGTAATTGGTCGGAGTGTGGGCTTAGTTGGGTTTTGGCTTACTAACTTCTCCCTCAATTTTTGGTCCATCAAAGCCACTGGCAGAGCGTAAATTGAAAAGCTGTCCTGGGTTTTCAGAAAGCAGTTTGGTTTTAAGTTAACCATAGATTACTAATAAATTACTTTATTGATTGATTGAGTTAAAGTGGGTGAAGATGGCAAAGTAAAGGAGAGAAGAAGTAACAAGCTGCAGAAGAAATTCAGCTGAAACTTGAGGAAATTTATAAACAAGTTTAACTGTAACCCAAATAGTCGTATACGTGATATAAGAGGGAAGGAGCGCTAAAGCTTTATGTTCTTCTATATTTTTCATAATATTTTAAAATAAGAAATCAGTCTTAACATTATCTTTACATTGCAAGGCACTGTTTTAAAAAATATGGAATTATAGAATTATTATTGATTAAGCATATATATATAAATAAATTACGCAATTAACAGGCGCTTTTTTTAAAACAATTAAAATATATAATTAATATCGAACAATTAATGTGCGCCCAACATGGGGCTTTTGGTGCATCCCTAATCTTAAAGCATAAAGTAATCATTCCATTCAGTTATTAATTTAAATTACACATTTAACCGACACTTGAAAGACATCAGAGAAATCATGTCATTATGACTAAATTGAATACAGCCAGAAAGGGGTACAACTGCTGTTAAGGATGCAATTATGTGTTTCCATTTAACCGGCTGTCTAACGTTTCGCCTGGCCAATTTGCATTTGTCTAGCTAAGCGACAGCCGGCAATTAAACTTGGCTGCGTCGCGAGCAAGAAATTAAGGGGGAAGTGTGCCCAGAGAAAGGGCGGTGTAGATTCGGCGAGAAAGTTGTCAGCACTCTGAAGCATTCTCATCGTGACTTGTCTTCTTCTGTGGGAATTCCATTGAACGTCCGCAGTCAGCCCACAATCTGTTTGTCTGTGTAAACCTGATGATACTCCACTTTTCCCCCATGTACATTTTCCCCCTGCTGCAGTGTGTGTTGGCAAATATGCCCTGCGTTTGTTTGGTCTGGTTGCGCTTTAATTTATGCCATCCAGCAGCAGTAGAAACTGCTCCTGTGGATATACTCCACTGTCTTTCCTTCCCTTCCCTTCCGTTCCCCTCCCCTCGACCCCTCTCTCCAGTGTCTGTTTGGTGAAGCAAAACCTATTTTCTTTGCAGCTGATTGCATTTTATAGCATTGCAACCTGTCAGGCTAACAACTTCAAACTCTCAACTCCTTTGCCCCAGGAATTTTCAGCTGCACAACACCAGCCATGTCCCCCTTTTCTTTTTACCCGACATCCACCCATGCTCTATGAATTTTTTAGCACACCTCGCGTGCTGCGCTTTAGCTGAAGGAGCAAGGGAGACGGAAAGGGAAAATGAGAGCAATAGAATAAATAAAAATTTATTTAGTGGAAAACCTACAGTTTCGGTACACTGATCTTAGAATAAAGTATATATTTTAAAAGAAAATAATTGAAGGGACACCGATTTAGTTATTAAAAATGGAAAACTGATATAAATATCTTATATGTTGACAATACTAAATTATAAAAATAACAATTGTTTGTAAGCAATTAATGGAAGGCATTTGTGATAAATAATTAAATAAAAGTACTATGTGAACCATATGTTTAGAACAGAACCGTTTGGTTTAAAATCGTTAGGAACTTTAAACATTAACTATTTGAAATCAAATTCTGTTATGTTGATAATGTTGATAATAATACAAAATATTTTAAAAAACACGCTTTAAACCAATCCCGACATTATGCTGGGTGAAGGTTTTAGTAAGTCTCCTTTTATTTATTAAGCCAATAATCTAAGATACAAACTGTTTTTTCTGTGTACCTTCGCATCCGTTTTAACGCATTTTTGTTTACCTGTCTTTGGTTGCCTTCAAATTTATTGGCGCAAATCATCTAACAATAAGAGTTGAAGTTGTTCCGCCTTTAGCCATAATTTGGCCGGAATTGTTAGACTGCAGCCTCTTTTCCACACAGTTTTCCCCTTAAGGCCCGCGGCTACTTTTCCTGACACCAATTTCTATTTCTATTTCTATTTCCCCGTCACCCCCTAAATTCGCCCTCTTTGTGTGCCAAGTGCCGTTATGCGATTCAAGTTGCGTTTAATAGTTAATGCAAAGCTTTTAAGCACCCAACAGCAGTCAACAGCAACTGCAGTCGCTAAGAAAAAATACAAAAACAAATAAATAAAATAAAGCAAGGGAAACGAGTACAAGAAATGCTTAATCCAAACAGGGAAACTCAAAGTCGTGCATACCCTCTAAATATATGTATGGCTTACTATACTATTTTAAGTGAGCTCAAACTGGTAATTTTTTTAAATTTTTTAATAAAAATTGCATTGTGTTTTTCCAATACAAAATTAATTTAAATTCTCTTCAACAATAAGCGGATAATAATAAAATCCTCTATATATTTAACTCCACTCGTTACACTGTTCAACATTGTAAATTCCTTTGCACCTCTTCACAATACCCAATATACCCGGTCCTCTTCACCTTTAAACGCTCAACTGACTCTAACTGTTGAATTAAATTTTCAGTATTTTCGTTTGCACGGACAAGAGTGAGAAGTTCTCGTGCTTTGTACTGCAACAAGGCGAAGCAAGTGCGGCATGTAATTACATTAGCTTTTATTTCTATTATGCGCTCATAACGTATTTTTTATTAATGCAGCATTCCATTAAAGGAATTAATGTCGAGCGAAAAAAAATGAGGGTGGTGCAACCAGAAGCAGACGGCAAAATCGGATAGCGGAAATGGGCGGAGTGTGGGCGGGTAATTAAAAATGATCGGAAAGTTGAGCCAACATAATGATGTGCTTAGTGCAAGTCGAGAGCAGCTGCCCGGTTGCAAGTTCCCTGTCCGTTGGCCAGTAAAATGTTGGACCAGAAACGATGACCCAACAAGTTGTTGAGTGCTCAAGGACCTGTGTCAATATTTGGGTCAACAACTTGGTACACACTACTAGAGTGACTGCTATAACTATGTGCTGTGTATTAAGCTATAGAAATATATGTATGAAGTCGAGAATAGCATGCGGAATTCACCTGCATTCCTTTTTAAATTGAAAATTTGCAAGAGTTTTAAAATAACTGACTAACTAATTTTAAAAAACTAATTAATCACCTATAATATTTTCATCCGCTTTTTCTTTTTGAATTCCTGAAACTTTTCATAATATAAATTGTATGTCCTAAACGTTTATCAAAAATGTCCTTATACAAATTATATGGTAGTTTTAATTTTTTCAATTCAGAACAAAATTATTTAAGCCCTAAATTTTGAAGTAATAACAATAATTATGTTCAAATTTAAACAATTGAACATAAAAACATGCATGCTATTTGCCATTAAAGAGCGAACATATATTAGCACTGCATTTTACCGCAATATGCATTCAACAAAAACAACAACGTTTGCATAGAAATTGCCTTTAATATATTTTTTATAACCCACACAATAATTGAAATCAAAAAAAAAGAGAAAAGCCCCATAACTGAAGTCAAATAACAACAAAATCAAAGCTGAAAAATGCACAAAAGAATATTTTAGCGGAAACTGCAATGGACCAACTATTAATATACACATGAAAAAAAATCAATTTCTTTTTATGGACAATGTTCTCAGTCCCACATTGATAACCAAAAGATTTTTCATGAACTGGCCGAAGTTTATTAAAAAAATGATGATTGCCAGTCCTCCCTTTCTGAGTGTCGCCGGTTGGCCAGCCAATATTTTATTCATTCCATTTTGACATAAAGCTCAAAAAATGCATACAAAAAAGAAGTGTGAAAAGTGCGGTGATAGAGAGAATTGTTCAATTTTTAGTTATTGTAAACGATCGGCCAAGTGTGAAACTATTTTCAGTTCGAGTTTTGAGTTTTATTAAATTTTCCCGTCTTTCGTTTTGATTTTGTTATGCAACTACGAAGTCTGCAAGCGCATGAACGAGATAAAGGAAAATTCAGTGTTTATTGTAGGGCTTGGGATGGGAAATGAAAAAAGCAATTGGAGCTGAAAATTGACTTCAAGAATTGAAAATCTTGAACAATGTTCATTAATATCTTTGTTCTTTTGGCTAACTGAATTTAATTCGAAAATTAAAAGAAATTTCAATTGCAGCAACTTTAAGCTTTTTTTAGTATAAGATATGGTTTAATTACAAAATTATTAAGAAAATTAATTTTAATAACTTTGATTATGTACTAAAGATAATTTTCTCTTATTAATTTATACTTATTTAATGTTTCCAAATTATTCTCAGATTCTCTTAGGAGTCTTAACCCAGCCACTAGTCCTAATCAGCCTCACTAACTTGAGCTTATTGGCAGACTGAGAGTTCTGGGAAATTGTCTGAGATGAAGTGATGCTGAAGCTGGCAGCTTGAAACTTGGCCCAAAGCAAGTTGGCCTGTCAAAAGTTTTTAGGCGGAGCGTCAATGCTATCGTCATTTTGCTTTGACTGCGCACATGATTATTACACGCGCTCGCCCACACACTCACACTCCCACACTCACACACACACTGACAGACAGACACATGCAAACTTTGGACCAAAAAACTTGCCGCAAAAAGTTTTTAAGTAAACGGAGAGAGGAAAGCCGTAAGGGGTACGAAAAAATTAAACTAAAAACCAAACTTTAACTTAATGAAAATGCAATATTTGCGAGGGTTGTGGGTGGCAAAAGTTTTTCTTGCCTGCTGGCAATTTATGCACCAACGTAGGCCAAGTCATGGAAATCAAAAAAGAATCGCGTTTCAGTTTTCAGTCCCTGATTTATTCCATACAAAATCAAAATCGGAAGTATAGTTATATTTGTACAAGTCGAGAAGAAAGTAAATACTCTTGATTATGGCGGGATATATTAACTGGACCCATGAACATTATAAAAGCTGTCCACTTTTCTATTATCGCAAGTGTTCCTTTACCCAAAATCCGCCAATTTCACCATTGAAAAGTGATAACAATTTAAGCGAGAACGAAGTTTATCGATTGCGTTCGGGTTTAGAGGCAGCTGCTTATTTAGGAGATATATCGTATTTATTTATTTTTTTCTTGAATTTTGTTGTTTCAAAAGTAATATTCTGATTTAAATAGACAACCGTCCAATCTTTATCTCTTCGAAAAATTTTAGGAACCGTAGCTGGGTGTTTATGTTGTCAGGCTAGTAATCTGTGAGTCATGAGTTCAATTGCCGCATAAGCACCAAATATTATTCTAGGAACGATCGCTTTTTTATGTCTTATTTATTGGTTTTCATATAATTTCAATACCCATCCATTGATTGCAAGGGTGTTAATACTTCGGCTTGCCAATGGAATAATAAATTGTCATAGGAACATCTTAGATGTCTTAAACAGAATGATAACGTGATGCTTTACTGATTTGCCACATAGTATCTGTACAAAAATTTCAGGCAGATCAAAAATGTGACTTGTTAAATGGTGTTCGGTTCGGTGACTAACATATGTATATGTACATACTTTGAATTAGAGGACTGATAAGCCAAAACAACGAACTTTCTGAGTTTTTCAGTCATTCCCTCATTTCTGGTAGACATGGGACGACACTATTCTTTTGGAGCTCTTCTTCTGGGCTACGTACTTCTGGGCAATGCCTGTGAATATGTCTGTGTTTTAAAAGAGCTTTGTTTGCAAGAGGGCCACAATTTCGAATACCGCAAAGACCATTATTGCCCCCCTCCCCAAACTTGCTGTCAAATTCGCCAACAGGTAAGTTTATAAAAATAGTTCAGATGAATAGTTTACTATTTTTCATTATTTGCAGAATACGAATCAAGAGCAGCCATCAGGACCATCCAGTTCGTACCAGCATCAACCATTATATGATCAAACATTCCAAGGTAGTATTTCAACTGGTCAGAGGCAACTTCCAGCCCTAGCAGTTGCACCAAATGGTTATTTTTCGGGCGGAAACCATTTTTACCACACTGAGTGGGATCCACAAGTGAACGGGGGCTCTCCTGAAGCTCATTCGCAAGGCCAGTGGCCAGGAGGACAGCGTCTAGCAATAGGTGGTTCTATAGGTGCCTATGGAAACAGTTGGAACCAGCCGGAACCAGCATTCTTCGGTGGTAATCAAGTATATGTGCCATCACAGATAAATCCTGCAGAACTGTGGCCAGAAGTGCAACGTCGAGCAGGTTATGGTGCAGGAAACCTACCAACCGGAACAGCCGGAAACAACTTAAACCCAGGAAGAAGAGAGCAACCAACCCAAGGCTACGATATAAACAAAGCGACTCCGGGGAAAGAAGGAGCGAGACCAGGCCAAAATCAACACTGTGGTATGAGCAACGTAAATGGCTTGGGTTTTATCAAAGGAATCCCCGAGGATCAAGCGAGACCTGGCCAATATCCCTGGGTTGTGGCTGTGTTTAGCAATGGAAAATACCTTTGTGGTGGATCCCTGATTAGTTCAGATTATGTCCTAACAGTGGCCCATCCACTGGTTGTTAAGACCGAGACCGACCTTGTGGTCAGGGCTGGCGAATGGAACATGGACACCAACGAAGAGTCGTTCCAACTTGAGAACCGCGAAGTGGAAAGGATAAAGCGCCACGAAGGATTTAATTTTACTAGTGGTGCCAACAACTTGGCAATTCTAAAACTAAAAACTCCGTTCCAGTTGAAGGAGCATATCAGAACTATTTGTATGCCCGTCCCGAAAAAAACGTTCGAACCGCGCCGTTGCATTGTTGCTGGTTGGGGTAAGATGAAGTACCAGTCTTCAGACTATTCGGCGGTACTGAAGAAAGTGGATTTACCCTTAGTGGACAGGCACACATGTGAGCAACAGTTGAGGAAAACCAAAGTAGGTCAAGACTTTCAGCTGCCTGCCAGTATGATTTGCGCCGGAGGTGAGTTAAACCAAGATGCCTGCACCGGAGATGGCGGATCTGCCCTGTTCTGCCCCATCGGAGAGGATGATTCAGGTCTCTACGAGCAAGTTGGCATCGTTAACTGGGTCATCGAGTGCGGCCTGAAAGATGTCCCGGCCACCTACACAGATGTGGCCCAGTTCAAGCACTGGATTGAGGAGCAGACGCTGCCTTTCCGATACAAGAAATCAGGGAGACCATTATATTAGGTACTTTCATAATGGACAAAATGCACCAATAGAAGTTTAATGTAGTAACATGTGTTTGCTAAAATTTATGTTGCATTAAAGAAAATAAAAAAAAAACATTTTTATCAGGGATACCCTGTATTTGTTTTAAACAACATGGTTCGCATGTAACCCGATCGTTGTTCTATATAGTTGTTCACTGTCTTTAAAAACAACAAAAAGCTTCAAATACCATACCATAATACCATAATATATAGACTTCAACAGATAAGCGTCTCGGTCAATGGGGCTATCATCATTGATAATTTTAAATACATAGGGACATGTGTATATAGACTGGCCTGGAGTGCTGATAAGGAATATATAACACTACTATTAAAAGTGGAAAAGATACTGCTACTTAAAATAATCCTAATAATTCTTGCAGAAGCTTTTATAAATTCAGCCAGAAGTTTGTAAAGCAGTGAAGGAGACATTCCGACCCTATAAAATGTATATATTATTGATCAATGCAGTCCTCAATTAAGAACCAGAAAGTTTCTGATTTACACAATTTAAACGTATTCCAAAAAGTTTGGCCACATTCGGCAAAGAATGTTTCTTCTTTTATGTCCTGTCCAAACACACTGATATTTTTTATGCGTCTCATAGTAATCAGTGTCTTTTTTCATAAGTCTAGAGGGAAGTTGGCAAAAAAGGGTGCCGAGATAATCCAAATCTCATTACGCGCAAGTCGTACTTAAGACTAAAAATAATTATTTCAATTTCTGTGCCAGGCCATCGTCACGTAGTTGCACAGGTGAGCAAGAGGAAGGGAAAACCAGGGGAAAAGGCGGGAAAAGGGGGGGCTGCGGGGCCTGAGAAAAAAAGTGAAAATTCAATTAGAATGCGCCAACTTCATGTGAACAGGCAGCCAGGCGAGTCTAACTGTCTGGCTATGGAGTCGGCGTCCCTCTGTCTGTCTGCCTTCCGAAAATGCAGTGCCGGCATGTTGTATTACAGGTGGATATGGGTGGTGGATGGTGAGCGGTGGGTGGTAAGCGAACAGGCTTGTGGGCTGGAAAATAGGGCGGAAAATGTGGGGTGGACAGAGTAAGGCCCAGGACCAACATCGCGTAATCCTTTTGCCAGCCTGCGAGCAACCACAATAATTTGATTTTACTTTGCTTTAACTTCATGAAAAAGTTTCAAGTTTTTTTACCACACACACACACACGCACACACACCTCTCTGCTGGTGCCGCTGCTGCTTCTGATAAAGTTTTTAATTTTGCAGCTGAAACTCATTTAGCGCAACGAAAGTGCGAAAATGCGGCAGCATCAGAGGATGATACGTGTTTTAGGACTGTCTGCTGCATATTTAATAGCAGCCTGGCCTCAAAAATGGCATCTTAAAGTCCTCCGCGTACGCACAAATTTACATTATATATTTTTTAGTATTTAAATTTCGGCTACTCTGTGCCTAAGGCATAATAAAAGCCGGAAAATCAACTGAGTGCGAACTTTGGCCAAACAAATTTTAGCAAGAAATTGCCACACGAACCGGAAAAATACACAATCTACAAAAATTCATCTTCATTATAAAGCTGCTGAGGCTGGAGTGGGTTGAAATGCATTTAAATGAGGTCTGGCCAAGTGAAGAATTCGGCGAGCTTGAAGAGCAGAGAATATATATTTTCATTTTAAATAATATTAAAGGATTGCTGTTTTTAAAAGATATATTTTTTCTTCATATTAAAATGTTTAAGACTGTGTGAAATGCAAGGCAACAATCTTACCTAGTAAAATGTGGCTTTAAAATGTTTACCCTATTTTCTTCAATCCATCTCTGAGTGTGGAAGTATCAATCGAATTCAAACACTCACAAACGTCATTCGGAAAAACCTGTCCCTGTGATTGGGTTTTTAGCTTGGCTTTTTGATTGGATCTGGAGCTCGTGTTCGTAATCGTGAAAGTACTGGAGTCCCGGTTTTTTTTTGAGAACACAAAAGTTGATTCACAATCCCTTTGCCAAGCAAAAATATTTTCTCGGTACTAAAAACAATGCAATTCAATTTTTTTGACCAACAAAAAGAACAGCCAAACATTCCCAACCCCCGTCCTCCATAAAAAGCAATTCTATTTGATGCGGTAAAAGTGTTTGAATTTGAATTTGAATTAATAGGATTAGAATGAAATGACTTTCAATGGGGGTAAATAAATTAAAGTGCTTTTTGCCATCGAATTGAATGCAAATGTTGATTCTGTTTCACTTACACAAAAGGACTGCCAGCAAACGACCAAGAATCCACAGAGCTGACAGAGTTGATATAGGAGCAATCAGATTAGTTGGTTAAAAAATATTTCCGCATGTAGCAGCAGCGGAAGAAGCATTTTAATTATCGCAATTCCCCAGGGCGCAGTTCAACTAATTGCCCTCCCTTGAGGCGGTACTCTAGTGGAGGGACTGGGGTGTTGTTCAGATGTCACAATTAAACTATGGCCCCAGCCAAAGGACTCCAAACATTTCACCCACAGCACTGAAGTGAATTATTATAAGATATTTTCGGAATTCATATACTTAAAGATTATGATCAAAAAAGTAATAGTTACTTTAGTTAAATGTTTAGAGAATCATAACACTCCTTGTTTTTATGATTTCGAATTATTATTATTTGAGCAACTAGATGAGATTTTCCAATGGGAAATGAACACTCAATGCGACACTTTGCTTTAGATTTTTATTAGTTTCTCTAGCAAACGAGAGATCCATCAATATCATATTGAAATTATTCCATATAAAGTTAATGAATTATTATTCATCATAAATAAAACAGCTCAGTAAATAATCAAGTTGTTGTAGTTTTTCTCCAAGTGCATCTGCGCACTTTTGGGGCCGTTTTGTTCGTATCCCTTATCAGTGACTCAAAACGGCAAAAACTGCCGGAGTACCCCTATTAGGAAACCACAAAAAAAACAAAGCCATGTACAAACTGAAACTGAAACTGAGTAGAAGGCGCGTGTTATTGTGTCCTGGGAAAAAATTAGGCATTCCGTGCGAAATGTGGATACGAGATAATCATTTTAATAAATTTCACAGTGATAAATGACTTGGAGCCTCTCTATTTATTCGCCCGCCTTCCAATTCCTCTTTATTTTTGTCCTTGTTTTTTGCTGTAGGCGTGAATTAGTAATAGCTGATGCTTAATTATATCCTGACTAATTGATGAGGGAGACCCTTTAATATAGTTACTTTTTCTGAAAGTGGAGAAACTTTTTTCAAACTCTGTGACTTTTAAATACAAGTGGTGAAAATTGACATTGAAATAACTAAATTAATGATAAGAGAAAACTATTTCTACAATAAAAATCTTTTAATTGTATATTTGGTATTAAATATCAATTTTTATAATTATTAAAAATAAATTTAAAATGCGAATCTTTTTATTTGCAACTCTTCCTCGTTATAATAATTCCTCTTTGTTTTTCTGCAGTTAACTTTCCGCACATTTCACTTACCAAAAATGACTGCCATAGAAGCAGCTGTTAAAAAGAACTGCCGGATGTGTCGAGTGTTTTTAATTTTCGCTTGAGCAGTTTTGGTTCCGTTTACCCCTCCCGATCTCCAAAAAAAAGTCAATTGTTTGTTTGGCGCATTATGCAAATTATGAAACTACAAAGGAAAACTTTCAGAGGGTTTTTACGCCAGTTTTTGTCGGGCCACAGCTGTTGACATTTTCTGCCAATTTTTGTTGAACAGGCAAACAAAAGTATATATATCCACAAATTGAAAAAACAAATAGTTTTATATACGTATGACAATATTTCTCTGCTTTTATTTGATATATAATATTTGTATAATCCAAGACTTAGGTGTCTAATACAATTCGATTCGTAGAAATGATGCAGCGCCAGTAGAAAAGTTTTACCACAGTAAATCGTAGAACTACAGCTAAGCTACATAATAAATATACCATAATAATAATTTGATAAATATCTAAATATTTGGATTTTCATATGTGTTTCATACTTAAAACAGTATTCAATATGCCACTAATCGCTAGTCTTTTTTTTGGCCCGATTATTCGCTCGTGTGGGTGTAATAAGGAAAGTATAACAAGAAACAAACTGGCGATTATAGCACATACCTATATAGATAAACTCTAAGCAATTGCACAAAACAAAAAATTCGCATTAATAATTCGTGGCTGGTGTGATTTGATTCGATATATGTTCGATTGTTTTGTGTACTTGGTATTTTGGTTTCTTTGAGTGTTCCTTGTGGGTGTTTGTGTATTTACATAAATGAACTACAAACCTAGAAAAATGAGTGAGATAAAAATATCAACAAAACATACATTTGGCATGTATAAATGTAAGAGTGTTTATGGCGCCCATTTGGAAACCTAATTTGCCAACTCATTCTGAAATGAGCGGAATATCCTGGAGTTCCGATTCCACATTTATGTCCCTTTTCGACCGATTTTAGGCCAATGGCGTTGGCGAAATTGTGGCACGTGTCGTTCTGGTTGGCGATTTGGTAGGCGTGGCCGCTCCACTGCTGTTGCCACTGCCGCAACCACCATTTCCATGAAGCCGGAAAAGCTCACCCACCGTGATGGCCACTTGAACGGCACCTTTACCCTCCAGAACGTCGGCAGCACAGCAAATTAGATTCTACAAAAAAAGATTTACACAAATAAATTAAATTTTCATTTTCAGTAGGTAACAAGTCGGCGGTTTTCTTTTGTTGTGTTTGTATGGCAGGCGATCAAAAGAGTAAAATATCATTACCTTATGTTATATAAATACAAATAATCATTACTTGGTATGATTTAGCTTCCTTGAGTTTTATTTTTATTTGTTCCTTTCAATTTGAATACTTAAAGTATGTTTGAAAATAAGACTTTTATTTTTTGTTTGACAATAAAACAAAAACCTCAAAGAAAAAACTTGTTACTTAATGTAAAATACAAATTATAAAAAAGAAAATGTGGTAGTTTTGTTGAATGAACTCAAAATCATCGAAAACTTTACTTAAACAACCATAGCTAGATTATATTTTACTCTTTAGATCGTTGTCTAATTTAGTTTGTTTTATTTTCCGAATTCACAGCACGCCACAGTTTGAAAGCCGTTGGATCATGCCTTGGCTAAGCAACGCTTGCTTTACTCATAATGGTTTGTGTCTTAGCTTTGTCATAATTACTTTCAAACTATAATCTTCAAATTTGAATAAATTTTCAATTTTTTTTTGTATGTCATATATATTTTGCTCTTTGATTTCACATGTATATATAGCGCTTAGTTGACAGTTTGTGCTTAAATTGTAATGCAACGGTTTTATTTTCATTTGGTTTGGAAGTGAATGTATAGAATATTCCTTTGACAAATTCTGATATAAAGTTTTGGCTTCATTTTTCATTTTGGAGATTTCGTATATATTTTGTAGTATATATGCATGATAAATACGTTTTTTTTATAAAAATTAATGACTGATTACAGCTGCCTCAATACATTGTTTTCCTTTAATAATTTTGTTAGACAAAATATATATTTCTGATTTTAGACGCTAGGTAAATATATATATTTATCTTATTTCTTTTCTGAGTGTAAGAGATTGTGTTTTTGAAAAAATTTGATTGGATTTAATTTTGTTTTCGATTGCTTAAGTACAATTATAATCTTAAATTAAATAAATATTTTATAATGTTAGGAATGTTGTTAGCACATTTAAAGTTTAAGCAAATAAACTTCTTTTTCAAATTAAATTGGAAGAGAAAAGCGTCCAGTACTTCTTGGGAAATGTATAAATGACAAATAATTGCTTTCAAGAAGGATAAATACAATATAGCTTTTGGTTATAGGCAGACTACAATGTCGCCGATCTCCAGTCAAAGGCACTATTTTGTGATTATTATTTGTATTTGAATGGTCTTTTTTTTATGAAATTCTGCTCATTTAATTTTATTCAAGTGAAAGTGATGTTTGCTGTTGTATTTTAATAAACTTTTTACAGTTTTCTTGGCCACATATAGTTTGTACATTAAAAATACTTTTTTCAATGGTAAGAAAATGACAAAAAAATAATGCTTAAAGTGATTTTTCCTTGTCAAACATTAAATTTAAGCTCAAATGAAAAAAAATCATTAAAAGCTGTGTGCACTTGACAAAATACATATATTATTCTTCACCTTTTTTAAAAGATTCCTTTTTGAAATTGGTTGGCCACATATCATAAACTTCATTCTTTAACTATTTCACGCTTTTCTACAACTATTTTGAGTGTCCCTGCTTCAAGTTAAACCGTATAACTTCATACAATTCTAATAGTTTTTTTTTTCAAAAAACTACCAGAATTAATGTCCATCAAACTGTAACAAATCTCTTTCCTTATTTTCTCATCTTAAAAATCTAATTGGTATCTATCGTGTCTTCTACCTATATATTTTTACGTTTTCATTTGACTTTTTGCCAGAGTGGAACTTAAATCAATTTAGTTTCGTTGTAACTTGAGTCAATCGTGTATTTTCTTAATGGTATATGTTAAATATAATAAAAAAAGAAGCGTTTTGGTAATGTTTTTTCTTCAGTTCAGCACGACTCAAACCGTGGATAAGCAAATGAAAATTTCGTTTTTTTATTCTTAATGAAATTTAGAGTTCAATAACTTGTACATGAACTAGGAATATGTGATTATTGAGGGGTATCTATAAAACGGCTCTTTTTTAATATTTTTCTAAGGGTATGCACGTTCGAAGTCGTTTAAAGGTAACTTTGTATATAGTCAAGTTGATAGATGATATAATAATAATTGAATTCAGGTTAATAAATAGTTTATGTTGCAGTAATATTCTTTAGGAATACATTGCTAAAAAATAATATAACTAATAGTTGTCATAACTAATGCTTATGATTGTGAGATACATAAATATTAAATATCTTAAAGAAGACAAAAATTATAGAAAGTATAGAAAACATTGTTTCAAAGGAACTTTAGGTTGGAACTCAAAAGGAGCATTTGTATTTTTTTTCATGGAACTTAAAATTGTATTTTTTAAGTAGTATAGATGTTTAATCCACAAATGTGCATACCCCTAATTAATGAAAGGGTAATACGAGCCTTAAATTGATTACAGTTTCAAAGTCTTTGGGTTGTCTCTCAATTAAATGCCTCAAAAGTTGCCTATTTGTTGTGTTGTCCTTTGGGGGGGATTTCTTAGATTAAAATTTAGGTATAGTATGTATCATAAATATGGGGCTTAAGCCTACAGAAGCGTTAAACAAAAGCAGCCTCATAAACTCACTACCACGTGGATAAGCGCAATAGCTGCTCTAACTCTCTGTTTTTCGATCTTAAATCTATTGGCAAACAAAGGCATAGATATTGAAGCTATATACTATATGGACTAGCCGGGCAGCGGGAAAAAGACCAGCCAGAGGAAGGTGGCTATGAACACGCACGACAGGATCACTGTCAAGGTGTGAGAATCGTGCTTTAATAAAGATGAAGTTCCAGCTTCGTTGGTCTTGGCTTTTATTTTCTGCTCGAGTTGCTTGTTTTTCTCCTTGGGTAAGTAGATGCTGAAGACCTCCAGTTTGCCATGCTTTTGCTGTTCGAAGAATTCGATGCGCTTGCTAATGGCTTCCTTGGTTGCGCTGGCCAGTGATCCTGCACCCTTGAGGTCCTCTAATTGTTGCTGCTGCTGCTGCTGCGGCTGCTCCTGTTTTTCGTCGATAATTTGATAATGACCCGCCGGTCCAGCGGCGGCCACATCGTGCTCATTCTCCACAATCGTGTGCAACATTCTGTTGTTATTGTTACTCTGGAAATTATGCTGACCATGGGCACTAAGCAGATTGTGCTTGATTTTCTCATAGGTTTTCTGCTTGGCCCTCAGCAGCATTTGACCCACTGTCGCCAGTTGCTGCTGCCGTTTGCCTACACCATCATCATCATCATCATCATCATAATCACGATCCTCAACCCCATCATCATTTTCAGCCCTCGGCTGGCCATTCTCATACAAAACATGCTCTAGCTGCTGCTGTTGCTGCTGCAACAGCAACATCTGTTCTTGCTGTTGGCTGCAGGTAGTTGGCTCACTGAATTGCTCTTGCTCGTGCTCGAAGTGTTGCTGCTGCAGCTGCAGCTGTTGTCCAACAACAACAACTGATTGCTGCCTCAGCTGAAGATGATGATGGCGCTGCTGATGATACGGATTTTCATCCAGGGCAATCAGAGCGGTCACTGTACGCAGTAGGGCCAATGCATTGGGAACTATTTGAATATGGTTGCCGCAGCTGCTGTCATCGTTGCTGCATTTCATATTGCTGTTGCTGTTGCTGCTGATGATGCTGCCATCATCTTGGACATACACATCAGCATCATAGTCATCGTCAGCGCGTGGCAATTGTTGTTGTTGCGGTTCAATTTGTGGCACAACATCTTCACAGGAGCAAATCAACTCCTGCAACCAACACCAATAACAGATGCATCAGTTTCTTGTATGTATTTTTAGGTAATTTTTGTGGGTGTATGTGTTTGTGTGGAGTGTGTACTTGTGTGAGGATGTTGGGGTTTAAAAACATTTAAAACTAAACTACAATTGTCCAGGAGAGGAAGCAAATGGAAAGCACTCAGCATAGTAAAGCATTCAACCAAAACCACCTCAAACCTTAAAGCTACGCAAAAACTATAAATAAAACATTATTTTTTATAGAGTACAGTGCATTTCGGAAAGGGAGTAGTCAATTAATAAATAATTACTATAGTAAAGAAAAACTGATAATGTTATCGCATTCGTTCAGCTTTCTAAACTGGGTTAACATACCATTTATTAATAGAAGTGTTATCAAAATTATTGCATTATAGTAAATAAATTGAAATAGTTTTTGAATGGTATTCTTTCAGTCTAGTCTCTAGACTTTAATGAAATATTTAAATTCGTTTTTAATTGTTATCTGACTGACAACAAATGATTTGAAAAGCATTAAAGCATCACGTTCCAAAAGGCACTGTACTTCTATAAATAAGTTGGATCTGTCTACGCACCTCATCAACGCCAATGCGACGGCATGCTTCCAAAAAATTATCCACATTGCGACGACACCTGGCCATAGTCAACTTATTCTGAAATGGACAAAATATCAAGTTTTTAAATTAAAGCCTCAAGATAAAACTCCAACAAACTTACCACGCCAGGAGATGGCACATGAATGCTGGCCACTGAACGCGGACGCACGTAGTTGGCCAAATGGCACAGTATAACACCATCTGTCAGGGCTGAGGCAATATCCACGGGCAACGTCATCTTCAAACGCGTTTCAATGATCTGAAAGATGTTTAAATTCGTTATTAGTATACTTCTTGAAAGAGAAATGCAAACAAAAAATGCAAAATCCATTCAAATCCCACTTAATCCACACTTACAATCCTCAACTGTGACATCAGTTCGGTTTCCTCCCTCTGGCGATCGAACTCCCGTCGCATGGTGAAGCTCAGCTTCTCAGCAGGAATATCGTGGTTCCAGGTCACCGATCGGTGTGTCTTCACTGTGCCCAGCTTGGTGGTGGAGCTCACTGGCGATTTGATGGTGGTGCTGCTTGCGATTCCCACTGTTGGTGGCACTCCGCCACCACCGTTGGACGTATTGAATTTGGCTGTGCCATTCTTCATCGGACTCTGCGGTTTCACGTAGCCCAAACAATCCGCGGAAATGGCCGAGGGAATGCCTGATGCGGATGCCGGCTTTATTTCCGTATTCCGAGACGGTATAACCTTCTGTATGGGTTTCTTTGGTATGACAACATCGTCGAGTCCATTCCCGTTTCCGTTTCCATTTCCGTTCGCATTGTGACTGTTGTTTTGGTTGCTGTTCTGTTTCATTATGGACTTTGGTAGTGGGTTTGAGGAAGATCCGTTCGAGATGCCCGGCGGCGACGGGGATAGATCCTCGTCGTCGTCATTGGGACTGTGATTGGCATTCGGATGCTTCTGCTTGTAGACGCTGATCTCCTGGTTGCGCTGCTGCTTCAGGGCCTCCTTGTACTCCCTGTTACAAAAATGTACATTTAATTTTATGTCATGTTTACCCTTAAAATACTTTCACCCACTTGTAGGTCTGAATATTGCCGAGGCTCTTTCCGGCCTTTCCGTTGGAGGGATGAACGGTGCGCTCCTGGTGGTCCAGCATGATGTCCTCGTCCTGATCCGGGGAGGATCCATTGCTGGAGCTATTCGAATGCGTATAGCTCAGCTTGCAGGGCGATGCCGTGGGACTCAGGGTGAGACTCTCATCCACAATCGTGCTAGTGCTGGAGGTGAGGGATGCATCCATCAGATCGGCATGTGAATGCACCGCACTTGGCAGCGTTCTGGGCAAAGTGGCGGCCGCCGAACTGGAGACGCAGTGCAGCGGTGAGTCCGTTTTCGATTTGGCTGGATTGTCGTGCGACCAGCGCTTGTCCAGACCATCGCTGGTGCTATAGCCCGAGTCGACCTGATGCCTTCGCTGGTTGCTGCTGCTGCTGCCACTGGTGCTGGCTTCCAGGACATTGCCGCTGGAATTGTGGCGGGGAGCTCTCCGCAATGTGGTGTAGCCATCATAGTTACCACCCGACCGGGAGCCCTTCTCGTCCTTGGTGGCCTGCGTCTCCAGAAACTTGAACACATGCACCAGGCCGCGCATGCAGAGCTGTTGAAGATCAAAGATATAATTAGTTAACGTATTGGATGAATGATTTCAAAGACATCAATCAACTCACACTAGCTGGTGGCGAGGTCAGAGGATTATTCTCCAGTTGCAGCTCCACCAAAGTGCTCATGTGCCGAATCTCCAACGGCAGACTAGCAATCTTATTGTTGCTCACATCCAGGGAAATCAGACTTAAGCAGGTCAACTCCCTGGGCAGATACATCAGGAGATTGCTTCTCAGCGAAAGCGAACGCAGAGTTCTCAGCTCGCCCAAGCGGGCTGGTAAGTTGGCCAGCTGGTTGTACGAAGCATCCAGATCGGTCAGGGTCTGATCCAATCGACCCAGTTCATCCGGCAACGAGGCCAACCGATTGTTGGACACCAGAAGCACCTGAAGGGGCAGGAAACAAATCTCCCGTGGTAGCGAGGATAGCTGATTGCTGCGCAGATCCAAGTAGGTTAGCGAGGATAGCTGCTTCACCGACTCCGGAATGCTGCGAATTGTGTTGTGATACAGCAGCAGGGTCTCCAAGAAGGCAAACGTCGTGACTTCTTCGGGCAGCTCGGCGAATCTATTCCGGGACAGATCTGTAAATGGCAGCAAGGGGGAATGTATTAATATTAAAATCCAACTGGAGGATGTGGAGTGAACCCGAACCCTTGTTCCATTTGACACGCACTTCCATTCCCATTCCACTTGGATTTACACTCCACGCCACAGTGGATCGCCTGACCTCAATCTCCCGGCAATTTGATTCGCCCCATTCCGAACCACAGGAATAGCAATGTTTTTGAGAAGAGGTTACTCGACTTTTGTATACCCTCCAAGGCAGATTTTTTTAAAACTATAAACGCTACATATTGTTCTCACTTAAAAGTATTTTATTTACTTTGTTTAAATTTAAAAAATATATCAGATCTTTTAAAATAATGTAAGAAAATTTTAATATTATGTTCGCTGGATTTATTTTTGTACTTATAGATTAAGATATGATTTTAAGAATCCCAACATACCCGCTCATAAGCCCCGCGAGAATTCCAAAAAGTGGGCAAGTGCGTTTGGAGTGCGCAATTAATTTACTAAATGAATTTGCATGCAAAATGAGCGCAAACAGAACGAAAACTGCGACTTTGTGGGGGAGTGGTTATGAATAAATCAACAACAAAAAAACAGGAAAAGGAAAACACAGAGGCGGACCGTCAAAAAGAAATACACAAGAAAACCTTTATATATTTGGTTTTAGTCTATTTCATATTTTTTAACTACTTGTTAACTGAAAATTAAAAAGTTTGAGTATTGGTTTTGTATTTTAGAATTATGGAAAAACCAATTTCATATTAAATTATAATGGTCAAAATGATAAAAAAGTTTTTCTTTGTGTAACTAAGCAAAGCGTAATCAACGTTAAATTGTGCGTAAAGTTTCGAGGGAATTAAGCAAGGAAAATTTAACAACAAGACATTTTTGCGAAATTGGACTGATCGAGGTGCGATAAGAGTGAAGAAAAAAGATTTTAATAAGTCGAAAAAACTTTTGTGGGCTGACTTAAGCATTTACAGCTATTTATATAGGATGACATAATACTTTTGTTTTTGAAAAACATTAAAAAATTAAATTCATCACAAATTCCATAAATAAAAAATTAAAAAAAAAAAACAAATATGGATAGACATTAAAAATAAAAAAAAATAAATAAATAAATTATATTAATCTCTCAAAAAGAAATAACCGATCTTATGTCCCTTTCCAAAAAAGTCAAGTTTAGAGTTCCTCAGGCTACTGGCGATCTTTCTCTTTTCGAATATAATGTCTAACATGGCCATATGCATGCTGGTGGATTCAGCTGTCGATCTCTAACAAATGAATCAGCAATTGGAGCTGGGAAGGTGTAGTGATGATTGGCATCAGTGCGACAAGTACGGGTTTTGGGTTTTGACTTGGATATCTGCATTTATTCCCAGCCAGCTTCCCTACGATTCACTGGAGAAAAGCAGATGACAGTAAATACAATTGGGCAGTTGAGAAGAATTAATTTATATTTTTCCACCCAAAAAGAATAAAACTAAAATGATTTAAAAGAGAAATTCTTTATAGACGGTCTCGATTTAACTTCAAATATAATATGATAAAATCGCAGTGGAAAGCCAGTTCCAAAAATCTGAACCAACTTTTTGATGCCAAAGACTTAACTTCAACGACTTTTCAAGTAGTTCAAGCACTTTGCAAACAGTGCGTATGAAATTGGTGAATTTTAATAGCCATATCGTAAAAATTAACGAACCGCGGACCAGTCTTGGCCTCTTCTCTTTACCCTCCATCTGGCGTACTTTGCGCAACTTGCCAAAACACAGTGAAAACCAGAAATGAGCAATTGCGAGGCAAGAAAAACTGGCTACCCTGAATAACTGACTGACTGATTGACTGACTGAATAACTGACTGCGAACTGGCGTCGGCAGCAAAGTGATTTACGCACTGAGGGGAGCCACCAAGACCAGACTTTGTATATATCTTCCTGCGGACAATGGCGATGAATGAATGGGAACTTGACTTCGGTAGCTTCTAGACATTAACCTGCCACATGGAGAGCTCCTACTGCTGTTGCATACTACATGAGCTCACAATGATGCAACGCACAAAGGCGGCAACTACACTGGCAGAAAATTAAGACTTAACATTTCTAAAAATATATATTAATTCTAAACTCTTAAATTAAGCGAGTTATGAACTGAACCCTAAATTTTTCTATTTGTAAAACTAATTGAAAACTTATTTTAGGCTATAAAATTTGGTTGCAATAATATCTTTGATACTTTTTTCTCTAGAGATACAATTCTATAGGCAATACACTTTTCACTTTACTAAAACTATTATAATTGAGCTTGGACAGCTAAAAGAAATAATTTAGATAAGACATTTATTTATTAAGCAAAATATTTTTCACAAGTGCATAATCCTTTTTTCTTGTATCCTGACAAGTTGAATAAACCTTAGCCGGCCAATGACGTCGGGATGAGATGGCTTAGAGTTGAAAAGTTGTTCGAGGTTGGGGATGCGGAAATTGGATTTCCCTGATGCGGAGGCATCAATTTAGGACAAAATAAGAGCAGGAGCGACTGTGGACTTTGAACCTGCAGACCCGTGACGAAGATATTTTTTATCTCTGGCGACACCTGCTCAATTGTGCTCTCACTGGCAGTTTTCCAAGAGTTTCCACTCTACTTCCCCGCCCACTCCCCTTTTATTTTGTGGACCACAACAGCTGGCTTTTGGCCAACTTCAACGCAATGCGACAGGCGAAAATGTGTTTTTTATGTCTCGCCAAATAAATCAAATTGTTTGACACGCCGAAAAAAATTCAAAGTGCCATCGCTGTTTTCTTTGTATTTTTTTTTTAATACCCGTGTTTCTTTCTTTTTAATTTTAATTTTCGTCTGCCCACCTGAGGCTCCACATACAGTCATAAATATTGCAGAAATTGTCCTCAGACCACGCAGGCATTTATCCAGCCAAAAAGGGTGCGGCTCTGGATTTGGAACAAACATGGATTCGAGCAACGCCCAAAGTCAACTTTGACAACGGACAAGCATAATAATGGAGCAATATGATGATGTAAGTGGAGCAGGGAACGACTTAGTTATGGCCCTCCTTTCAGGTAATGGAGTTCCATAAGTGTGTAATAAACTCATGAGTTATTTTATTTATTTCTTTTCAAAGAAAAAACTTATTTTAATAAACGTTTTTGTTCATAAATATCTGGAAATACTTGCAGCTTATTGTTGCAATATTTTTACAGATATTTGATTTAAGAGATTATGACATAAATTGGTAGATATGAAGATAAGATTGATACCAGGTTTGTTTGATAAGCTATACAAATATGCAGATAGGCTGCTTATCATATAGTCCAGCCCAACATTCAATAACATAAAATGTAACGATAAGCCTTAGTTCCTCCTAATAATATTCTAAAATAAAAATAATAATTCAAAAATGCGTTAAAAACGTTTAAAAACTCCAGCTTAACCCGTTACATCCTTGCATACCCTGCAGGTTAAACGGCTTGGCTCAAAAAAAAAGAGACGCTTGTGGCAGACATTGAGTGGCATTTCGACTTTGAAGGGCGTGGGCCAAAACCGGAAGCAGCAAAAAATTAAATTGATGGCTCAAATGGAGCTTTTTTCTTTTCCCTTATTTTTTATTTCTTTTTTTTTTAAATCTCTGGTCTAGCCATGTGGGCGACGGCTTGTCCAGCAATAGAGAATCGAGCTGGAGCACGTGCCTCTAGCCGTCTCTACTTTATTTGGCTGGGGGTCTTTAATTTTTATTTTGACTTTGCCGAATATGAATGTGGACGTTGTGCACGTTGTGGCTGCCACTATATGTCTGTCCATTAATATTGACTGACCATTAGGCAAGCGAAGGGGCACAAAAAGCCACAGTGGATTCTATTGATGGATTTATTGAAATTAATTTGTTTGAGTGTTATTGCTGAATTGGTGAGCCTAAAGTGGGGCGATGAAACTATGAATCATTGTGTTAAAGGCACTACAAAATTAATGGGAATCAAAAAAACATAGTATGGAAACTATGAAAGTATGTACATAAGTAAAAAGGAAAAGTAACAAGACTAACAGAATAGTTTGCCAAAAGATAAGTAGATACAATTAAGCCCGATTTAATGCCAATAAACTTCGTATTCTCATGTAAGAAAAAGAAACCCAAGTAGATTATTTTGTACAATTCTTCAAATAGGCGTTTTCGAATATCAATTTCCAAGAATACGAATCTGTATAAGAAATTCTTTCAGAATCGAAACCCCATCGAGCTATTAAGCAATAAAGTTTTGTTTATGTATATTTCACTCTCTGGAATTAAATTGGAAACCACTTAAGAGCACTCACATATATAGGGCAATGTCTCAACTATATGCGCACTTCTATATAATCAAAATAAATAATATGGAAAATGGCGTTTGGTTCTTGCTCCATCGATTGATTACTTTTTGATATTGAAAGCTGGAAGCAATCAAAACACAGATACACGCCCATGCCCACCGATTTTAATTTCAAATACAAACACACACCCTCTTCTCTGGGAAAGTTTGTTCCACTTTGTTTGTTTTAAGCGCTGCAATTTCGCGTAGAATTTCTTGTTCATCGCCATCCTGTTCTTCATGCTCTTTTAATCACAAGACAAACACCAGAAATCTGTGTTGGCCAAGTGTAAACATCTAAGAAAACAAATATTTGAAAATATTTGAAAATATTTGGAAGCAGCTTTAAATACGATTTTTTTGTTGCCGCTGCTGATTAATGTTTTTCTTCCAAATTCAAAGTATAACAGCTGTGTTTTCCTAAATTACATATTTTCAATGCAAATACAAACAGAGGCATAAAGAAAGATCATAACAAAGAAAAGTGCCGGGGTTTTCTTACAGTAGTAACTGGTATGTCAAAGATCTTTTTGCGCTAGCTACATTATAAAAAAAATATAGATTCTTTAACATATTTTTCATTTGAAACTTGAAATCACGAAATGTAGTAAACAAAATAAGTTATAGAAATACATTTTTTTTAAAACTGAAATTTGGGTAAAATGTTTTAGTTTATTAAGGTTTAACAAAAAAGACGAAAAGATAAGCAGCAAGAAAATGTTTTGTAAACAAAATATGCTGTAAATCATGTAACAAAATTCTTTGTAGTCAGTGCCAACTGTCTGAAATAAGTAATCTGATCTATCTTTTTTGTTCTCGCTGTCTCGCTTTGTGAGCGCGTGCTGTGCACAGCAATTAAGCAACTAGAAGAATTGGCCAGACGCCTGTTAAATAATGCTTACACTTATAAATTAATGGTAATGACTCAATGCATAATTCGCCTTAATCTGTGTCAAGTTTACATTGTCCTCAATATTGCCAAGATATGTACATAAATGTATAGAAATAAGCGTATATATAGCTACATAAGTCGTTCAACTGCAGATAAGCAAGCGAGAAGGCAAGCAAATTGCATTTATCGCTGAAATAATAATGTTATTTTTAAACCACAAATGGGCACAATGAGGGTGCATTTAGAAATGGATATAGTATAAGGGGTACGAAAACTATATGCAATGGTTATGGATTGTGTGTGTATATAGTATCTCCTCATTGAATAATTTGTTTACCAAGAAGCTTTCAAAAAGAAATAACATTACTGTGGGAAAGTCCAAACACAAAATGTGATGGTATATTCTGTGGAATTTTTGAGAATTTCAGCTTATATTTAATATAAATAATAAATGGGAAACCCTAAATGTATTTTCTAGAAAATAAGGTGTAGTGGATAGCTTACAGTTTCTTTTACATATCAATTTGTAGTGTATTTATACCAGAATCGACTTTCTGTGGAAATACTTTATCATGATACAATCTCCAATCCCGATGCGTTTTTTATGTTTTCCCTGCATTGTGCATGCAAGCCATGAACCGTGCAGTTTGACAGCAACTGGAGATAAGCGACGTGCTGCGGCGGTCGCATTTCCTCTTTTGTCTGCTGCAGACGGAGAATAAATAGTAATAAAAGTACAAAAAACCAGACTAGCTGTCTTTTTATGCCCCATCATATTTACAATGCAAACAACAAATAAACGCGTCAGATACACACGACAAAAGCATTTCCCCCGCTCTAAAAGTTCGTTGTTGCCATGTTTGCCGGGACTTTGACTTCCCCAAAACAAAAAAGATTTCTTGTTCTCGGTCACTTGGCAGACATTTTACTCTGTCTAAAAAAAAATAATAGTGAACCTGAGTGGTGAAAAGTTTTATTACCAAAAGGAGAGCGTACGAAGAATCTACTAAGTGCTCATTAAAAAAGAAAAAGATATGAATAAACTAAAAATGATATGATGATTATTAGTTTAGTTTCATTTGTTTGAAGTTTCTAAAATATTTCCGAATTTAAATTATAAATAAATACCTTTTTTAATGATTTTTATAAAATCATTTGTGTAGGCTTTTGTTTAAATTGTTTAGACTTTTTATTGCCATAACAAAATTGGTTTATGTCCTTCGTTAGGACATAATATTTCTGTTTATGGCTTAAAAAATGCCGACTGGCCAACACTTTCCGTCAGCTGGTGCTGCCTAAGCCGGCGCCGAAGTTGTGGTCTGCGCAGCTGCTGTTGCTGCTGTGTGTTGCTGTTGCTGCTGCATGTTGCTGTGGCTGTTACTGTTGCTACCTTCTTACATTTACTTGGGCTTCTCTTCTGACAACTACTGCCATGGCCAGCTGCAATTTTTTGCCCGTTTTTCGCTTTTTTCTCTTCGCAGCCATTATTTTAAACAATTTCCTGCCGCTGCATTGTCATGTTGATACTTCGCTCTTCTCGATTGATTCTTTCTTTTGCGGTCTTTGTCTAGGGTTTTGTTTATGGTTCTGTTTGATTTACGTGACGCGTGTGTTAATTAAACGCCCCAAAGGAATGCAATGCGAAAAATGGGGGGGGCGGGCGGCAGCCGCAACAACAAATGATTTTAGGAAATGCTGACAGGCGCCTGCCCATTCCATTGTATTTTCTTGCCATTTTGGGGGTTGCAAAGCATGCGTGCAAATAAAGAAAAGAAAAATGGATGTATATGCTTTTTTTCCTTAGACTTTCTTTTCCTTCAGACTCATTGATTTCTTGGAAACTCGAAACCCTTGTGGTTGAAACCATTAAGGCTAAGAGCTGTTGCCACCTCTTCAGATCCACCTCCCCCACAACTGAAAAACCTTTCGCAGAGGGTGGCTTCTTTGTTCTCGAAAAGGCAATTTGTAGAGGTTCTTGCGCTAGGGTGTATTTACAAATATTTTCCCCACAGATTAACCCTTAACGAGAGGTTCAAACCTATCTCGATTTCCCCCTATTTTTCCCATTTTCCCATTCACACCAAATCCAGCATTTTAATTAGTAATTAGTCACGCCTTCGCAGCTGATGACTCAATTGTTAGTGAGAAAACGCAAGAAACTTAATCGAAAAATAAACGAAAAACCGGAAGCACTTCGAGTCTCCATGTGTAGAAGGGTTTTCCAAAGAAGAAGGGATCGTATCCCCATTTCAAACTGATAGCGCGTGACCATAAGTCACGGATTGTCACAGATTAGTTCACAACGCAAGTCACGTTCGCAAGGGAAGTGAATCGAAATGGAAGGAAATTTAAAATATATTTCCTAGGTTAAGGGAAGGAAAAAATCGAAAACTTCCAAATACAAGCATAATTTAGGTTTTTTTAAAAATTAATTAAAGGCAGAGTAATTATTTGGAATTTACTTTTCATAATTTTTAATTGTTGGATGATTGATTAGAGCACACACAAAAATGTATTTTTAAAAAATTTTTTACCCATTCTTTTACCAAATTAGTTTTCAATTTATGACACAATTTATTTTTATATCCCTTACGCGGCAATTAATCATCGTAGTCCAAAAATAAATAGTTCCCCTCTATTCCAGATATTTCCACCAACAGACACATAAATATAGATACAGTGCGCTCTCTAAAAAGTGAACATTCTATTTTGATTTATACAATTTTGTTGGAAGGTAGGGTTGTATAATTTTTTTTTCAAAATTAATGTCATTTCAAATTACATGTTATAATTTTGTACTAATATATTAATAGAACGTTCACTATTGACATGCTTTTCAATAAACCATTTTTTATTTTTTTAAATACTTGTTTAATTTTTCTTTTTAGTAAAATGGTTAGAAATAAATTTGGTTTTTCCTGCCAATCATTACAGTGAAAATGATTGTTCATTCTATAGAGCATTAGCTGTATGTGTATACAACAAACACAAGTGAAAATCGATGAGAGACATGTCCCGTTGTGAGAACATCTGTTCGAGGGTAGCAGCAGCTGTAAGAGGGGGCGGGGCCGTCGGAGAGGGCGGTGGTCGGTGGGTTTTTGGGTGGGTGATTCGCCTTGGTATTTCCCATTTCCCATATTCCTGCTGGTGCACATTTTTTGGCCCTAACAAAAACGAAAGTTGGTTGAACTTCGACGAAATTTTCGTGCCGGCTGCAGCAAAAATAAGGATAACACGAATAGCGCAAAGTGCCAGAGAGCAAAATCGGCGGTAATTATTGTCCTTGAGCGCAGGCGAAAAAGGGAGAGAATGGGAGAGCGAAAGAGAGCAGCTGACGGGTGGGCAGAAAAGGAGAAAAAGGGAGAACCTCTTGCGGCTGCTGCAGATTATTGATTTTCAAGCAACAAAAGGATAATTCGCTACTGCATCGGAGATAAGAAAACTTGGTAAGCACTCTCGGAACACACCTTAATTAAGAGCCACGCCTTAAAACAGACATACAGGCATTCAAACTTTCCTAAAACTTAATTAAGCTGTTATCGACAAACCACTCTTGTTCCTTTCGCTACATTTTGGTTCCACTTTTACTTTTATGGCGACCAAAACCTTAGTATATACAAAAATGTAGATTACTTATTTTTACTTACTAGCTTGCTTAAAACATAGAATCGGCTCTAGTTTAACTCCAGTTTGTGAACAAGGAACAATTTTTAGAATCAAGCATCCTTAAAAATTATAAAAATTTGTGGATGGTATTTTGTTTTTTTAAGGGACATTTGTTTACTGACTTTGCATGTCTTTTGAGCGCAAGTGAGAATAGGACTTTCGCTTGTGATAAAAATAAGTTTATGAATAGCCAGAGGCTAAAGGACCTGCACATGCATAAGTCCATTATTTTCCATATCGAGGTAACAAATTTACACACCTGCGATGACGGTATCCGTGAGCGAGTACTTCGTTCCCGATCTGGGAAAGTCCTTCAGCTTGCGATTGGTCAGGATGAGCTCCCCGCTGAAGTGTGCCTCTTCCAGGATTCGTTCCAGCGAGCGCGTCAGCTGGGACTGGCTGAGAAGGGCGGAGGAGGAGGTATTTCCAGGGCCTGTTCCCGATCCTGATCCTGAGAAGGAAGCAGATCCGCTGCCGACTGCGCTGCCGACGCCGACGGCGACGCTATGTAGGCGTTGGTAAACCGTTGCTGCCATTTCCAGCGTAGGCGTGGTACACCCACACTCACACACACCAAAACAGACCGATTAAAAAGCGGACCAAAATGCCGAATAAAAACTAGAAACTAAATTTGCTCTATTAAAACACACGCATCTCGATTATTTTTCAATTAGTCTTTGGCTCATTGATAAGATTTCTCGGAATTGGATTTTCCTTTTGCGGCTTCCTTCTTGCTTCCTCTCTTCACCTCCTCACACACACGCGCGCACTCACACGCTCAAGCGGCACGGAATGAAGCAACGGCACAGCGAAAATCCAAAAAACAAATGAGTTAGAGGTGGCGAAATGTCGATGCTTTGAAAATATCGATGATTTCAAGACATCAGTTTCATCGATGTTTGGCGGGGCAACATCGATAAAAGATGTTAAGATAAAAATGCTAACAACAATTTTAACAGAATGTTAGGTAAACGATGATTTAACATTGCCGTTACAAAAAACAATTGAATGTTGCCCTGCCAAACGAAACGAAGAGTACGCAAAAAGAACTGCTGCCAGTGTAGCCCTTATATGATGTCCAGGGTCCATCTCCAGAATGGTCGTCCATCATGGAGCCGGAATCCATAGCTTTGATCAGTTTTGTTCAAAGTTCGAAATTTAAAATCGTCGTTTTTGTAACGGCAATGTTAAATGGTTATTTTCCTAACAGAAATGTGAAGTCATCGTTAAGAAACCGAAGATGAAAACATCGATGTATTGATTCTAGAGCAAAGTGTACAAAGAATGCCGCCTTTGCCTGGAAAATGGCCAAGATATGATTAATATTTTCGAAGGGAGTAGACATTAATATTCTTCAAATAAATTTAGTGAGACCTTATTGGTTCACCCTATTATCGATATTTAATTCGCTTGCCGCAACTATCGACTGACGCACTGCACTGCAGCGGTACTCCCATCCCTAACCCTGTGCAACAACAAAATTCCAACGCAGCTAACGAATTGCAAAAAAGTTCTAAAATTATCGTTAAAGTGTGCAACAAAAGCAAAAACGCGTTGTTTTTTAAATCGTTTTTCGCAGTACGGTGTGGCCAATAAGTGGGCTTATCTTTTCTGTTTGTGTGCGTTGAACACACACCAAACCATTGCGTTTTTCGCGTCCCTTTCCCTCCCCTTTTCTTCCTCTTCCATAACTGTGTCAAATCAACAACAACTAAATGCACAAATTGATAAGCAATTTGATTCAATTTAATCTCGTTTAAATCAACTCAAAACCAGTGCAAGCGGCAACCGAAAATAAATTAAAAATACTAAATTTGTAATCCATATAAATAGAATACCCTTGAGTGGATTTGTGTGCGCCTAATTAATTCAACACTTCTTTTGGTTCCGCATTTTTTGAAATTATAACGAAGTCAGCTATTGAAAGCAAAAGCAACAAAAAAAAGCGGTTTTTGTTTGTTTTTCAAGCTCAACGAAAAAAAAGAGGAAAAGAAATCCGCTTCCAATCAGCTGTTCCAAACAGCTGCCTGAGTGCGAGTGAGACAGCCTACCTGCGCGCCAAAATAAAACAACAACAACAACAACAGTGGCACCGTGGTTTGAGACCTAGCTAAATTGTATAAATCAATTTAAATAGTAAAAGGAAATTAAATTAAATTTACATATATTTGTTAAGGTAAGTAATCAGCATCCATTAAATTCTAACAATTTTTATATTTAAAATTTATTTTTCCAAGTTTTTAAATCGTTTACACTTAATACGCGTGTGTCTAAAATAAGTGAAAAATAAAAAAAAATAGTGCAAAATGAGTGATGTAACAGACGATTCGGGCGGGGCAAGTGCCCCCCAACCATCGCCAGTTACTCCGGATCAGGACCCTGGAGTTCCGGCCTCCAAACTACCGGGTCCAACCCGATCCAATATTCCCATGCCCGCTACTTCAGGGACGGGGATTCCCACGGTCACGCCCTCTGCTTTAGGGACCGGAATCCCGCAGCCCAGCAAAATAAAGGCACCATCGCAATTCGGCTCGACGGGCTCCGTTTCCAAAATCGGAAGACCATGCTGCAATCACACAACCCCTAAATCGGGACCACCACCTAGAGGTGAGTTTTAATCGTTTGTATAAAATGTTAAGTTGGTTAAAATTGTAGTTTGGTTAAAATGTTTAATGTTTGTTAAAAATAACACTGAACAGTGTACACCAACGACTTCCAATTGAAAGGGTTAAATAGTGCAATAGTGGCCTGTGCAAAATCTCCGATCGATTGCATTCATAAAAGTCATAATCGGTCCCTATTTTTACAATCAGATTTATCGTTGATCAATAAACAATATCGTCTTTGAAAACATTGTCAACGAATTCAAATTTGTCAAAAAAAAGTTAACATATCCATTTAATTCCGTCAATAGTTTCTATTTCACAATCTAACAAAGTTAATTATAAGGCTTGTCCGAATTTTTACCTTTTTTAAACAAAAAGTTTACGCCAGTTATTAAATACAATTTCATTGCAAAGAACTAAAATCTTTTGGGAAAAAAAGGAAAATTTGTTGATTTGCGAGAAATGTTTAAATAGTTAAAGTTTTTGCAACAAGTGCCACGCCAGCTTTTCAAAGAAGTTGATTTTAATTTATTTATCTGCAAAATGGGTATAAAAGCAAAAAAAAAATCAAAAAAAATCGGTAAGTGTAAGACAAAGCTTCTCAGTACTTTAAAATTTGTCTGTGTAGAAGATTTGTTTTTGACTTGGAATTTTGGCTCCACCCCCAAGTTTTTTCCACTATGAAATTGCACTTATTTCGTGTTTACATCTTGGGCTCAAACAAGTCGTCTGTAATTCCGGTTCGAACCAACTGCAACCACCTACATTGGCACCCACAATATATAGTTTTTTATATACTACGCGAATGAAATGATGTAATGGAAACGATGACAGACCCACTCAATTGCTTAAAGTATATACGCTGACACCACCCACTTGCAGTGCACTTTTGTGCACTACATTGAACTCTAAGACATTATATTAGACTGCTACAAAAAAATGTAAATTCTTTTTAAGAGGGTAAACCATTTCTCATTTTAAATAATATCGTCAACCGTTTTGTTTTGTAAACAAATGCTACACTTCAATTATTTAATCGTTTTGAAACACCAACGCACAAGACAAAAATAAACAAAACAAAAAGCCGCCCACTCTTAACTCTCGATCATAATTATAGAGCTGCCCCGAAAAGTGTTTTTTGGGCAGGAGAATTATGGCCAATTAGACAAGTGCTGCTACCATTTAATTGATAGGCCCATTGTGGCTCATTTCAGGCACGTAACCCAACCGCAGCCGTCAACGATCGGCGACCCATTAGCCTATATAGCAAACGATCTGCCAAACGATCCATAGATCGACGGGTTTTCTATTTCGCGAACACACGTTCCATATCCAATTGACAATCGGTATGTAACCGCAAAATCGTAGAAAGCTGCCGTACTGAGTTACCCAAAATAAACATAGCAATTGTATTGCAATATTGTTACAGATTAAAGTGAGTCACGAGGTGCATATGCGTACAGTGGGTGCGAAAATAATAGCAGCCATGAGTACAGTTCACACGGGACGGCGGGCACTGTAAATGAGGCAATCACTTATGATAATTTTGATTACCTCTTTCATTGAAGTGGATTACAAACTTAATTAATAATGTATTACCGGCTCAGTTTCATTAAAATTAGTTTGATAATTATAACAAAGTTATTAGGCACTTAATAATTTAAATCATTTAGGAAATTATGTCATTAATGAAAGGAACCTTATACAAACCGTACTACATTTTACATAATTTGCTGTCGATTATATTAGATTTGCAATACTTCGGTACTGTAATGTATGTTTTGATTAAGTGATTGTTGAGTAAAATAATAAATTATTATTATTATTAAATGATACGGTTTAGATTCATTAGTTGTTTATTTATGAAAGTAATAACTGAGTGAGCATTTTTGTACTACTTTTTTGTTAACTCTTAGCAATTAATTGTATGAGACCTAGAGATTTTACTCGCAGCTTAATTTCAAATCAGTTCCAATCTTAACGCTTTGATCCGTTGACTAGATCAACTTTCTAAAATCTCTCCTAACATTCTGAAACGGACTGTTTGACTCTCTGCCAAGACCTGTCACTTACCGCACATAACACTCAATGTCACTCGTCACTGAGAAATCTCCTAACCCAGAGCCGAGAAAACCTGGCGACCGGCCGGCAATCTTTCTCTCGCTAGCTCCCTAATTGATTTTGTTCTGGCGATGACACAGAAAATATACACAAAATGTATCTTCTGGGCAACAACTGTCTGTGTGTTCAGATATTTTGAGGTGTTTTTGCGCTGCGCATTTTGATGCCCGGTTCCGTTCTCAGCCGATCTGATATGTGTGATCATTGGGTTCGCCTCGTGGTGTTGCCCGTGGATGAGCTTATGTCACATTTATTGGTTTCGATCGGAAACAAGAGTGTGGAGCCAGCCCTCTCCCACCCATAAAACAGAAAGACTATTTGTCTTCGCATTAAGATAGAATCAGAATCGGAATCGGGTCCGGGATTGACGTCTAATGGATGAGCACTGTCTGGCAGGGGATTACTCCATTAGATTCTAGATTAAGCTCAGCTTTGTTTACCTCACCAATTCGGTGGGAGAGTCAATATTGATGTTATGATTAACCACTTTTGTCTTTCTTATTTGACTTCACTTCATTAAGTCGTTGAAATCTTTATAATTGAACCCACGTGTTGAATATTTAAACAAAATACGGCTCGGATTTCAACCAAAAAAGAACAGTATCTCAACCCAAAAAGGAAAAGACTTTTATATGATACAATAAATCATATTTTTCCAATAATTTTCGGCTATTTTTTCAGACAAAATGTGTTTGTGGAAGAACGACCAATTCCACTTGCGGAACTCTTAAACTCTATTATCTATTCAATTAACAAAGCCGAACACATGCACTTTTTGTGAATTTTTCAGCACTTTTCTTAACAGCTGATTCCGATTAGGTTGATTTTTAACTTTTTCAGCAAGTTAATTAAAGTTTATATATAAAATTACTCATAATGTTCTTGAAATAATATTTTTGTTTTCCATTTACAAAATTGTTATGAATAATAGACTTATGATAAGATTTCCGCTCATTTCAGTTAAAAAACAGTTCAAAAATTATAAAAACTGTGATGTCATAAGTGATAATTTATTTAGTAAAACTAAACTCAAAACCATGCCAGTTATGATACAGAGTGAAGTTTCTTAACTTTTGGAATATTTTTAATTAAAAAAATGAAGTATCTCTAAACATACATTTTAACTCTCTATAAAAACTTAAAATAAACCCTAAAAAAAATATTACAACAAAATTGTTTCGGTGAATAATTTTTCTAAGTATAAATGACAGCAAACAGTTTTATTATACCAAAACAAATCCGAAAGAAATCTTGCAATTTCCAACTCTTGACTTATCTTATTTATTATTTTTCTGATGCTTTCGCTGCACTCACGGATAAAGTGCTAAAAGCCATTGAGCGATCGATCAATATCGAATCAAAAAAAGGGAAAATATAAATGTGGCCATGTGGCAACAATTTGTTTGCTGGATTTACATGGCTTTCGCGTCCGTACAAAAGTCGAAAATAAAAACAATTATTTTACGGCTCTTATTTTAAGCAAGTAAACGTTTATTCAATAAAAACACACTGAAAGCGCGTAGGCATTGCCACAGTGTCTGCTATTAAACACTGGCCAACAAAGCCGCGATTCCAGATTGGCAATCGCTCGTCGCTCTCTCGCTGCCAAGTATCTCAAAGTTTTGCGCTGGTTCGCTTTGCGATTGGCGCTCGACGTTCAGTTACTTGAACGACTTTTCGCGAGGCGGACGTGTTGGACGCGGTATTGCAGCTCAGATGGCAACCAATTGAACTTGATCGGCTCTATACTATAGCTTATAGTGAACACGCAAACGAAATTGAACAAATCCAAAATAAAAGCCAACAATAACAGACACTAATTTATTGTTATAAAACTCGCAAAAGGTGATCGAAAACCACTTATCTGAGATCTATAACGAAAAATACAAAATATCAGGCTCAGAAGAAGAACTGTAAAGGCAAAAGTTTTGTGACCCTTTTACCCCCGTCCTTGTGAGTGCCCTAAAAGGACAGTTTATTTCGGTGGCAGATATTTTTGGAAACTTTTGTTTTTCATATTTCAAGTGACAGCCTTTGACCTTGGTTCGTCTGGTTGATTACCATTTGTTAATCAAATTTATTCTTTTGTTGCTCTGTGAAACTGTGATTTGGCTTTCGACGCCCTCTGGCCTCATAAATATTTATTTAGTTTTTCGCCTTAGCCAAGCCTAGAACTTTTTCATGTTATTTTGCTTAAATTGTTTTTTATGGAATTCAGCGATAAGATATTTAGTTTGCTATCTCTCCTTTAAATTATAACATTATCATTAAACCGATTTTCCTAAGGCTTGGCTCATTTATGTCTGCCTAATTTAATGGCAACGATAATTTGGCAAACAAACATAGAGTCAATAAATAAAATTCCCAAGTCCTCGCGGTTTTTACAGCCTTGTGACTAATTTTTTATGTTTTTATTGTTATATATTATTTTAATATATAAAACCAACTAAATAAAAAACAGGGAATAAATTTAAATCAAAATTATTTGCTTACCTAGCCTTTCCTTGTTTACTTTTCCTTAGAACCATTTTCAAACGTTATTTCTAAGAACTGTAAAATAATAAAACAAAACGATTTCCAAGGCAGGGCTTACCCCTTGGCCTTTTAACCCGTTTGTACTTTTAGCCCATTCCATTAGCCACTATCGATGTACTGAACACGAAACTAATTACGGATTTTCCGCTGAAATCCACTTTTTCCTGTTTACAAGTACTTACATGAGTAAATTGACGCTCGAAAAACATGTAAATGGGCTAAGCACGTGTCCCCAACCTCTCTCTCTCATTGAAATGTCGGCTAAATCGCTGCGATAACCTTAAGGCATTCTATATCTACAATAAACTCTAGGCAACAACAAAAGTTTATTTGCCGAAACAGCAATAACAAAGTTCGGTTGCGGATTGTATTGAAAATTTGCGGTTAACCACTAATTAGATACACAAATTTGTTATTGCTGATTTGTATTTTGACTGAAAGAGACACAAATGCTGATCAGTCTAAAAATACGTATGCAAAATGGAAAGACTTTCACAGTTGCCATATTTGCATATTGCCTAAGACTTGAATTTTGAATTTTAGTGCAATTTGCTTTTAGTTTTTATTTGTTTGTGATTTTTGTATTTGTTGGGCTCGGCGTTGACGTCTTATTGCAAAATCAAATTGGCTTCCACCGGCGGCAAACAGTGTATGCAAATTTCAATTTTTGTATTTAGTTGTCTGCGGCTAACTTTCTTTCCGTTTTGCGGCTTTCTTTTCACTGCCACGTTCCGTTCGCATAACGCACACTTTGTCTGTCAATTGTCTAAGCATTTTGGACCAGGCCAAGTGTTTTCATTCGCCTTGGCTTTGGCATTGTTATTGTTAACTGGTATTTTATCAGCTCAACTTTTTTGTGCGTTCCTCGTGTTGTTGTTGATATTATTTTGGTTCTATTAAAACCGGCGCAACAACAGTGTTTGTGATAAGAACAACACATTTTTATTTTGGTTTCTATTTCTCTCTTTGGCAGCGACATTGCCAACACAAAAACGCCATAAAAGTTTTCTTCTGTTGCTATGTTATCTTTGAATTAGGAATGAGCGAGAGATCTACACATATTATTTTGCTTGGTAGTGCAATTGTTACTTATCTTGGATGCTGATAATTTTAGTGATTATAGCATGCGAGAGAATGCCAGAAATCCTTTTTTGAATTCACTTGGCTTAAGGGAAATTACAGATAAAAAGATTAAAAACTGATAAAATTTAATCGTTTTAATGCCTAAAATATAGATTTAAACAAATGTTAATTAATTGATCAAATTTTAAACTTTTTTCTTCGAAAACGCAAACAATCCATATTAGAAATATTAAATTTTGATACGCAATAGCTGATTTATGGCAAACTTACAAAAGTTTCAAGGCTTTAGATGCTTACACAACTGGAATTGAAAAATGGAGACACATCGTATTTAGAACTATATATAAACAGATTATACAATCCACCTGTACAAACTTGTGGGCGTGTGGGAGCGATGTCATAAAGACTTTTGAAGGCATCACCTTGACATAGAGCTCATCCCATCTGTCCAACTGGGATATATAATTATATATTTCACACCAACTTCCGAATATATTCTATATACTTTTATATATTTGCTGTGGATCCCGCCACCGGCAGTAATGATCTGTCGTCATTCCACTCAATTTAGTCGGTTTGTTTACACAATTTTATTGTTGCCGTTGGCGTTCGTTATATTTGATTTATATTTTTTATATTTTTGTAGCTTGCCAATGAGCTCAGCTTGGTATTTGTTCTAGAATTGTTGGGATAGATAGAACAAAATCGTAGGTGGTAGCGGTAGCGTATGAGTAATGTTCGATGCTGTTCGATCACGCATACGCACCATTGTGCCCGGCTAATTTGCATTGCACTTGAATTGCCACTTATTTATGGGCATTTAATTGCGGTAAATGCGCTTTTCCTCACCTAATTGCTTTTCACACGCCTCGAAAATGATTTTTTATTTTCTATTTATTGTTCGCCCTGTTTCTTTCCTTTTCCGCTGGCGGCGCCTTTTACTTTTTCTCACTGACTTTAATTATAGTTTCTTTGACTAAACACAAATCAGTAATGAAAAGAGAAAAAATTGAAAAAGGTGTAACCACCTTTCGGTTAATTAATTTTTATGGTTCGTACCTGGTTTTCTTTTTCTTTTGCGATTATGAAATGATATTTCAGTTGGCACCTGTTTTGCTTCAAAATCTTTTCAAATGATTTATTGTCACAACTGAGTGAACCGGAGTCTTTCTCTGGCTTTTCGTGTAAACAAACCCATTATTGCCTTCATATTTTTCCGCTCTTTTTTTCGTTAGCTACTTTTGGCCAGTAAATTGTTGTTTGTTTTCTTCGCTGAGATAATTTTCTGCTACTAATAAATTATCGGCCTCTGAAGTTTTTCATAAGCCTAATGGAATTGTCCATTAAGAAATGTCGGTGGACCTCAAATAAGGAAAGGTTTTGGGTTCTTAGACTTTTTATAAAAATAATTATGTAATTATACTTATAATTATAATTATATTTAAAATTATTTTTGTAAGTGCAAATTTAATCATAGGTTACCCCAACTATAATATTCTTGTAATTTCTGTTCTCAATTTATTTTTTCATATTTTTCTATTTGGTGTCCAATTTTTTATTGATCTCCAGACAAACAATAAATACATATAGGTTCCTCTCCCTTTTGTTTTTCCTTGGCAATTCCATGCTTGAACCGAAACCAACCAAGTTCAGCTCGAATGCTTAACACTTAACAATTAAACAACAATTTTAATCACTTTTTCTCTCACTTTTTGGTTATTTTTTGTGTTCTCTTTTGTTTGCTCATTGTTTGGCTTACACTTCAGTGCTTTTAATTATTTCGTATGCAATAAAGCTCTAAGCAAGAACAGCAAAAGCAAAAGTCAAATAAATTAACACGTCACTTACACAATTCTCGGACCACAGCACTTAAGTCTCGCTTGAAACAGCCCCAAGTACTAAGCTAAAATTCAACTGAAATGCGTACTTAAGTAAATATGCTTAAAAAGAACAAACAAATCAAAATATAGCTTAAAAAGTAAACCATTCTCTATAATTTAAATTGTTTGCAGAAGTTTAAAAATAATTACTGCTTAAGAGATAAGCTAAATAATAATTGTATTGTAAAATACCTATTTTAGCAAACTTGTCAAAACTTTATACAAACCAAACTTAAGTGGCATCCATTAAAATTGATGGATGATGGGCCTCCTTTAATAATGACATTAATGTCCACTTTGTCTCTCAAATACAGTTATAAATTCCGACACGCCCACATTTTAAAGTCTGTGATCGAATATCCATCGAAATAAATTCCAATTCCAATTGCGTGTGGGTTGCACAACCGAAAATTTTATGGCAACTGACCAAATTCAAAACAAATTACTTTCAGCATTCTTCGCTGACTCTTTAGCCAAAATATTTCTGAAGAGTCTTTTTCATAATTTGACATAGCAAACAAACAATAATTAAGTTGTTTTTTCTGCTTATCTCAAGATCAAAACACACGCGTCAGACGGAATATAAATTATTTCCAAATAATAATAAAAAAAACTTAAGTTGCTTGTTTGTTTAACTTCTCTCATTTGGTTCTTAATTATGGGGAAGGTAAACAAATATTGATTGCAGGTGGAAAAGTCAAATGTCAATTCGGATTGATGTTTAATATACTGTTTTCTTTCTTTTTAAATGGTGTCATTAAATGGTGTCTAGTTTCGTTCTCTGACGGAAACTTGTTTTTAAGATTTTGCATAAGATTGATGGATTGCTATAGCTGAAAATGCTAATCTATGTTACCCAGGGGAATCAAGTGACATTAATTTTATACACATTAAGTTTTATGGTCCAGAGACTGTGATTTTCTGAATGTATCGGTTTATATCTTTCTTCTAAAACTGCTTGATAAATAACTAAATGGTAAAACACCAAAATGTCAAGGTTTTTTTACAAACACAGATAAAATATTTCAAAGTGGCAAAAATATCATATTACTTTATATATATATATATATTTATATATATTTTTGAATGCAATATATGTCAAGTTTGAATTCGACATTAAATACGATTAAACTAATCATTTTAGATGTTTGATAAAACAAATTTAAAATTTATGTAAATATATGGTGTTAAAAATGGTACAAAAAGATTTTTATTGCTGGATTTATTCTTGCACTTGTTTTCAGACATTTGAGTGTGCGGAAACAGTTCGCTTAGCTGTCTATATCTTTCAGTTTTTTTTAATTATTTCCAAGAAAACATTCACCCAACACTTTCCAAGTTATCTAATCTTTTTGAAATGAAATAAGACTCTTTTGGGGTGGGGAGTTTGATCTGCCCGAGCGACCCATAACTAATTGCCACTTTTGCACTTTACTTTTTTCTGCCTTTTATTTTGCCCACATTTTCTTGGCTGAGCTTTCTTGGCCCGTTACCATGGCCTGAATTCGCTTAGCTTAGCCCCCAGCCCTTAGCTGTAATTATATTTTAATTTTTAAGGTAACATTTTAGTGCTGTTAATTTTGCTATGCTCATTTTGCGTTTCTTGCGTTTGTTTCTTTTTTCGATTTTAATTTTATTTTTAGACACAGCCAGCATGAGTCGTGAAAGCGATGACAATTTAAGTTCGATCAATTCGGCTTATACAGGTAAATATATTTTTACGTTTCACTTTATTGATTGCGTTTATTTGTTAATTTTACACATGTTTTTTACTTGGCTTTTGCTGAATGCGTTTCATTTAATCTCCTCCATGACATTATTAATATTTAATTAATTTCAATTAATTGCTTGTTGATGTGGGCGAAATTAACACATCTGTGTTAACATCTTTTGGGCATAACATTAATAAAATTGGAATTCGTTGGGAATTATTTGCAAGATATTAATACGTCATGAACACAATAAATAATTAATTGGTCAATATAATTGAGCCAGGTTAGTTTATATTAGTCAAAATTTACTAGGAAAAGAGGAACCTTTCTCATGATAAATTATAAAAATTCCAAAGACAATAGCAACCGTAACTATGTAATTTATGAGGAAAAACCAATAATTTTTAAATTCATTACAATTTGTACATGGTAACTAACTCATATTCTGTTAGGAAACTAGTTTTATTAGTCATAACTTAGTATAAATTAAAACAAAAAAACAGATACAAGAACATAGTATTTATCTATCAATTACCTTGCTACATGAAATATCAAAAGGAAAATTGAATTCCTTCATAGACATTGTATCTTATGAGGCTTGTTTACTTTTATTGACCTGGTATTTCATTTCATTAACAATCTGTATGCCGCCTCAATGCAATTTAAATTAACCCTGAAACAAGACACTGTTCCTTCCTCACTTATCTTTTGGTTCAGTGATCTCCGAAGAAAAAACAAACATTTCATTGCCTTATCTACTTGTGTATGCAAAACATCTTTCCTTAGATAGGCAAAATGTCAAGACAATCTCACGATCTACGATAGCTTACAGCTTGTATCTATATCCCATTCATATAACCCAATCAAAGGCCTATTATAGTCAGCCGTAATCAGTCATAATTTTAATCGCTTTTTACCTTAGCCGTAGGGTAACTTCATTAAGCTTAAATCGGTTGTATAGACCCTAGGGTAACTTCATTAGTCTAAAAACGGTTTTATAGACAGTTTGTTCATTGGAATGTTCATTCAACGTTTGCCCTTCTGCCACATGTGTTTATTGTATTTTTCGCATTCGAAACACGTTCTAAACTTAAACAAATTTTAATTGTAATGCGAAATACGCGTCTCGAACAGAGGCCCAACCGGATTTTTTGGGTATTTACTGTATAGTATACATCTATAATTAATAATATATGGGACACGCCTTCGGCCGATCAGTGCGAGTCACGTAAGCATCTTCATCTGGAAAACCAGTTTTCTATTTGGTGAAATTCTAGTTTGTCGCACACAGATTCCTGTTGAAAACATTTAGCATTTTAAAATAATGGCAAATAAATATTTATATAAATGCATTGCCGATGCAATTATTGTGCGCTCAGAACAATGAGCAGAAATTAAATTAAATCAATTGAGATAAAAATAATGGCACGCTAGAACAGGTACAGTGGGGATTATTTTAAAGCGAATGCTCAGCGATTGGGGAAACACAAACTCAAGACGTCAGGAAATACAAAGATAAAATCAGGGCATGTAACTAAATTACTTTCAGCCACACCCCCAAATAAAATTAGTATTTATAACTGTGCTATATTTACCCAGGCTGCTGCCTCATCTAAAGCTTCACTGTAAGCAGTCATGCATTTCAGTGGAAATGTTGCAGCGGCCCACAGTGATCAGGAATTAGAGATCGCCAATCAGCAGCTAATAATCCGTTTTTGTCGGCATTTGCCAGAGAGTCTCGCAGATGGATTTGCATTTAACATGCCGAAAAGTCATGTAAGTCATGCACAGTCCAAGCTCGAGGGGGTTGTGAAAAACTACTCGATATGTGGGTAGCCAAAGCTGAGGAAAAACTGGACAGAAATTGCCTCATGAGGCGGGAAAATACACTTGCGAAATATAACAAAGTAGGCAACGTAACCAGTTAACACTCTTCATTAGACAGTAAGCTTAGCTATGTATTGAATATATGTTATATATAAACTTTAAGGCTTTTTTTAATGCTAAAAATATAAATGTCGACACTTACTAAATTTTAAAGAGTAATTTATTTTATGAGGATTCTCATATATATTAATAATCGCTTAGCTTATTGTATTTGTAATTCTTTCTCAAAGGTTAATGTTTTGGAATAACGTTCGTAATAGAAAAAAATGATTTTTTGACAATTCTTCGGGTTTTTTATCAGTGTAAAAACCCACATACGAATCGTTAGAAATTGCAACCTACACTAGGTAGTAGATGCGATGGGAAGGAGATCGGAGAGGCAGTCCAGCGACCTGCACACAGTTTAGTTTAATTAAATGTTGTTTAATCATCTCAAAAGATAATGTGCTATTGACATGGCCAGGACTGTTGGCTGATTTATCGCCGGCTAGCGCGCGATCGATCCGCCATAAATGGCTGGCGAAATATTTGTTTTCGTTAGACGTATCTCTGGCCGCTTCGTTTTGGCCAGAATCGTGAGCAAAGTGGGTCGTAGCCGGGCCTAGCCGCCTTTTGGCCAAGTCCAGTCGAGTCAAGACTATTGGCAGCGCAACGTCAGCGGCGCCACACTCCACTTGGTCCGGCCGGGTGAGCGGTGCTCTTTGATGATTCACCGTTCGCCGTGCGCCGAGCGCTGCGTATCTGTCAGATACATGAGTTCATTAGCAGCACTGACACTGAATGTCAACTGCAAGGAAATTGTTTGTCATCTAGGTGCGTGCGTATTTTTAGAATGACGACGTTTCACAGTTAAATGTTGCAAATTAACAGATTGGCGAAGGTAAAGTCCAGTCAAGTCGAGTCTGATTCAATGCCTGGCATTGGCTGCTGCACTTCGTCATTACATAAAGTTACCATTTATCGATACGAAAACAGAACGTCAAAGCTGGAGAAAATGTGTTTCCCCTTTAACAATTAGTGAAAGTTTTCCGTATAAAAGGGAACCACTCACAAAGATACACAACATACAAACAGTTACAACGCCCAATTGTGATAATTAAAAAAAAGTAGTTACGAACATGTAGGATACACAATATAAATTGCTACCGTCATGATGTATAATGGCAAATAATAACAAATTGTCTTGCACGATCGGCAACGGTAGCGAATGCCGCCAGTATCTGCCAGATACAATTGAACCTTGAAGTTGGCTCCCCAGCTGCTGACCAACTCATGTCATGTCACGGCCGGGCCAACGCAATCGGTTGATTAGCCAAAAACAGTAGCCCACAAGACGCAAAGCCGGTCGAAAGCATCTTCAACACACTCGTACTCAAGCAGAGCATGTCTGGCGTAAATTACAAATGAACTAAAATTAAAAAAAAAAAAAAAACGGGAAAAATAAAAGCAATTTCAACTGACAAAAACACAATTAACTATATGACGTATACTGGTCGGGATTTTCGCAGCGCACAACTGAAGATGAAGATAGTACACAGAAAAAACTGATATCTATAAGTTTAGTTTTCCAATTTGTCGTTGTCTATCTTATAAATAACAAACTAAATACCTACAATATTAATTCAGCCAAATGATTTAGGAGATTGTCAGCTTAAACATTAATTTTCAAATTTAGATTGATTTGAAATTTTTAACTGTGTACTGAAAAGTAAACGGAAACCGAAATCGTGCAACTTAAAAATTGAAATCTTTTCTCAATCTCCTTCCTTCTCGACAGCATTTCTTTTGTTCGCTGCAATTGTGTTTTTAAAGCTCCTGCTGTCTGTCATTCAATGGCTTTGAAAACGTTACCAAACTGTCGACAATTTAATTGATTTATGCTTTTATTGCTCTTTCTTGTGAAGCTTTGGCAAAAGTGTAAATTGATTTTGAAAGTTGCAATTGAAAAAGGCAGAATTCGTTACAGATCAATATTAATAAACAATTTGGCACACATCATTTAGGAAAAGATAATAAAGAAATGATTTTGTATCTGGTTTTTGAGAGTTTAAAAATTGGGGGGTTTAAAAATCCTATGTTTTTATAAGATAAAATTAGTCAATGTTCAGGGTGTTTTCTTTTTTATTTATTAGGAGAAACGTTGTGTAGTATTTCATTACCGTCATATTACTTGCACACGCCATTCTCTCTTGCTTTAAGCCATAAAAATATATATGTATATATAGGGCTTAATAACATCTCAGATTACCGTTCGCTATTTTTTTCTGCTGCCATCTAACCTTTACCACAACTGCTTGCGGCCAAGATCTTATTAAAGACAAGAAATACAGCACACAAGCTGCCAAAAAACTTTCACAACCCAAAAGAGCAAATTGGGCTTAACACAAATGCGCTAATTTTTAACCAATACCAGTATGTATATTATGCATATAATATAACAACAAAAAAGGGGAAATGTCAGGAAGACTTGCTGCACAGCTTGCTCAGTTAACACCCACAAAACCCAAATGATACACAATTGCAAATGCTTTTTAATGGAAAATCGGCTTGACTTCATGTCTATGTACGAAAACTCTATAGATCTCTATCAAGAGACTGTCAGGCGCTTTACGCGATCTTCGCTATCACCCACATCCGATTGGGACCGCTTTTCGCCCGCTAGACGCTCGCTAAAATCGGAGACTGGAAGTCGCACATCTTGTAAGTTCTTTGCCCGCCATCGCCATTTTATGCCGCCAGTCGCATGTATATTTATCTGCTCTCCTATCTGTATCTGTATCTTTTCTGTTTGTTTTGTTTTCGTTTTTGTTTCTGTTTTTGTTTTTCCAACGCCAAAGATGATTATTATCTAGAGGCCACTGGGCGACGTCGCAGCTCAGGTAAGCATTCGCTACGATTGTGGGAGGCTGTTACACAGAGATAAAAAAATTAACCCAAATTATGATCTATTGGATATTAAATATTATTAGGAAAATAAAGAAAAATGTCTTTAAAAACAAGGATTAATAAACAACGAAAGGAAATGGATACATAATTGAATTTATTAACATCACACAGAAGCCTTTAAACGATTTTTTTTTTGTGTACCAGAAACTTGGTTTTCCTGCTATATCTTACATCTGCAGAGCGTGTCTGGTTCTAACTATTTGCGCAGGTGGCTAGCATTTATGTATCTATGCATCTAGGCCAGTTGTTCGCTCCTTTAATGGTCATTCGGCTGGAACGTTAAGAGTGCAAATTTATGGCCAAACTGTCAAGCATTTTCTTCATGCAGAAGGCAATGTACATACCTCTGCATCTTCGGTAGCCCCAAGTATTGTCAAATTAACAAAGCCTAATGAGCCACTGAAAACGTGTTCAAATTTACCTCTCACCGTGGGTGTAATTGCGCCTCTAATGAGCCATTGCTGTGACAATATTAACGCTGACTCAGTGTTGCAAGTCAAGGTCTATCTAGGGTTAACTATGCACCGTTTTTATTTAATTTTTACCCAAATTAATTTGGCCAAGTCAGTAGATTAATGAATTTGGGGCAAAATCGTTTCGGTTTTAATGGTAAATAAATTGATGGCGAAACCTACCTAATTCATCAAAAACTTGAAAAATATAGTAATACATGAACAAGGTTAAGGATTGACGATGTAGCTTAAGCTCTTTTGGTTTATGTTAATTTTAGTGAAGGGATTTTGTTTATTTATGCTTTTACAATGGGTGAGAAATTTTATTTTGAAAGTTCATGTAAAAAATATTGAATTGGTACAATAGTTATATAAACGCCTGTTACCAAATTTGGCTTATAATTGATAATCAACAACCCTAAACCTTGCTCATTATAAATTAACCTTGTTTTGTCATATCCAGTTGCTAATTCTCTGTTTAATAGAAAAAAAAAACAATTTAAATAAACAACATTCCCAGAAAATTAAAATAAACTAGACATTAGTTCAAGAATCAGTAGAATACAAGATGCTTAAGGCTAAGGTAATGAAAAAACAACAATCTGGGATTCAAAATGATGCATACTTTTAAATTTTACAACTACAATTTTAAATGCAGTTCAAATTCAACAACGGCAATGTGAAAATTATGAACAAGTTGCCATATCTAATTGATGTGGGTGGATGCAGTCAACAACAAAATTAAATTAACTGACACGACAGCCAAACTTGGCAAAATGTTGTTATGACTTCATTGAGCTGCATGCAATTTTTATTTTGCTTTTTAATCCGCTTGTTTCCTGTAATTTTCCACTTAATGGTTTTTCCACCCAGACATTATACACGTTGTAGATAAATTGGTATTTAAAAGTGAAATCGGAGAGTTCTATTGCCACTTTTAACTTAGAAGTGGAATTATTGAACAGATTGCAAATGTCAAGTTTACAGAGCTAAAATCCGTTTGTAGAATATATATTCATTATGCGGGGGATCGTTTTCAATGGTTTTCCATTGAGCAGGGGATATGCAAATATGCCAAATGACATCATATAACCATGTGGTACACATCGAAAAAAAACTGTATTGGAGAGATAAATGAAAACGCAGTCTAGCCAATTTTAGCATTGTGTGTAGTATTATGATTGATGACTTAACGGGGTGATACTAATGGGACCCCCCATCTTGATGTTGGTTTCCCCTCGAACAGATCACAACAGCGCCGTGCTGACAGCGAACACAGAGCAGTTCATCATTGGCCAGCGGGTGTGGCTCGGTGGCCTTCGACCCGGACAGATTGCCTACATTGGCGAGACACACTTTGCACCCGGCGAATGGGCGGGCGTTGTCCTGGATGAACCTAATGGTAAGAAAAAAGCTACAAAACTTCTTTGAAAAAACCCCCATTTTAAAATATGTATATATTTTTCCATAGGCAAAAACGATGGCTGTGTGTCGGGCAAAAGATACTTCCAGTGCGAGCCAAAACGCGGCATTTTCTCACGCCTCACACGTCTTACCACATATCCGATGTCCGGAGCCCAGACGCCGACTTCCCCGTTGGCCAAAAACTCCCCGGACAGATCGCGCACAGTCTCCCCAACTGCGAGCATTCGCAGCTCTATGCTCCGCAGTCCCGGCATTGGAGGCAGTAAGTTATCGATTCACATAAGGCGAGGAGCGTTTCTTGTAATAAAACAAACAAAACAATATTCCTATAGAAAATGGCATGGCTGTGGGCGATCGTGTGATTGTCTCCTCTGGATTTGGCAGTCGTCCGGGTATTTTACGCTATTTGGGCGAGACACAATTCGCTCCCGGCAATTGGTGCGGCGTGGAACTGGATGAGCCTAGTGGCAAAAACGATGGTGCTGTGGATGATATAAGGTATAACAAGAAATCATATGCGAAAGAAATGCATTCAGCATGGTTTGCAATATACTAGCAAATTGGTTTGCTACTATTTTTGGTTAATGTCAAAGTATTTACGAAAAAATGTGTTTTTAATATTTTAAAAAAGTTAATAGGGACAATTTTATAGAAAAAATCATTAATTCGACTATTGTTAAAAAAAAATCCTATAGTTTTTAAAATTAATTTTAATGGTTTTTATTAGTGGATTATTATAAAGTCTTATTATAAATTCCTTAACTAATTTTTTTAAGCGTTAATGTTATCTTTCTTTACATGATTTGTCGTTCGAATTAACAACTATTCAAAATGTTTATAGTTATAAGTTTCGTTTTACTTTCACAGATATAGTTCGCTTGTAAAATTTCTTAATCATTTTGTGGCCCGTTTTAAGTTATTAAGTGCAACTTCCATTACAGATACTTCGAGTGCAAACCCAAATACGGGGTGTTTGTACCCATAGCGAAGGTTTCGCTGTCGCCGTCGTCGAAGAAAACGCGACTTTCGAGGACCGGATCGCGGGAGTCCCTCACGTCGATCGGCACCATGAACAGCATCGCCACCACGGCCACGTCGCGCATGCGCATGAATGCTCAGGTATAAGCGGTTACCTCGCGAAGAGCACCCTTTACTACCCAGTTCTACCACTGAATACCCACACAGTCCCTAAAAAGAAAACACAAATACCGTTTGCAGTTCTGTTACTGTTTCTGTTCATTGTTAATTTTATTTGACCCCTTAACCCACTTAGTAATTTATTTTGAGCCCTGGTACTAACGCGATCCAATTCTAATCGCAATCCCGTTCCGTTCCTAGCAGCGCAAGTCGATCACACCAGTAAAGCCTATTTTAGCGACGCCGAAAAGCCAATTTTCCATGCAGGTATGCTAACTTCTACAAGATCAACCAAATAAATTGTATGGTATTCGCTGTTGGTTTTAAGAGCTCTTCATATTTGTGTGAAGAGCTATGTATATGCGTTTAGGCTGTAATCGCTGTTAGTATACTCAACCCATTAACGTTGAAATATATATGTATATATATTGTTAAACAAATTCCACTCAAAAATGCGCTATTTTCCTTTTTTTATATTTTGTAAAAAGGTATAGTTCTTATGGTTTTGGTTATTCAACTGATCAATGATTTTGGATTTATGTTCCAAACAAAAAAGATCAAAAATACTTGTAATATCTTTAAGAAGTTTTGACGTTAATGGATCTGAGTATTCTTACCGTTTATTTGTGGTTTAACACGTAGATTGTAAGCGTACAACTAACATAAGACACTAACCCACTACACTACACACAAAAACAAACCCTCCCACCAACAAAAAAAAACTTTGTAAATTAATAATAAATGTATGCCTACGAAGTCTCAATGCATTCAATGCCATGTGTTTGAGTTGGTTTTCTTATTTCACTATGTATAATAAACAATATTTAAATATTTCCTGCACTCTTTCGCTGTTTAAGTGTTTATTGTTCAATGTTTTGTTGAATTGCTACTTTTATTTGCATGTGTGCTCGCTGTCGCCGGTAAAAGGTAAAGCCACAATAAAGTAATGAGTGTTCTTTGCTACCAGCTGCACCCTGTTCTTGTACATACACCCACACTATATGTATCCGAATCTGTATCTATATATCCTCCTCCAAACGTCTCTCTCGTATTGTAATTGTGTGTTCAGGCATTTCATCAAAGCTTGCTTTGTGCTCTCTGTGTTCTTTATTTTTTGGTCGATCGATCGATATTGTAGGATCTGCTGCGCGAGAAGCAACAGCATGTGGAGCAGCTGATGGTGGAGCGCGACTTGGACCGCGAGGATGCCCAGAATCAGGCGCTGCAGCTGCAGAAGAACATCAACGAGGTAATTATCTTCACCGATACCATGTACACACCGCTGCCCTATGCGGACAGATCGCGACCCTATCGACCCAGCAGCAAGAAGTCAAGGGTTAAGAGTCCACAGCAATCTATCTGGGTGCCCACCACCCTGAGCAGCAGCATTATGACCAGCACAAGACCAGCCATAACACCAGCAACATACAGCAGACAACCACTGCAGCAGCAGCAGCAGCAACAGATATTGCAGACACAGCAGCAGCAGCAACAACATCAAAAACAGCAGGCTAAGCCAAAGAAAGTTTGGTTTTGCGATAAAAAGAAACTCTTTCCAGTTGGCTGACGACAACACGGACCCAGTCAATGTTTGCTCAGTCATTTGTGCAGTTTCGGTTTCGATTAATTGTGTTTTGTATTGTTTCGTTTTGATTTCGATTTTGTTTTTGTTTTTGCATTGCACCCGCGTTGGCTGTTTACACAAAACAAAACAACATCCAACTCCACCCACCTCAACCACTCAACCATTTTCCTTTTCATTTGGTTAATTTTTCTTTATTTTTCACAGTTATGTCTTTATTATTTTCCTCATTTTTTTGTGTTTATTGTTGTTGATTTAACTCAAACTCACTTAATTTTTGGCACGTTTTATTTTGTGTTTTGTTCTTTAACCACAGCTAAGCCACAAGTCATCTCCAAATTGTCAGTCATTTTCCCAGAAATGAATCATCAAATTAACTTCGAACGCTGAGAAGAGTACAAATTTCATAAGTTCAACTAGGCATGAAAGGTTTTTGGGGTTCAACAGCATTTAACTCGGTCAAAATACGGCTAACAATGGGTTAAGGCTATTATTGAAATGTATACAAAACCAAATTGATTTTAAATCAACTTGCATACATTGAATGTATTATTATTTTTGCATTTTGTGCTGGCACAAAATTTTAATATACCATTAACTTGCATCCCAAGAGATTGAATGAGTTAACATTTTCATTAATTGTTTACAAAGTTATTTTATTTTCTCATATAAAAGAATTATTTTTGAGTTCATCTCAGTTCAGACACACAAACAACTTTGTACCCTTTAATTATCATGTACTGTACCTAGAAACTTCAGCAAGAAAAAAAGCACTAATTATAAATAAACAAAATTATTTGCATTAAACGTTTGCACTTTTGCACTGCTGGCTTACTCATACAGTGCGCTTAAAATTGCTTTGCTTAGGCTTAAGCTATATAAGTTTAAAACGCACTGTACACTCTTATATGTATTTTGCGCAACTGCTTTTGGGGGGCTTTTCTAGAAGATGACTGTCTAGGATGATTGAGTTTTGTGCTTTCTGTTTGGTTTCGTTTTAAATAAACTGTTTGTGTTGATAATTATATGCGGATACGTGTAAGACTTTTCTATTTGTCAAGCGCACTTTGAGTTTGAGTGTTAAATTAGCAACAAAATTATCACCCAAAAGTCCCAATCCGAACCACACCACCTCCATTTCTCCTACCTCTACCTCATCCACTGAACTCTCCATCCTTTTTAACGCAAAACCATAAAAATTATGATTTGACAACCAATTTGAACAATTTGAAATTACGCTGGCCTTAGAAAAGAAATTCTGTTTGCACAAAACTATTTTTGTATAATTCTTATAGCAAATACTGATCGAAGCGGATCGCTGGAGACGTCTGATAGCGAGACACAGCATAAAGGTATCCGATCTGCGACGCGAGTTCCGCGGCTGGTCTGGAAAGCACGAGAGGCACTGCATCCTGCACAGTGTCCTTACGCCGCTGCGCATCAAGTAGAGATCTGGGACAGATGGATGGGCGACCACAGTGCTCAAAGCTATTCGATTGGATGATTTTTAAATTAACTTTCTTCGCACCGAGAAAGGAGACCACTGAAGACAATGTTGAAGTCTGCACAGCGTTTTAAGCTGATACAACCAAATAAAAAAATTAAAGATCTTTTAAATAATGAACAGAGAAAAACCCAAAAGAATAACGAAAGCCAACTGAATTGAATAACCGAAACGAATAAATTTATACTAAATGGTTTATTTGGCTTAAAAAAATTGAAAACGAAATTTGAAAAAAAAAAAATAGAAATTGGAAAATGGAAAATGGAAAAGTTGTCTAACAATTTTCGATTATTTTGTACGAAAGCGAATTTTTCTTGCTGTTGGTTTAGTTGATACGATATATACGATATACACTTAAATACTATCTATATGAAGAAAAATACATTAACAATATGCAAAACATCTTTGAAATCTCCAATTGTTGTTTTATTTATGGTTGTAATTTCTTTGCTAATCCTGTTTTCGTATCTCTCTGATATCTCGATCCTTAGCTGAAGGCAAGAATTGTTGAATTGGAGTCGGCATTGGGAGATGAACGAAAGAAATCGGAAGAGTTGCAATTCTCCGTAGACGAGGCCCAGTTTTGTGGCGATGAAATAAATGTAAGAATGAGTAGAAATTTTAATTGATAGAGTACATTGACTTGTTCTGTGCAAAACAATGATTTTTTGGGTTTAATACGATTTTTATTTTATTTGTATTGGTAGTTTCATGTTCTGACTCTATTTAATGTTGAGTAATTGCTTTTTTGACTTTTCTTGCGCTCTGGTAATTTTAGTAGCGAATTTAATGGTTCGACCTTGTGTTGATTGTTAAAGCTATCGAAAGACATTTTTATTTTAAACATAACTAAATTATTTTTAAATGTTTTAGATTTGCTGAAGAAAATTAAATGTTAACTTACAGATAAAATGCTGATCAGTTATTATTTAATAACTGGTCTTCGTAGCTGCTAACATGTTTTATCAACACAAAGTTAAATCAAACATATATATATTATTAAATGTATTTACGAGAAGTTGTTAGAACTCAAAGTATGCAATAGAAACCTTGGCTTTTCTAAGTAAAACACACACCTTTTAATAAAAAGTAATAACTATAGATTTAATGAGCTATATATTATAGTTAATAAGGCTTTCTTATTGATTTGATTTATGTTTTTTACAGTATGCTTATTAAACAAATTTATTTTTAATTTAGGAAGATTTTTGATTTATATTTAGTAAAGAAATAATTTATAGTAATAAAAGTGTGTTTCCCTACGTATAACCTTTTATATATATTATATTATTAAAGTCAAATACTTTTCATTCCGAATCTTTTGACTCATTAGTTTTCTGGGCCGTGATTCCGAAGAACATTTAATTTATTTATTTAATATAAGGGTTTAATCCCAGCTCTACAAGTTTTTTTAAACTCCCAAATTAGTGTCACATAACTATAAAACCGCAAATAGTTTGAAATGGAATTATACATGAACAAAACAAGCCAATGTACATTTTTATAAATTCATAATTTAGCCTGGGCTCTTATTAATTAAATATTCGTTTCATTAGGCTCAATCGCAGGTCTACAAGGAAAAGATACACGATCTGGAGTCGAAAATCACACAACTGGTATCCGGTAATGAAATAACGTGAACGAAAGTATGGAGGGTTTGGTTCATATGCTAATTTTATGTATAATCCTTAGCCTCGCCAAGTCTGCAGAGCATACCACCACCTGCCCCGCCCCCAGATGATAGCGCCCTTAAGGAGGAGATTGCCCAGCTGCAGGAAAAGCTTAGCATTCAGCAGAAGGAGACTGAGTCCCGGATTGCCGAGCAGCTGGAGGAGGAGCAGCGCTTGAGGGAGAATGTGAAGTACCTGCAGGAACAGAATGCCACTCTTCAGTCTGAACTGGTGTCCAAGGATGAGTCTCTGGAGAAATTCTCCCTCTCGGAGTGTGGCATTGAGAATCTTCGCCGGGAACTGGCACTGCTCAAGGAGGATAACGAAAAGCAAGCTGAGGAGGCTCAAGTTGCATTCACTCAAAAGCTGGCCGAAAAATCCGAAGAGCTGAAGAAAGTCACCGCCGAGTTGCAGAACATGAAGGCAGCCTCTGATTCTCTGGAAAGCGAAAGGGTTAACAAAAGCGATGAATGCGAGATTCTTCAGACCGAAGTTCGAATGCGGGATGAACAGCTCAAGGAGAAAGATCAACAACTCGAAGAACTGACCATCCAATTAAATGTACAAAAAGCGGATAATTTGACTCTGGATGATATGCTGCGACAGCAAAAGGCAGCAGGTGATGAAAAATCTTCTCTATTAGAAAAAACCCTAGAGGAGCTAAATCAATTTAAAGAAGGCGCTGCGAAAAATCAGCTGGAAAAAGAAAACCTTGAAAAGCAATTAACAGAAATAAAGCAATTGGCGGAACAAGAAAAACTAGTCAGGGAAAAGGCTGAAAACGAAATTAGTCAACTTAAATTAGAAAAACTATCGGTAGAGCAGCAATTTGCCGTAAAGCAAGCTGAACTTGAAAACTCCCAAAAGAAACAGTCTGAAACAGAGAAAAATCTTCAGGAAAACAAGGAGATCAATACCCAAAAGGATATTCAAATAAAAGAGTTCAAGGAATCACTTCAAAAACTGCAAAAACAACTGGAGGAGAAAATACAAGCCCAGGAAAAACTCCTAACTGATCTGAAAGAACTCAACATAAATCAGGAAACGATTTTAAGCCAAAAGACGCAGGAAATTCAAGAACTCCAGGCAAAGTCGACTGAAACCGAAGGGGCCCTTAAGTCCACTCAAAACCAATTGGAACAACTCCAGCAACAGGCAGCCGCATCTGGAGAAGAGGGTTCCAAGAATTTGGCCAAACTGCAGGAGGAGATAAGTCAGCTTAAGTCCCAGGCGGAGAAAACTCAATCGGATCTGAAAGCTAGCCAATTGGATGTGGAAGCCAAGACCAAACAACTGGAGTCAGCAAACGGAAGCCTGGAGGAGGATGCCAAACAGTTGGCCAATCTGCAGGAACAGATGGCCAAACTTAAGTCCCAAATGGAGGAGACGCAGTCAGCTCTCTGCTCAAGCAATACGGATTTGGAATCCAGAACGAAGCAAGTTGAGGCAGCCAATGCGGCTTTGGAGAAAGTTAACAAGGTAGGGCTAATATACTAACTTATAGTATAAATATAATTTATTTATGATCACTTTATTTCCAAACAGGACTATGCTGAGTCCCGAGCGGAGGCTTCTCGCCTACAAGATCAGGTGAACGAGATCACCGATACTCTTCAAGCAGAGCTCCTGGCAGAACGATCCTCTTCAAGCGACCTTCACACGAAACTGTCCAAGTTCTCGGAGGAATTAGCCACTGGTCGAAAGGAATTTACCAGCAAAGCAGTTGAGTGGACTCAGGAAATGTTGCAGAAGGAGAAAGAATTGCAGGAGCTTCGACAGCAGCTGCAAGATAGTCAAGATTCGCAAACAAAATTAAAAGCAGAGAGTGAAAGAAAAGAGAAGTCTCTGGAAGAATCTATCAAGGATCTCCAAGAACAAGTCGCTAGGGCAAAGGCGAATAATCAAGAGCTGAGCAGCGGCACTCAGGAAACCATTAAAGATCTGCAAGAGCGTTTGGAAATCTCCAATGCCGAGATCCAGCACAAGGAGAAAATGTCCGCCGAAGATGCCCAGAAGATAGCTGACCTTAAGACCCTTGTGGAAGCCATCCAGGTGGCTAATGCCAACATATCAGCCACCAATGCAGAGCTCTCCACCGTCTTGGAAGTCCTTCAGGCGGAGAAAAGCGAAACGAATCACATATTCGAGCTTTTCGAAATGGAAGCGGATATGAATTCCGAGCGGTTGATTGAAAAACTCACTGGAATGAAGGAGGAGCTGAAGGAAACGCATATTCAACTGGATGAGCGACAGAAAAAGTTCGGGGAGTTGGAGGCGAAATTAGAGCAAACTCAACAGAGTGAGCAAAGTTTGCAGCAAGAATCCTTGACTGCCAAGGAGCAACTTAAAGAACTTCAACAGTCATTGGATGAACTTCAAGATTCGCTAAAGCAAAAAGAGGAAATGGTCCTGAGTTTGGAGGGTAAACTAAAGGAAACGAGTTCCATTATTGAAGGTCAAACTACTTCATCACAGGAAGTACAAGTAAAACTAGAAGAAGCTCAAAGGAATGAAAAGAATTTACTCGAAGAAAGTGCCAAATTAAATGAGCAACTGCAAGAGTTACAAAAGACCCAGTCGGAACTCTCTGAATCCCTCAAGCAAAAAGAAGAACTTGTACAGAATTTAGAGGATAAATTAAAAGAAAGCAATACTCACTCAGAAATCCAAAGTAATCTGTGGAAGGAAACCCAAGTTAAATTGGAGGAGACCCAACAGCGGGAGAAAACTTTGCAGGAAGAGGCTGCCAAACTATCCAGTGAACTTCAACAAGTGCAGCAGGCAAATGGAGAAGTTAATGATTCCCTAGTTAAAGTGGAAGGACTGGTGAAGGTTTTCGAGGAAAAACTCGAAGCAGCCCATTCTCATTTGGAAGTTCAACAGGCCACAAACAAAGAACTCCAGGAGTTGCTGGCCAAGGCGAAGGAGAGCGAAGGAAACCTACAAGGAGAATCTTTGGCAGTCACCGAGCAACTACGTCAGCTCCAGCAAGCCAATGGAGAGCTTCAGGAATCACTGTTAAAAAAAGATGAAAACCTTAAAAGCCTTGAAGCCAAACTTCAAGAAAGTAGTACTCTACTGGAAGACCGAAACAAGAGCCACAACGAACTCCAGGATAAGTTTGAACAGGCCCAGCAAAAGGAGAGGAGCCTGCAAGAGGAACTCTCCCAGTTAACTGAGCAACTAAGCCAACTAAAGCAGGCTAATGAGGAGCTACAAAAGTCCCTTCAACAGAAACAATCGCTTTTGGAAAAGGGCAACGAATTCGACACGCAGCTGGCGGAGTACCAGAAAGTCATCGATGAAATGGATGATTCGGCCTCCGCTAAGTCCAAGCTGCTGGAGCAGCTCCAAAATCGAGTTGTGGAACTGGAGGCCGCACTCCAACAAGCCAACGAAGCCCAAAAGACTGCCCATCTGGAGACCAAGGAGCTGAGACGCCAGCTGGAATCGCTTGAATTGGAGAAGTCCAAGGAGATTTTGATCCTCAAGACGCAAGTGAATGGAGCGGGAAGCCGGTCAGGAAAGGGAGATGAACTGGAGGTGGGTTTTCTTTAATTAAATAATAAATATATATGATAGTAGCTATGGTTTTGTTTCTTACTTATAGTCACTGGACACCGAAACAAGTCTGGCCAAGATCAACTTTCTAAACTCAATCATTGCGGACATGCAGCAAAAGAATGATGCACTCAAGTCCAAAGTGCAGACTCTGGAAACCTTGCCAATGGACTTTACCAAGTGAGTGGGATTACCTGAAGACTGCAGTTTAAATTATTTATTATTTAGTTTTTCTAAAAACAGAATAAACAATTGAGAGTTTTAGTTTAAGTGTCAAATATGTACTTTAAATTCTGGACATTGTGGAACTTAAAAAAGTGAATAATTATATTGTATACTTTTTAAGGCCAAATGCCTTTGATGTTCTGACAAAGCGAAAACCGGCGCCCAGACTTTTCTGCGACATCTGCGATGAGTTTGACAAACACGAGACGGAGGATTGTCCAATCCAGGCTAGCGAGGATCGGGATTACTCACCGCCACCGTCCGAGGCCAATAACAACGAGAAGGAGCGCAAGTTGCCAGCGCCCAGAAAATACTGCGATTCTTGCGAGGGTAAATCAAAATATTCACAATATTATCTGAACAAAACCTAAAAGATTTCCTTTTTTCAGTCTTTGGCCACGACACGAGCGAATGCGCCGATGATGAAACCTTTTAGGTCTAGATAAATTCTAAATTATATTTTACTGTGTTTTTGATTCTTTAGCATAACCGTATGGCGAGATCGATCAGATGAGATAACTTGTACCTCAGCAGAGCTTCACTCAATCACTAAAAAACACCAACATTCTTTATTTAAAATCGTGATCTTGCGTTATGCACATATTCTTGGATAATAGTCTATTTTAAATTGTTTTTATTTATTTAATGCGATTCGTGGCAAACACAATCGGTTGTTTTCGTAATTTTTGAATGTAAACATAGTGTAAAAATAAAAAATAAGAATGTGGAAGAAGACTGTCCAGAGTTTATTGGGTTTTATATAAGATAGAAGTACAATTAATCACCTCCCTCCTTTTTCTCCTTGATGGCATCCTGAAAAAAGAAAAATAAATTGAAAGACACTTCTCTTTTAGTATAAATGATAATGCTTTACATCAAATAAGCTTTTGTCAATTAATTGATATTCATTACAAATCAATGAAATTAAAACGGTATGTTTCAGAAATATATCACGGTAATATAAAGGACTAAAATGACATGTCTTACCTTAAAGCGTTCTTCAAAGAGAGATAATTCCGCCAGCAGATCGGTTATGGCGTTCATGAAGGCCTCTTGAGGGGAATAATCCGCCGTAGTTTGAATCCGGATGACGAATTTGTGTTCCAGGGGATGCGGAACCTTGTAGCCGGCAAATAAAACATTGGGGTCCTTCAGCAGTTGGCTGTTGAGACAAGGTACTCGGTTATTTTGTTATTATCCTGTTTAAATAACCCACTTACTTGCGGATCATGTTGCCCAGAGTGTGATCCTCTTTATTTATCGTAAATATAGCCGCATTTGTTACTTTGGTGTCCAATTCCTTGATGATTCTGCCACCGCGCCAAAACAATTACAAAAACTGGTTACAGGTGTTTATTTGGTAAAACGTAATTATTAACTCACTTTTTCTCGCCTTCGTACAGCAGGAATGACTCAAAGGTAGGCGGCGCATTCATTTTGTATATTTATTTTTGTTAAATTACAGCAAAAACCGAAATTGTTTATTATAAACAGCAGCACGCTCAGAAAATTCCGTGGTGTAGTGTTGGAAAACGCAATAAGGCATTGTGGTTCTGGCCATTTAACTATTTTAAGCTAAAAAAAGGCTAGGAAAATCAAATAGGGAATTTAACATGTTTTTGAAAGCATATTCAAGTTATATATCCAGATAGTTTTTAAATTTATGTTTGTCTAACTCTTTAAGCATATGGCCAATTTATTGTCATTATATCTGCTACTAGTTTGGGTATTTAAATCTAGCTTTTCATTCCAAACGGTAATTAAAAAACCGCTGTACGAATCGGTTTGCCAGCACTGCAACCGATAAGTATCGCATAGACAAATTGTTTTTGTGCATCTCTAATTTTTGGTGGTTGAATTATTTGCAATTTTCATCCAATCGCGCCAAACGCAGCGCATTCCGGCACTTTCTTGGAATTGACACGAAGCCAAGCTAAATCGTATTAGTTAAACTCTGAAAATGAGCGAGTTAAATGCCGCAGCTGGTGTTGCCGAGGGCGAGGAAGCCAATCCGCTGGAGCAATCGACCATTACGATGCTGGATGTCCTGGAGCAGGAAAAGGAACTGGAGGACGAATATGCCGCGGTGCTGGGCGCCTCCGATGAGAAGTCCTGCACGTATGCAAAGGGCCACATTGGCCGGCAGGCGCTCTACTCCTGCCTCACCTGCTGTCCCGAGGCTCGCGAGGATCTGGCCAAGGCTGCAGGAATCTGCTTGGCATGCTCCTATCGCTGCCACGAGCACCACGAACTGGTGGAACTCTACACCAAACGGAATTTCCGCTGCGATTGCCCCACCCAGCGACTGGGCAAATGCTCCCTGAATCCACAGGTCGAGGGTGTTCAACCCCGGAACGAGGGCAATCTGTATAACCAGAATTTCCAGGGCCTGTACTGCAAGTGCAAGCGGCCCTATCCCGATCCCGATCGCACCGTCGAGGAGGTGATGCTGCAGTGCGCCATCTGCGAGGACTGGTACCACTTGCCGCACATGAAGGCGCCCGGCTCCAGCGAAAAGTGGCTGGATTCTTGCAGCGAAATGATCTGCGATGGCTGCATGGATGCCAAATCCTTCCTAAAGGATTACACTGGACTGGCCCTGCAACCGGTGGCGCCGGATAGTGCCAAGGCTGGCAAGCCGGAGGCAGAGGACAAGCAGCTGAAGAACGAGTTGGATCGAAGCATCTGCGATATCATGAAGGTTCCTGAAGACGAATCTCCAGCGGAGGAGGGCGAGCCCAGCCAGAAGCGCGCCAAACTGGAGGCCTGCCGTCGTCCCAAACCAACCAAGGAGCACCAGGGTAAGTAAAGGGATCTTATAAAGTAGAATTTATTAAAAGAAAAAGGTCCTAGAACGTGTATATTAAACATGTTTTACAGTTATTAATTTAAAAGAAGGGCAATGCAATACGAGGATTTAAAACTAAAGAATTGATAAAATGTTTTAGCAATTCTAGTTCCTTGACACTGCAAAGCCAATTGTTTTTTCAAGCAACAGAGGAATGTAGCGCTACTAACAATTAGCTTGAAGTTTGAATGATTTAAGATCAAAAAAAGCTGAGGCCCAGAGGTATAGAATTATTTTATGAAAGCTTTGCACCAGTAAGATTTCCTTACCTCTCAGCTTAAACAACAGTCTATGATTATATGCTTTAAGAAAAAACCGAAATTATTATTCAAAATCAAACTCAATACATGAAAAGCAAGTCAAAGTTCTTCTTGCCATCGCCCAGGTAGAGGAAACCATGTTTATGGGAGTTCATTTTGTGGAAGAAGGTCATGCCCATCCACAGACACGATTTGATTATCACCAATCGTTCGTTCCTCTGCATATTCAGTGCAAAGGACTGACCCAGCGGTATAACACAGTCGATGGTGTCGAGAAAGTCAATAGCATAGTTATAGTCGCTCCTCTTGGCCAAATTAACTTTCAGATCATTGCGGGGCAGACGATATAGTTGGTAATATGATTGATTTTCGATCTGCAGGTCATTTAGGCCCCGAAACATCTGGTTAGGAATCACACGACCATCGGTCATCTTGTAGAAGGCTCCACGGGGACAAATGGCACACTCCTCGGTAATGATGAACACAATGGCTGCCAGTCTTTCCTCTTCCTTTAGCTTAACTACTTCGGGGCGACCGATGCCAGCCACCTGATTGCCCACAATGTCAAAAGTTGGATCCTGTTGGCAGTAAATGCAGCAATTTCAGTAAACACACGAAGTATAACCTGTTATCAACTCACTAGCTCTACATAGGACATCAGGCTGGGATCCCCTATGAATGGCTCCCTCGCCAGTATGGTGGCCTGAAAGATCGTGGGGCTCTGGACAAATGGCAAGAGCTGCCACTGGAACTGATCCAAACTGTAGAAATACTTGCGATCCTTCAGGCAATCGTTTGTGTAGCCAAAGGCAATGTAGTAATCGTTTTTGGTGGCCGTAATGCGACCCCACAGATACATGCCCGAAAAGCGGTTATCATTCTGCAATGCAATCAACGAGTTTTCAATCAAAATGCGCTGCTCCGGCGATAGCTTCATGCCGCAGTACATCAGGCAGTCGAGGCCCTCGCTGAAGTACTCTAGATTCATGGTCGATATTAACAATTTTAAGGGGAAGTGTATGAACAAGCGGGTTTCTTAAATGTTGAGAATATTTGAAAGAAATCTCTAAACTAAATTTATCGATTTCTTTGTAATGAAAATAATACAAAAGTAATAATATATAGCCAATTCTATTCTCTACCCTTTAGTAAGGCCCACTTTGGCAGTACTCACATTCAGCAACTGATTAACCATTTCACCCCTTCTTTGATTAAGGTGCCGCTTTCTGGACTAATGACTGGCGCAAATCGCTTTGCCAGTGCCCCGAATGCCTGTCGCTGTACAAGGAACTTGCCGTGGAGTTCCTGCTTGACGCCGAGGACTCGGCCAAGACGTACGAGGAGCGCGGCATGAAGCGGGCGGAGGAGAATTCCAGCTATGAGCAAGGTATTCGGGCATTGGCCTCCATCGACCGGACACAGCAAATCGATGCGATTACTGAGTACAATCGCATGAAGGACAAGCTGAAGGAATACCTGCAGGCATTCGCCGCCAGCAAGAAAGTTGTAACCGAGGAGGACATCAATCGGTTCTTTGCCGGCATGCGCAATGAGAATAATGCCAGCCTGGGTCAGCCCTATTTCTGCCGCTAAACGGCTAGCTCACTAAATTATTATAGTATTACCCACATTCCCCAGCTCCCATGAACACAAAACATACATACAGCATGTAAATTCTTAAGTTATCTTTTATTACAAGCAATTATTATTTTGAATTCATTTTTATCAATAATGAAAAGTCGTAACAAGGCATCGGGCAATGAGATTCGCATTTCCCTTTACATGCTATCTAGCCAAAATATTTATGTACACTGCGGTGAACTAGAGTTATGTAAGAACCTAATCTTGAATTGTACTGAGACCTTCTTCACATAGCTCTAATTGGTTAATTTCTGGTATATTTTATGAATATATATATATATACATAAGTAATTAGCAAAGTTGTTGTTCATTTAAAAGTCTGCAATCCCAAACTGTTAAGCTCTGCATCAATGCCCTGGATTAGTTCGTTGGTGTCGATGGTCGACAGATCCATTATGGTGCTGGAGATAAGATCACTGAACGATTGGAGGGGTGCGTCTGCCTGTGGTTGCTGATGTTGCAGTTGTTGTTGCTGTTGTTGCAGCTGCTGTTGCTGTTGCTGATGTTGCTGTTGCTGCTGCTGATGCTGATGCGGGTACTGAGACTGTTCTGGCTGGGATTGGACTACATATTGAAGCTGCTCAGGTTGTGATTGAGGCTGGAACTGCTGGTTTTGCGGAAATGCCTGCTTCATGTCCAAATTCCCTTGTTGCGGTAAGCTTATGGCACTCATTTTGAGACTCAAATAATCATTGTTATTGTTGCTCATCATTATGTTGTTGTTATTGTTAATTGGGGTCATGGAGCCACCACTGAAACGCGTTGGACTGCAGCCATTGATGGGAAAGTTGGACGTCTCTGGCAGATAAAGATGGTTATTGTTTTGCCCCATTTGCATTGGCGGAATGCTATCCACTGTACTACAGTTCGACCGAGGCGATGGGAAATTGTACTCCACCGATGGACAGTGGCTACTCCGGCTATCCACATCCATAAATCCGTTTTCCATCTTGATATCGGGCACGAAGTTGGGACTTCCACCAGGATACATCATGGACAAGCCCGGCGACATCTGTGCCTGCGGTATTGTGGTCGACATTTGTGGAGTTTGAACCACCGGATAGGGGCCTAAAAAAATAAACACAACAATATTAGCCGTATGTTTCCAATGGCAACGAAAGGAATCGTTAATGAACGCAACAGTAAACCACAAAAAGCATTTACATAATTGAGGCGAAACTAAGGTGAAAGTAAAGCAATTTGCGAAAACTCAAAAGGACAACAGCAAACCACAACATCAACTTGACTGCAGGTAGGCAATATCAACTTACATTATTTGATGTCCAACTTTTGTGGCTATTGTGGAGCTTGAGAAAAGCTAGACAACGAAATAGGAAGAGGAGACACAACCCCGGTGGACCGAAGTTTCAAATACCCTTGCCATAATTACTCAAAGATTTTACATTCATTTGGTTAATATATTTACGAAATAGGATTAGGATTATACCTATAAGGTTAATTTATATTTAATTAATCTTAGAAGTTTAAATTTCACTTCTAACTTATAGGGCAAGAGTATTTAAAAAAATTTTGAAAAAATTTAATCAATTCTACAAAATATTTAAAGTTAATCACTTTTACCAAAAAACCTTTATTATTCAAATTGTATTACATTAAAAGTGCGTAGAACAAATATTTTCGCTTCGAACGGCCTAAAAAACCAAATATTTTTTTTCAACTACGGCCTAACATTTGCCAACAATTCCGGGTAGGACAACAATTTTATCCATTGGTCCACATGGTATTAAATCCTGTACTATATAATGTGAATTTTCACAATCAACTTTCGCTACTCGAAATGTGACAATCGAGAAATGAGTTTGTGTGTTTCTGTATGATAGATGTGTGTTTCTAGGAACTAAATTGATGTAATGCTTGTACAAAAGAACCCAGCACCAGTAATAAATGCGGACTATTCTCGAGAACTTACTGGACGTTTTGACCTGCTTGGATGGATATAAATCGGTGCTCATGAGACTGCGCTTTAGGCTTTCAACCGCCTTTTGGGTCACCAGACGATTGTGCTTTGTGAGGAGTTCTACAAAGATATTCGGATTTTCAGAAGATTAGAAATGCTTATTTTCAAATTCGGTGAGCGTACTCAATTTTTTCTTATCTAGAAAGTTTTGTAGGTATTAATTAATACTGAAAGAAAAGACGACTAGAAAAGGTATTTTTGCAGATGCATTTGTGTTTTGTTGTTTTGGACTAACTGATGATAGGTTTTCGGATAACTGATTTGATTTTTACAAATTAAATGGTACATTTGAAGCGTTTTAAAATAATGAATTCGAAAAAAATGGTAGAAATTAAGAAATCTTACTATTCTTTTTCTAAAAATTATTTTTAAAAAATTGTATGTTACCCTGTGCTTAAGAGGCAATTTGTTTTGCTAAATAAATGCTTTAAAATTGTTTCAAAAATTGCATTATTTTCTTGTTTACCCTCAAATCAGTTACCCGTAACGCCTTCATCTCCACCATATCCCTACTCCAAGCCATTGGCCTCCGCCAGCCGACGAGCTATTTCATCCGCACTGAGGAAATCCGTCGCATCCCCACCGCCCGTTGCCCCACCATCTTGGCCCAACTCCCCGCCAAACGGTGGCTCCGGACTTCTGGTGGTATAGAGGGCAAAGTGTTCCGCCTCGGAGAGATCCACACTGGGATCCAGCACCACACCGTAGGCGCCTTCGCACAGATTCTTGATACTCTGCCGATCGGCAATGGCTATCAACTCCATGTGGCCATCACTTATGGGAATATCTGCCAGCTGGAGAGTGCTCAGGGTCTTCCTGTCCAGCGGTCGTCCATAGCTGAGGGTACTGGCGTTCGAGTAGCTCTCCGGCCGGAGCAAACTGTTCTCGCTGTCGCCTCCCTTCAGCGGTATGTGGATCACATCCGCATCCAGGTGGGCGGGTCTTTTTCCCGACACACTACTTGAACTTCGACCCACTGGCTTGCCATTTCTGCCCTCATTCCTCCCCAGCGGTTGCATGGATCGTGTGGAGCTGCGATTGGGATCTCCCAAAGAAAAGTGCGCCACACTGGGCTCCCGACTGCCGGTGGGTGTGGTGGCCTTGGATCCACCCACGGGTAATTGTCTATTGGGACTGCCACCGGGTGTCAGGGATTCCTCATCGTCCGCCCGGCTTTTGCGGCGCGTAAAGAATCTCGAAAAGAATCCCTGACGCTTCTTGGGCGAAACACTTGGCGTCGGTTGCCTTTTGGTGGGACTTTGATCGGGTGTACGCATTATTATAATGGGCGAAGGTGTGGTTCTAGCGGAACTTAGGCTGCCATTTCGTGAGCGGCTGACAGACATCGAGTCACTGACATTGCTCAGGTCCTGGGAATTTCGCTGCGGTTTCGGCGGCAAGGGCGGTAGTCTTTGATCGCAAACGGGCGATGGAGTTCGCGGTGGCAGCGGCAGGGGCGGTGAATGGGGGGGCGTGGCTGGGGTCTGGGCAGCATTCACTTTAATCCGCGGAGCTGGTGGATTTCTCAGAACCACCAGCTCGTCATCATCCAATTGGCCAAACGGATTTGAGGGCGGATAAATCTGAACGCCCTGTTTGTTCTCCTTGGGCAGGCCTATTTTAATGGGATTATTAAAAGCTATCTGCAGACTCGTATATGTGGCTGTCTCATCGAAGTTCTCATCCAAATCCACAGAGGCCTGTGCACTGGCCGAAACCATGTCGTGTTCCTTTTCGTTATCGGGCAGCTCTTTCACGGCCGGATTTTCGAGGGTATCCCGGCGAGAACCGCTGGCCAAGAGTCCATGGGCCTCCTCATCCAACTGATTCGTTATGGTCGTATTGGCCGTCAAGCTGCTGACATTGGTGAAAGCTGTTTGGGCCGTGCTATTCGATAGCGATTGGGTATCCCCATTCTCCACCGTCAAACTATCCGTTCTCTCAAACTCGCTGCTCTTCATCCACTCGGTAATCTTGTCCACATTGGTCAGCGGACGCGACTGCAGCTGCGGATGCTGCAAGATCTCGTCCATGGGCGTGGATGTCTGGGTGCAGTCGTCCGCCAGTTGGGGCAGCAATTGCGGCACCTCCAGCTCAATCTCCATGTCCGGTTCGTTGTCGTTGTCCGTGTACTCGGTGACTGTGCCCCCATCCATTTCGTGTGATTCACCCCGTTGACGCATCTGCAGCTTCTTCACCGCTATCTCGAATTCGTTAAGAGTTCCGGAACTCTGCTGATCGTCGGATGAAACCGTATTGTTGTCCTCCTCCAAGTCCATCGGTGGGCACGAGTATTTCGTGGCCGTCGTTTCGCTGTCGAGGGAAAGGATCTGCTGGAACACGTCCAGCTCCTGGCGACGCTTCAGCTTTCGCTGGAGCCGGGCAAAGGTTACCGTACCTGGATTCGGGTAGTACTCGAACGGCAGCGGGGCACTCGTCGCTCCATCCGAAGGTCGCACCAGCTTTAGCTCCACCTATAAAAATAAAAACGAGGAATAAGCGTCACTTTCTTTTTTATATTAAAATGTAGGCGAAAGCCTAGTATTATACTTAAGCTTTCAGTGTACAAATAAGTAAATAATTATATAACTTATACCTTTTTTATACCCCCTTTAGTTTATTGTTATTTAATTAGGTAAGAATAATCACGTTGCTTTATAAATTATTGAAATTAAATCATAACGAATTATACTCTTGGTCAAATTTTAAAATGTATAAAAGACTTTCAGCTATTTTTATCTTAAACACTTTTTATACTCCCATTTAGTTTGTTAAGTAATAAAAAACCTTGAATACTTTTAGTTAGGTAACAAACAAGAGTGATAATTTTTACTTTATAATTTACAATCTAATTATGGATTAATAAAGTTCACCGAAACTGTTAATATCAAAGATAAATTTTAATAAATGTCATAATATCAACTCCAATATTTATATTTTATTATTGTAAACGATTTTATATGTTTATCTTAGTTTAAACAATTATAATAATAAGTTAACTGTTTTAAAAATGGGTGTGTGCATGAATCAAGAACTGTGGAAAATCCGTAAAATAGAAAACCGCAAAGTGCTCGAGTTAATATATGTATATACATTTTAAATTGCCGCTTGACATGCATTTCTAGTCAAGCTTTAACTGGATAATAGAGATAATAACTTATTTTTAGCTTTGCTTACGTTTCCTGTTTAAAATTGATTTACCTGCCATATAAAAAATAACTATAATTTTACGATGCCACTCACATTGACACTATGTGTGATCTCGGTGTTCTTGTAGCGCGGCGTCTTGAAGGCGATGGCCATCTGCTTGAACACGTCCGTGGGCTGGAACTCGGCGTTGGCGAACCACGTCTCCCGTCCGTTGCTGTCCGTCTCGTAGAACCGCACCTCGATGTCGTCCTTAGCGATCTTCTCGCACAGCATGATGATCTCGCTACCGCCGGTCACTTGGGCCGAGCAGCTGCACAGCCGGTTGATGGTCAGCTCATTGCTCTTGCCGTAGATCGGTGAGGATACGACGGGGTCCAGGGCCACCCATGTCTTGCCTACTTGGATTAGGGCCTGGTAGCAGAGGCGCAGCTCATACCGATTGATCTTGTCGATCTGGTCTTTGTGATCGAATTTGGCTGCACAAAATTATAGAAAAAATTTTAAAACCAATTTTAACTCAGGATAAAAAAGGATGTAGAAATTAAAAAACTAGTTTTCTTCTTATGAGACATTTTAATATAAATATATGTGCAAATTAGAAGAAATCTGTATAGAATAAGATTTATTCTCACATAAAATCAAATTCAATATTTTTTGAAAATTACCTTAGTTTATAAAATAACGCTAACGATATTCGTTAAACTTAGGAACTTTTTTCGTGGTGTAGTTAAAAAACCAAAAGATTATACAATAAATCCAATATTTTAAATATTACAAAAAAATAATTTGATTCTAGTTGCCTTGCGGATAGCTTTAAATCCTGACTGTGAAATTTCTTGCGGAAACCCAAAATCGGCTTTATAATTCAAGAAATGAATAATTTCAAATTTAATATGATTTTTGTAATAAATGTTTAAACTTAAATTCTTTTAGGAGGACTTACCGCAAAAAGGATCGACGTTTCGCTGTTCCCGCTCCACCAGGGAGTCGCGCATCTCCAGCTTCTTGGCGCACTGGATGCCGACCTTTTGGAGCACCAGTCGCCGTTCCTGGGGCTCCAAGCGCTTGCGGTAAATGCCCGACTTGCAGGCATCCGCCTCCTCCTTGCTGACCAGCCAGTGAGGGTGCTGGCGATACGGCTCATCGCTGGTCACGCAGGACACCACGATGATGACCGGGCCGTCATAGTTGCACACCTCGACGGTGGGAAAGGTCTTGCCATTTTCCGGGCTGGAGTTCATGCCCGGAATCGAGCCGGCGGTGCGACCCTCGCACTTGTATCGAAAGCGGATTATATTGTTCGTCGGCTCCTCCACGATGCGCAAGTGGGGTCCACTCTTGGCACTTGGCTTGGGCAGATTCTGATTTAGATTCTGGTTCTGGCCCTGGTTCTGGTTCTGTAGGTGGAGTGGCAGGTGCGACGGCATTACCGGCAAGGAGGTCGATTGCGATAATATGTGCTGTTGGCCGCCTCTAGTGACACCACCCACTCTGCTGTCTCCAGTGGCACCACCGTTCAACTCCATGCTGGCATTGATAATTTCCTCTGGGGAACGTAAGTATTTCACAAAAATCAATAAGTCAGAGTGCCAGAAACAATTTAGCTAAGGTTAGGAAAGGAAACTAGAAAAGGAAGCACAAAATACCGTCGAGGATTAAATGGAGTAACCATGCGTTCACATTTCCTCTGACAGTTACGAAAGTAGCCACACCCACACACAAGTGTTTAATTATAAAAATATCTTATTTTATAAAACAGAGAATTTTTACTTTTAAAGAATATTGCGCTTTAGATATACATAAACTATTTCCAACTATGTTCTGCTCTGAATAAGTTTCAAAATCAAAATTATTATTTATATACGTTATGGATTTCTATAGAAAAAAAACAATATTTTAAGAATTTAATGTAAAATTGTATTTTATTTAATTTATTAAGTGACAGCATGTTTAATTTAAAACTATTTCACATCTCTACATCTTTCCAATTTACATAAATTACCCAGACAAATGGTTGAATTTATTAAAGTGACGGCATTTTTAATTTAAAATTATTTCACATCTCAACCTCTTTCCAATTTACATAAATTACCCAGACAAATCGTTTTTTATTAAATTTAAATGACAGCTTTTCTACTAATTTTACAAAGAGTAATCTGTTTAATATTACATTAATTACCCAGTCAAATTGAAATAGAAAAGCGCGTGTGTGACGATAATCTTGTATCCATTCGATACGCACTACGCGCTATCATGCGTATATGAAAGGCATTAGGTTGCCATTGTTTTCTGCGAAAGGGTGATGGGTGGAAGGCTTCCTCCTTCAATTTCATTTGAACTGTGTTATTGCCAGATGTCGACTATGCAATGACGAGTTCTGACGTCAAAAAGTTGCGCAGCAATTTGCTAGACTTATTATGCCATTTTTCTCCGATATTTGTTGTTGCTGCTGGCGTTTTGTTCGGATGGCAACAGCAACACCAACGCCTTTAGCCCGTGGCTATAGCAATAACAATGTTCAATTAGCCACTAAAAATTCCCCACAAATCTGATGCTCACTGCCTGGCCTAATTAAACGCATTGTCGATTGACTTATGCCCACAGATTATTCATTAACCAGAGTCCCAGCTCTGTTTTCACCATGGCATTGGGTTAAAGGGGCAGTTCGCTTCTATGGGGCTATGTTAATATTAATTGGGGTTGGTAGTAAGTAGGTGCCAAAAATAAATTGATGGCTGTTTATACATACGTAAATCGCCGAAAACCTCCTCCTCAGTCATTGGATTACACTGTTGATTGCCTGAAAATAAGAGCAATGATAGATTGTCATTAACTTTTCGCATTTAGCTAATTTAGGCAATGATATATTATTATCTGTTAGCTTATATATAGATTTTTCCTTTGTCTATACAATCACGTTGATGTATTTTTACAATTTGACGTAATCAATCATCGATGTTTTCCATTTTATATAAGCTGTAAAAATATACATTATCTTAGATAATTTTAAAACGGATTACAGTTCCTGCCACATTCAAGAACACAGATAATAGATTTTCATTGTTCGATTAAAATTATAATGGGTACTTATAAATTCTACTACTCAAATATATAGACTTGCAAATAAATCAAAATATGTTTGTAATCATTTATTAAATTATCTCTATAATCACTTGAATTAATTCCGACCCATTGAGATGGGAAAAATACAGTTGTGACGCTGCTAAGATTATGTCCCTAATCTAAGTTCTAATTATACTAACAAATGCCAACTTTAAGTTTATTGAGGTTGGTAAACTCCCAAATGTTTCACAAGAGCCCAAAGTATGGTGGGATACTCGAAATCAAATCATGATCTGATTTACAAAGAAGAAAAACCCACTTTCAATGCTCAAGACGCTTCACAATCTTTGTGATTTGTTGTTTCCCAAAAATTGGCTGATAACGAAATCTTTTGCGGCTTGGTGTTAATCTAAAAAAAAGGTGTTTCTGGGGAATCTCTCAGCATGTCATCGAATGCCATTTTTTGATAGGGTTATCATGGGTATACACGTCCCTTACCAAGGAAAATTAGTTAGTTTGGTGAACGTATCGGCATTTTAAATAAATAATAAACATTAATGGTTTTCTAATTTCTGTTCTAGAGCTTATATAATTCAAATTCAAAGAATAAATAAGTAAGTTTCACAAATCCATTTGCATTATAACATTTTAAATTGATAAACTGCTGTAAATATTTGTAAGAGCTTGTAAGCTCAGAATCCTTGTTTAGCAAATTGGCCTTGTTTATCCTACGTTCCCTTATAATGAAGGCAAACATATGGCTTTACTGCTAACAATTTTCCTTGCCGCAGTCTTCTTCCTTCGTTCGTTATTTAAGTATTCAAATACCGGCTACTGCCGCATCGATCAAGGCTATCATTGTTAGTCACTTGTAAGGGGATAATAACAATGTCTGTGTAATGTGAATTTAATAGTCTTAGCCATAAAAAGGCCAAACAAGTCACTCCTTGCGGCACATTTTCTCAATTTTCATCTCTTTTCCGCAACTGCAGTCAGCATATGCCGAAAGTATTTTGCATTTTCTGCACATAACTCAACTTTTCAACAAAAGGAGAGCACACACACACTTTCAGCCACTGAAAGATAAAATCCAGCCAAAAGACTTGCCTTTGGACAGCCTATTTGTCTAAATGTCAAACGATGGTGTCAAGCCCACGTAGACTGCACAGAAAAATATATATAAGTTTTATTTATTAAAGAAAATTGGATAAATTGGATATTTTATGTATTTTATAATAAGGGCACAGTGATTTAAATGCCATTAATTTTATAGATATTCATAATTTATTTTGATATACGCATTTTATTATTTCTTTTAAGCATTCGATTATGAAAAATGGAGTACTGTTTCAAAACTTAAATATAAAAAAATTCTTATTGCCTTAACTTGTGTATAGATAATTAAAATCAGAAATTAAGTTTGGGTTTTAAACATATATTTACTTAAAATGTTTGAAAAAATATCTTTACATTGATCATCTGAGATCTTATTTTGTTTCTGTGCACGCACGAATACAATCGCTTATACAGAGACAATCACACACACGTGGGAGCTTGAAAAATTTGCATATGTTAATTTTGTTTACATTTATAGCCTTGCAAAAACAATTTGTCCGCTACTGGATTTGCTGTTGTTGTTCCCGTCATTCCGTTTTTTTTTTTTGGTTCTTTTGCAATTCACACCACTCGCTTACACTCACCATTGCCTCAGTGAAGGCAGATCCTACGGTTTTTGTTTTGTTTACGAACCACATGACGCTTTATAGGTCTACCTCCCCATACCCCCTTCACGTGCGTCGAACATCTAAGCTGTGTAGTAAGTAAATGTGGGTCGCTGTTCTGGCAGCGGTGGCCACCGCCAAAACACTTGCATAACAAAATATTTAGTACATTAATCAGAAGTTATATGTTGTTCTTTATATCATACTTAAATTTTTTAACGTAAGAATTCATTTTGCGCCATGACTTCAAAGAATTAAGAAGTTCCATATTTTAATGAATCAATCAATTATTATTTTCATAACAAATATTTTTTTGCATATATTGCTTACAATCTTTCATTATTTTCTATAGGAAATATTTATTCTTTTTATAAAACATTATTTTACAATACAGTTTCTTTAAATCACAGCAAAGTTTAATTTTCTTTTGTTATTTCTAACCTTATGATGACGAAACATTGATCTGCTTACTTTTAAATAAATATGTTTTTTTTATAAAAAAAAAACGTTGTATTTCTTTCTTTCTTTTTATAAAAAAAAATGTTGTATTTCTTTAAGTGTAGAAGGCGACATGGTTCCCAATGACATCAGGAAACTTTTAAGTTGGTGCCGCTAGCTGCGGCTTAACTGCCTCTGACAGCAGCTTCGCCTTCCCTTAACCCGCTAATCTCTTTTACACACAGAATTTCACACACCCACACACACACACACTCTGGGCAACAGGACGGGCATTAAGGACATCCTGGCGGAGGGGTGAAAGCGGTCATTACTGCGGTATCGTTTAAATTTTTATGCAAAGGGGTGGCAATAAGTTGAACCTTATCGATTGTCCTGCTCATGGGCATAAATAATAAAGCAACTCAAGTGTAACACACACAAAAAAGAAACAAAACTTCCTAACTATCTCGGTTGCCAAGCAACATTCAACATTGTTAACCATTTCCTTAAAGCAAATGGTGCATTTGAGTATTTTAAACAAATGTACAAAAAACCTTTTTTAATGGACATAAATAGGTTTAATCCTGCGGTCGTTAGTGGCCTGAGAAAAAGGCGTTCTCAAAATAGCAACTCAGACTAATGGAGAAGCTAATTGGCTTAAATTCAACGCAAAAGATACAAATTTAGAATTTTAAGTATGTCAATTAGCCCTTTTGCAAAATGTTGGTTAAAAGCGGCTTGTTGTCAGAGGGAAAAGTATATTTTCGTCTTAATCTAATGGAATCTTTTGAATGCCGGCTTTTTGAATCCCTTTTGGTTTAGCATTTCTGTGTAGCTAAGAAATGGTTTTTGGTTTGGAGAAATCTAGGACCATAGAAAATTCAATAAAATCAATATAAACAGAAAAAAACCTGAACTAAGATTTGAAAGATTTCGTTATATTTTATAAAAATTAAAGTATTTTGTTTAAAATAGCAATATTCCAATCGCATTTCCCATGGCTCTTAGGCTTAAGTTTTTAGACTTCATAAAGTGCCTCAAACGCAAGAAGCTTTTTAAAACGCGTAATTGCTTGGTTCATCTCCATAGCCCACCCACTTTTTCAGGACCTTCTCCCACCATTTTTCCCGTCTGGCCTCAAGTTACTTTTTCTGCCAGAGCTCCTCGAATCGGGCATAAATTAAGCTGAATAATACTTTAAGACAGACCGGGCTACCAATTTTAAAACAGGAAAAAAAAACGACACCAACAAATTAAATTCGCATTTAGGCTTAGGCTAGAAGGGCGTTACTGGAGGAGGGAACAAACTCCTGGCAACATAAATCAGAGCTACAAATTGATGCATAAATAAAGCAAACGGGGAAGGATGTCGCCGGCAGAATAAAAAGTGAGTTGGGTAAAAGAAAAATGTTAATTAAATTTTGTCAAAAATAGATTGGCATTGGGCATGAAGATGTGGGTTTTGAATTACGCTAGCTTTGGGTCCCTGAATCGCCTCTATGTTGGTAAAGTAATGCTGGCCGTGTGAGTAAAATACATATTTCAGGAGCTGGAACCCTGTCACGGCCCAATCGATTGGAAAATCGTGTTCTGAACCGAAAATAAACACACAGCTAAATAGAAGAAAATAATGGAATGGGTGGGGGAATATGATGAGATGGGATGGCTAGAAGCTTGAATCTTGAAGCTCACACACACATTTCACCCACCCACTGATGGCCTAATCACACCCAGTCGCACACACAAAATTTGTACATCAAACACAGACAACTGGCCCCAATCCATCCCCACGTTTTCCCATTTGGCACCTCAAGTGCTTAAACTGACATGTGTGTGTGTGCGTGTGCGTGCCTGGTCCTGCCAGTGTCCTGAATCCTGAGTCCTGAGTGCCTTGCATTATATTCGGTATGTGCACAAAAATTAAATTCAAATAAAAAACTTTTCCCCAACAAATTCAGCCTGTCGCCAAAAAGTAAAAATAAAATTGTCTGAGGCAATGTGAAACCTTGCCCCCGGGAAAATCAATAAGCGTTGAAAATTATGATTTTCCTCTAGTTCTTTCATTGTGTCCTTCACCCGGCCATGCCCCCGCTGTCATTTGCAGGAAATCCATTTGGCTTTCCTCTATGCACTGCATATATAAATAGCTAATGTTTGTTTACTCCTCGAATAGAAGTTTGCTGAGGTCACAATCGATTGAATTTGTTGCTAACAGAAAGGAAATCTAGGTGGGGTATACTATATATATTGCACCTATTCAGGTGTTAAAATATTTAGTATAAATCAATGATAAGAAAGCTAACCCTGAGTTGGCAGTAAAGAGAAAGGCTGCATAAACATGTCAATCAGAAGAAAATACATTGGAACAATACCCTAGAAATAGCTAATATTATTTGATTAAATATAAGAGCTTAAAATATTTAACAAAAAAAAGTAAATCATTTAATGCATAATAGTTCTACGCAAAAATATCATATTTCTCGAAAATCTTTCATATATTTGATTATTTCCCTTTCCGCTTTTAATTTAATCATTTTTTTTTCCTTCTTCCCGTCTGAAGTGTTATGGAATTTTTGAGTGCTGATTGCTGCAACATTTATGTACAGAAAATTGTTATTTTACTTGTACAGGCAGCCAGCTCAAATGGTTTTTTGTTAGCTGAGGGCACGTGCCTCCAGTGGATTAGCTGTTTTTGATAAGGCTTTCCACACGCCTATCAATGGGTAATCCCAGCAAGAGTTTCCCAGCTAATTATAAACGAAATTAGAGTGGATGAGTGAAAGATTAGTGTGTGCTATAGATGCCGCCAGACGTATACTTTGTAGACTTGTGTCACTTTCCGATAACCTTTGCTAAATTTGGCCACATTTGTGAGTCAGTAACACCAGTGAAACCATAAACACGAAATACATTTTCAGTCTGTGTTCTTTTTTATGATGGTGAACATAAAAAGTCGTTCAAATTGCTTGCTATGTTTTGCAAGTATTTGTTGGAATTTTGTTTTGGTGTGTCGTGCCACCTGAAAACTGTTAATGTACCCAACTAATTAAAAAACAATTAATACGGTTACATTTTTGGCTGTGCTTCGCTCGTCGTTCATTACAGCAGTCAAAAATTAAATTGTACATCCAATCGATTTTCATGGTCTTTCAAGCAAATCAAAGGAAGCATTTCTGCAGTCAAGTAAATAATGCCAAAGCAAGCCAAAACAATTCCAGAATGTCGAACCAGACCACACCACACCACACCACAGTGAACCAGCGCACCAGACCTCATTTACCCAAGCGTTGGAGCAATTTCCATTCTAATGGCCAAGACAAAACGCTCGCAAACACATTCTATTTCAGCCAAAAAAAAAAACAACCAACACGCGATGACCGAAAATTGGAAGAAACCGCAGCATTTAATTATTTTGCTATAAAACTTTTCACGATTCAATCAATTTAGATTCGGTACAACATGGCGTATGCGTAATGGGATTCTGCTTTTCCATTGTTTGTGAAAATTGGCGGGGTGGCTTGAATTGTTTGTGGAACTTGGTGTTAGGGTGGGGGTGTAAATGTGAATGACAGATCAATGTAAAGTTTTCTTGGTTTTTGTTCATGCGGAAAAAGCAAAAAAATTGTACAATTAGAGTACATATTTATTTTTTCGCGGGGTTATCGCGCACACTAAAAAAAATAAATAAATAAAATAGGAACACGACTGGGGATTTTCACTTGCTGATTACAGTTGCAGCTCTATCAGTTAACTGAAAAAGGTGCAAAGTTTATAATGTCATCGATTTAAGAATAATAAAAAGTTTTATTAATTTGAAATAATCTTCAAAGAGAATATCGTTTAAAGGTGTCAAAATCTGTACTTTAAATAAATTATTTAAAATGTTTGATAAACAAAACAAGGTATTAAGCTAAATAAAAAAAAACTATACATATTATTGAGTTGGCCAAATTGGTTTAACGCGTAGAAATTTTAAAAATAAATATGAAATAAATAAACTTTTAAATAACTTATTCTTTTAGTATTAACTCCAAAAACCACACGCCTTGAGCAATTCAAAAGCATTTAAATTCCCACCAAGCATCTGCGACTGTGGCCATTGAATTTACAATTACATTCGATTCGAAACAAGTCTGCTTAATACAAATGGAAAAGTTATAGCTATTTGCATGGCTGCGACTTTAAATTGTATGTAAGCAAACCCACACACATTGATCAATAGGTGTGAAAATTGTGGATTTTGTTTGTGTTCTGCTTTCAACAATTACCGAAAACAAATCCGCTGCCTTTTGGCCATCGGTTCATCGCCCAGCTCATGCCCGGTTAATACAGGTTAGATAGCTTCTGGCTGGGCACAGATAAATCGATATTTAAGTAAGTTTTGACCATGACTGTTCCATTTCATTCTATTTTTATGGGATCCGACTGCCCAACTGCCCGACTGTCCGGCTGTGTGCGTGCGGATAAGGCAAAAGTCTTTAAGACTTTACGGTATTCCGTGTCTTTCGATTGCAGATCCAGTTGCCCGTTCAGGTTGTATATTCCTTTGATTACAAATGAAATAAACGAAATCTTCCAGATGCCGCAGCAAATTTTTATAAACTTTTTTCCGCGCCGATTTCACTTGTAAAAATATTTACATTACGTTAATATAAATATTTGCATTTGGCTTGGTTTATTTCGCATATTGAAATCTTGGTCGTTGAGGTTCCTGTTCCTAAGAACACATTTTCCCCTTGAACTGATCACCATTTGTGATAAGACATGGATGTAAATGTAGCTAAACAATAAATACTAAATACTTCTACTGAATTTTGTTTGCCCATAATACTTATCGTCTATCAGCTCAAAATGTTCACTTGTAAATAAATAAAATGCACATCTCAAGGCAATTAGCAAAACTTTTTTGCGATAAGCTCTGTACAGTGTTTAATTGTATACATTATTGCATTTAAGAGGAAATGTCTACTCTGGGGAACAGTTCCGGCATATGTTATGTACAAAAAACTACGAAATCTGATCCAGTATGTAAATCATATTTTGCAATCGGCAATAAACCAGGAAAGCAGCACTTGATTTACTATTTAATACCACCTGAGTATTATACTTTTTAATAAATCGCAGTCAACCTACTTCATTGTAGTGGGTTTTATTTACATATATTATACTTTTGTTCAGCTGGAAAACTGCTATTACACTAGCAGAAAAAGTTTTTTAGTCCAAAAAATACTATATTCCCATATTCAAAAATAAAAAAATTATTTTTTTTAATTAAGAACATGTCGCGAATTGAGACTAAAGATAATTTGTATTCTGTTTTATTGTATATTTTATGATTCATTTCGTTTTAAAAGTGTCACTTTAAAATGACAATAGTTTAATTTAAATAGTATACAATAAAAAACATTATTTTTCCAATATTGTTATTTAAAAAAAAAAACCCACATTGATTGTAATTTATGTACACAGTTTAAATTTATAAAACAACGGGATGGTAAAGTAATAAAACAATAATTGATCACAAAAAATTCCTATTTAATAATAAATTTTATTTAAGCACAATAGCAATATTGTTTTCTTTTACATACAACACAGTCCAACTGCGTTTTTTGTAACTTTTATTTTCATATTTATAAATACAATTTTCATTACGTGTGGCATTAAGATAATTAACATCCCGCATTAAATAGGCACTTATTTATTTATGTATCTGGGATTATAATTTATGAGTTGCGCTTAGCTGTTTGTTGTCGATTTCTTGCAGTGTCATTGCAATCAAACTTGATACGGGAAGCTGCTTGTGTATACGTTTATACTGCCTGTACGTTTCTAAAGACGACTTATAGACAGGGGGACTTTACAAACTGCGCCATAGAATAGCTGATTTTGTTTTCAAAGTAATTTATTGATTCTAACCTTTTGGGGAATGGTCTGCTTTAAAACAATTTTATTATTTTCTGATTGAATTTGGTTTCTTGATCCGCATGCACTTGGCGAGACAAAAATCGAATTATCTCTTTGTTGGGTCGACACGTGTAATTGATTAAATGTGTTTTTTATGATTCCCTTGTTTTTGGTTTGTTTGTTTGTCTGACTTATCGCGCGCGCGGTTCACTCACAAAAAGGCGCGCCAAAAATGGTGAAGAAATTGAAAACAAAAACAAAAGTTACCCCAGCAAACGCCGTAGGTATACTAGTATTTTTATATTTTTAATTTTTTATTGGCACTGCAGCCGCCTGTTAAGAGCGGACATTGATTTATACACACATCTGTAGTTAACTTTGTAGTTGTGGTGTTGTTGCGTATAATTAACCAATACACAGGCATATATATAGTCGCGTGCGACTTGCACAATATGCGTTATATTATATACATATATAGCAAGCTTAAGTTGGCGGTTCGATCGCGTCCGTCGACGGGCAAGTTCAGATTGGAACTGAGCGGTCCGGCTCACTCTCGCTTGCAAGAGAGCTTCGGCATAGCTTCGGTTTTTTAGCTAGCCGCTCTTAGCGATCGCCTGCACTCGGTACGTATACTTGATACGTATGCTTGATAAAAGTGAGCTGTAGCTGATATGACGCTCACTGCTGCGGGTGGCTCCCAATTGTGTTTTCATTTTCAGACCTGCTTCACTTTTCCTTTATTTGTTATTATTTCCGTTTTGCTGATTCCACAGTTTGTTTTCTTTTATAATTATTTTTCGAGTGCGTTCCTATGACGTAACCGGGCGCAAAGAACTGATAGATTTTTAAGTGGATTTGGAAAAGTGTTGAGATTTTTATAACGCTCTGCAGGTGTTCAAATTTCGATTCTCGGCTATAAATAAACATTGATTCCTTTAAAAAGAAATGTGTACTTTTTTGCAGGGAATGAAAACGTATTGATATGAATGGTTCGGAAATACCATTAAAATTTTGGAATCCCTGAGATGTTATTTCACATGAACTCTTTTCTCATTAAATAAACGTTAAAACTACAAAGAATGCTTTAAATTCTTTAAGAATGAACACGTTTCTAGACAAAACAAGATCAAAGAGATTCATTGCTAAAAAATCAGATAAGAACAAAAAGAAGCGTATTCCAAAATAATTCATTCACGAATTTTAGGCTACGTGTATTTACACTTCCGATTTTCGCCAAATAAATAACAATAGATATATTTGATAAATATAGGTATGACAGCTTTTATTGATTTTCCCAGGAATTGACAGACCTGAAACTAGCTCGACCCTCGCCTAATGTAAATTATAAAATCCATATAACGTTGCTAATTCACGCAAGCAAAATTCCCCAAAAAGACTGAAAATATATTCGCCAACGTCTAAGGTCGAACTGAGTTATTAACTCAATTTTTGGCTACTATTGCATCGACAGATTTTAGTCATTTAAATAAACACAAGTGCAGCGCAAATTCATAGAGGGAAAATATTTGCAGTTAGCATTGGCAATCGGGTAGAAATATTTCATTATTGTTTCGCTTGAATGAAAATAGTAAAATTTATTTCTGTTGGCCCACAGATTTTTATACTAAAAACAAAGTTTCCATGTTGCGTGGGACGGTCTGGGCCTCAAATGCATTTTTTGAGCCAATTTGCCGGCCGGAATTTATGTCTATATAGGATTACAACAAAAATAAGAATACCTGATGATTTTAAAAAATAACAATGCAAGTCCCAGAGCAACAGAAACTATATTATTTATAATTTAAAAATGACTCGGAAAATATTATTATTATTTTGAACTCAAAATCTACTTGATTTCATATATGGTAATGAATATTTTCGTCTTAATTTTTTATAAATAATTAAACCTTTAAATGGCTTACAGAATTTGGAATAAAATATATGTTCAACTTCTTTGTCTTTAATGACAATTTCATTTTGAATGTGTTTCACTGTGCCAAGAATAGAAATCGTTTCAGTTGCGATCGGGGAAGCCACCACACTCAATACATGCCATATATGGTAAATCCAAATGCAGTGACGTAGTAGAGCCAACGTCATGAAATCTCGCACTCTTTGTTAAGCTTGTTTTATGCGCTCGCCGAAGAAGAGAAAAAAAAAGAGGGAAGATGTCAAAAACCCAAAGACATCCCCCCACCCCAAATGGACTCCTGCAATTCTGGCACATGGCTACTCAAGGTCACACGCGTGAGCGGGACAAAGCCTAAGAGAAAAAGAAAAAGAGAGACTGCAGACAAATAAAGCCAAGCCCCAAAGAGGGAAGTTGGGGGGTGGCGTGACAGTGGAGCGCATAGTTGAGCAACCACTTGTTGTTGCTGCCGCTTTTATAGCTCCTCTTCAGTCAGCGCCAGTTTAAGGCTAACATATCTGCACTTAAAAAAATACGAAGAAAAAAGTCACACATAAATTTCAAAAAACAAAAATATATATATATTTTTCCTGAATAATAATAAATTAAAAAATCAAAGTTGAATTAAAATCTGTTGAAAGGATTAGTTTTTTTGTGAAACGATTTCTTTTTAATGATGCAGAGTTTTGAGAAATCTTACTTTTTAAGAAAGCTTATTGATATTTAAAGATATTCTTCTTTTCAAACTTTTATAAACGTTCATAAAATGAAAGAAATATTTGATATAAGGTAAATCTGAAACATATCTAAATCAGATTTCAATTTTATAAAAATTGTTCAAAAATTAATTTATATTGAAAATAAGTATCAGTTCCTAGGGTGTTTTAAATGTTTTAAAAGTACATATCCCCGAAAAACCGAATTCATAGAAAAACTACTATTAAAAAATTCGTTTTTTTTCAGTAAAAATGTATTTCTTGCAATGTTGGAGTCAAACCGAAAGGTCGCCGTCGCCCTCAAAAAAAAAACCAGAGAAACAAAGCGCGCAGAGCATTAACATTCAAGACATTCGGCCGGGTAACAATGATGATAAGGGAACGGAAGCGGTGTTAGGGGGTCCGTATCAATAACACGAGCGGCAAAATTACCAACGAACTCGAAATGTTTGCCCGGCAGCAAAAACATGATAAAAGAAGAAGTATAAAAACATGACTGAGCTTACTGCTTCGAATTCAAAATGCCCTCCGCCAAACAAGTGCACTCTAATTGACCCGTGGGGAGCTGAACGTATGCGAATTAGCAGTGAGTAATTATTGCGTCGAAAACATAAACAATACGTCACAACTCGAAGCTCAACAGCAAAAGAATATAAAAATAGAGAGTCTGTGTTTTTTTTTTCGATAAAGAATTTTAATAAAGTATTATTATGACTTCCATCATAAGGTTTTTTGTGTTCTTAAGCCCAAAGAGATTTTGAGAGCTAATGCAAAAAACAAACTATTCGTGACACTGTAGATAAATTTTGTTTTCTGCCTGCGATATTTTTAATTTTAAAAATTATAAGAAAATTGAACTTAGGTATTTGTCAATCGCTAAAATTAAGTCAAACAAATTGTTGTTTTAATTAAATTACTTAAATCGATATAATTAATTTAAATCAAACTGCAAAATACAGTTTTTCATAAGTGAACAATTTTTTAAGTGTACTTTTATTTTCGGTTTAATAAGCATTCAATTTGATAAACATATTCGAGAGTTAAGAAAATACTCTACGGATTGGCATTATTTTGTCGTGACATACAAAAAGAAAACGTAGAGGTGAAATAAAAACCTGTCTGTCTGCCTTGTCTTAGTTTTTGGTTTTGCGGCACTTGATTGGCTTTTGGATTCCCCGAATTGCGGATGAATCATCACCCCACACATATACGTATGCGTGGTTTCTGCGGCTCACCAAACACAATTGTGTCCCGCGCTCACACAATCACTTTCAATTGGGGCCTTATGCCGTCTGTGTTTCGGTGTTTGCCCATCCGGAAATCTGCTGAGAGCAAAACGCAAAGAGAGCTCAACGCCGATCATCAACTCTAAAGAGGGGGGGAAATTTTGGTGAGGGGGGATGGGTTGCCAATCCAGTTCCCAGTCACTTTGCTGCGCCATATTACATAATTGGTAACTGCAGGAGTTCCGCATGCAACGCGGAGTTTTTGTTACCAACGAGATGGTTGTTGTACCTGTTGCATTTTTTACACTGGCATAAATTTTTTTTTTATTTTTCTAAAATGATCTGCGCTTAATAATTGGCTTAAACGAGTTAAAAGATTTGTTCAAAAATAATTTTTAATTAATACGGATTAAATGCTATTTGAATTAATACTATACTTTTTCAAGAAAAACTAATTTTTGATAAAATGTTAGGCTAGAAAAATTAACAAGTTATTATTTGTGTGAGGTCTTATAACCTTTAAACATACATATTTCCCGAATCAGATTAATATTTAGGTATAAGGTATATGCTTTGCCCGCAAATTCATATCTTTTATTTGTCAAAACATTTCAAATTAGAAATTAAACATTTTTCTCCCTGTGTAATCATTATTTTTTGTGACCATATCAAGGTTGTCCGTTTCCAACTCTTGGTGATACAGACTAAATCATTTCACAAGCTACGGTAACTCAGACGCAAGTGGAGATACATGACACTTTTGTTTTGCTTTAGCCGTTTAGAGAATAAAAACAACATCGGCAGGTTTCAGCCACAGACAAAATAGCAACATTCTGAGTAAACAGCACCTAATTAATTAATCTCGCAGCGATTTGTAAAGCAAGAGAAGCTTGTGGGCGGGGTGGGATTAGAATTTATTGGCATTTCTCTTTAGAACTAAAACTGGAACTAAACCCTCATCTGCGATTGCAATTCTAATAATTTACATTTATTTTCCTATGAGCATGTCTGTTTGCATTTTTCCGGTCGAGGAATGTCAATATATTATTGTTTCAAAGGTCAGTTTAATGGCTGGTGTCATCTGTTTAACTAATGACGCCAATCTTTTAAAATAATGAAATTTTGCAAAGTGGTTTTTATTTTGTTTAGGAGTTTAAGAATATATTATAGTGTGATTTTCATGTGTGATACAATGCCGTCGATAGGAACAAAAACATGGTAAAACACTATCATTAAAAAAACAACTGACAAAAATTATTCACTTAAATCCGATTCTATGTAGTTTCTTATATATTTGCTAACTAAAGGTATAAACTAAGTTCACCAAATTTATAATTATTGATCCAAATAAAAAAACATAGAATAATAAATAATTTTATTCAAGCTCGTTTACTTAGGGATTCATTTTAATTAAAACGGTTTTATAAGAAAATTTTCAAAAGAATAAATACAATTATTTTAAGAATAATAATCAATTACTTGTAAGGCAATTTTAAATGTCAAAATGCAACTAAATGGTTGCCCTTTTAACTCCCTTAATAAATTACTTTCCAGGAATATAAGCAGACTTCTAGGTAATAGCGGGTAGCACGAATTCTCGGAATGGGAGGCGCGCGCCGTTTTGATCAACTTGATTCCAGTTAACACGTCTGTTTTCTTTTTATTGGTTTTAATAGCGTTCCAGTCTTTACCGCAAAACAGGTCACCAGAAAGTGACGTAGATTTTTAAAATGATTGAGTGATGATTTAATTTTTGTAATTAAGTAACTTTTTCCCCAAGACGTAAGCACCTGGGAACTGAGATCGAAATATGAGTAAGATATTCCCAAAGACCTGTTTGGGCTTTAATAGGTCGGCTGGGATAAACCCAATTTCATTGATGCTCTGGCTTAGGCGAAATACGTTCTTAATTATTTATAAACAAATCGGAATTTTGTAATCGAACAGCACAAGATTATTTATAGGCAGAACTCACCTAAATCAGAATTTCCAGCCGTGGCAATAATTCAATATGCTTTGCTTGATTTTCGAAATTTAGCTTGAATTTCTGAATTTTTATGTTCGTTTAGAAATTTTCGTAATCACAAACACTCCCACAGGAATACACTGAAACACTTTTGTATGCAATTTTTTTGTTGAATTTATTTTGCTTACTTAATCTTAAGTTTAATGAGCATTTTTGGATATTGACTTGACGTTACAAATTCGAAATCGTAATTTTTTTTTTGTATTTTTTCAGGTGATTTTTTTGAGGAGACGAAGAACCGTTTGCCAGCAACGACGAACCGTTAATGAAGCCGCCGACGCCTTGGCCACCACGCAGAGTAGTCTTTCGCCCACCACTCCCTGCACAGTACCCATCCAACCGCCCAGCCACCCCCCAAAAAGCAATAACAACAGCGTGCAAAGTTGTCGTAGGGCCGAAAGCATTTTCTGCTTGCGCACACTCTGCCAGCGTGGTGAGTTTTTTTTAGCAAAAGCTCTGTGTGGTGAATTCGGTTCGAACGCACATTTGGCGCCCAATCTGGCGGAAATTGCGGCCGCCCCAGGGAAAATGAGCCACAAAATAAGAAATCGGATGCCGCCACCGCATTATGTTACTTACGATGTGTGAGAACCCAACCGGATGTGCTGCCTAAGCGGTCGGGAGACAGACTCCGGAGCAGGATATCTTTTCTCTTTGAACTGAATGTTTATTTACCGGACCAAAATTCGTCATGTGCCAACCGCATTGATTTCTTTAAAATGTATGCTAAAATTTATAATGTAAGCAATAAGGAGTATGGAATATTAGGGTTTTAAAAGTCGAAATCAGAAAGATTATTTTATTAAGTCTAAAATATTTTATATTGCTATGTATATTAATATGCTAAGATATAAAAATAATTTGTAATTAAGTAATATATTTTATTTATGCAATAAACAAAAATAAGCATGATAAGTAAATTAAATAAAATATTTACATATAAATATTATAAAAATACAAATATTATTAAATATATATTATTATATATTATCTCTAGGCATCGGTGGTGAATAGTTCAGTGATTCAGTCACCGAAGCATATATTTACTTTTGGACTCGATTGCATCAAGCATCGGTGGTTCAGTGGTAGAATGCTCGCCTGCCACGCGGGCGGCCCGGGTTCGATTCCCGGCCGATGCAACGTTTTTTTTTTATTTTTTTTAATAAGTTTTTTTAAAAAAAAATTAACATTAAAATTAGGAACATTTTACTTACATACAAGCCTTAAGTAGGCCTGTACCTTGACTTCATAAGTTTCTTTCTTGCTTCTATCACCAGAATCAGTTTTCTTATTGATTTCTGTACGGTTTGAGCAAAATACAAAAGTTATCATTGGCCTATTTGTTTTCTTTTGTGTTTAAATATTAATTTTGTTCAGAATGTGGCCCAAAAGTCCACGCATTCGTCAGGGAAACAAGACTGGCTTAACAGCAGTTCCACAAAAAGGATCGCCCAGAGCGCTTTACTCTAAAACACTTATTTCTGGCCAGGCGATGAAACGTCGTATATTGGGGCAGCGGAACATGAAAAAGGAGAATGTGTGAGTTCTAGGATCGAGAATCCTTAGATACGAAGACATACTGTTGTTTACTGTATTTTGAGACAATTTATTGTGTACGATCCCCCATTAGCTTTGTAGACAAGAATAACAGCCAGAAACCGCTGAACAAAATACCTAAGGCGGTGATTTTGACACCGTCCTCCTCGGACAACTCGTTGACCACTAGTGTATCCAGTTCGGGGAAGCCCAACTACACGGTTATGCCCAAGGCCAGTCTCCTCCGGGAGCCCACATCCCTGACCCCATACTTAACCCTCAAGCGACGGCAGACAGCATCCTTGATTAACTTTCGTGTTCGCAAGTCCTGCTCCCAAATGGACTTTAAAGAAGCTCGACGCACAGGAAATTATCAGCTGGTTGCCCATGTTGCCTCGCCCACAAAATCTGTACAGGAGAAACCGGTGGAAAGTGCCGGCGACCCAGGATTGCAGGGCAACATGGCTAAAATGGTGTTACAGGACGGCACGCTTATTGAGGGACAAATGAGCTTTGTGGTGGGCCCAGAACAGGATGCCCGGGTGGCCAGTTTAAGAATCTTTAACACCATAATGTTGCATGCTTGGCGCCGAAGGCGGGAGGAGGTTCGTCACCTCACCGACCAGGTTGAGGACTACAAAAAGAGTGTAAGAATCATTAATATTACTTTTTTCGATTATTCAATGTCTTTTATAACCAAAGGCCGTCAAGAGTCGCAGCCAGTTGCATGTCTACATTTCGCTTTTTTCCGTTGAGAAGCGTCGCAATGACACCTTAAACGATCAGCTTAGGCAATTCTATCGCGAAAATGCCCAGACGAAACTCTCCTACGAGGAGCTGAGCCTAATTCTGGTGCAGACCAGGACAGAGAAGGAGAAACTGGCCGAGGAGGTGGCAAGCAAGGATCGGGACATTGGTAACCTAGTGGAGATGCAGCAGTCCCTCAAGAGCGAGCTTTTTAAGGTGAGTAGCCAGCAGCGGGAGCAGCTGGTGCAGTTGACCCAACTGCAACGCGATTACCAGGAGAGTAAATCTGCTCAGGATGAGCTGGTCCGCCAGCTGGATTTACTCCAAATCGACCTGGCTCTCAAGCGGGACTTCATCGATCAGCTACGTGAAAGCATGACCAAGCTGGAGGAACTGAAGCGAGGATCCGATGAGCAGTACAGGTGGGAAAACTAGAATCCTTCGATGGTGTATCTTTTTAATACATAATTACCTTTAATTTAGCAATCTTCTCGAACAAACTTTAAAGCTGGAGCGTTCCATTGAGGAAAAGGAGGAACAATTGGTCACCCTCCAGAATTGTTTGGCCGCCACCCTGGGTCAGAGGATCCGGCAGTGCTTTGCCCAGAGTCAGGCCTACCAGCAGGCCACCTATCGCATGCTGCACTTTGTGGCCCACTATATGCTACCCGGTACTCCGCCACCGACACCTTCAATTCCAGGGGCGGTCAACCGACTGAAGGGTCTCTTCTCACGGGGCTCACATAATGAGCCTGAGATTGGGGACTACGCAAAAATCATGGAAGAGGTCGATAAAGACCTGGAACAAAAGAGTTCCATCTAATAATTACTTCAAGTTCATAGTTTGTTCACTAGTTCCGTTTGTTTCGGTTTTCAACATGTTTCCTTATGGTTAATATTGTTACTTAAATCTTTGTTGAGAGCATTGTATAAAATATACAAGTCCAGAATAACAAATTTTTGAAATTAACAAACCACCCATTTTATAAGACTCAAAACAAATTAAGTATACGACAAGTGGACCCTGAAATTATCTCGATTTATGCCGTGAGTTATCCAATTACTATTAAATACATATTTTAATAATAAATAATTTAATAAACTGTTGATGTAAAAATTGAGTGGGCAACTTATCCACAATAATGTCATGCTGGAAAGCAAATAGAATAAGTTAAAATAAACCAAAACTATAATAATGCTTACGTCATAGGGACATGTTAATGTTAAATTAATCCTTAAACAGACCAAATAGAAATGAAACCAAGTTGTTTTTTATATCAGCTACCATCTTGCAGCCATCTACAGTGATGTTGTGATCAACTGGAAATGCGATATTTACCTGGGAATATTATTGGCTTAAATTAAAAAGGCAAGAATAAAATAATGACTTCACATCGCACCGAAAATTGATAAATTGATAACTTGGAGATTGACAAGTGTTTATAAGTGCGGTTTACTGCTAAAACGATTAATTTATTCATATAAAAACCTTATTTCCTACAAAACACACATATTACATTTTGCCTTAAGACTAGGTATTACAACTCTAAAACAATCAATTAGACGACAACCAGGTCGATAAGGCTTAATTCTACATCATCATCATTATCATCATTCTACTGCCTCCGCTGTTTGCTTGCTCTATTTGTAATGGGTTCGTTTCAGTTAGGTATTACGTTGATATAGATAGGTTTGATATCTGCAGATCTTCCGAGTTGAGGCGCAGTATTTGCTGATCCTCTGAGTTTATGCGCACTAATTGCTCGCTATCGAAACTAAGCAGGTTGCTGATCGTTGGACCATTATCTGCTTGATTGCCGGCGTTGTTATCATTATTGTTATTGTTGTTGTTGCCGTTGTTGGGATTGTTGTTGCTGGGCGCATTGTTGTTGTATTGATGCATGGGCGGGGCATGTTGCTGGTGTTGCTGTAGTTGCTGCTGCTGTTGCAGCGCCAGCTGATTTTGCTGTAATGAAAATAATAAAAATATATATTTTAGAGAAGTTTTTAAATAATATTTTGCCGTTTTTGAAGATAGAATTTTAAGAATACTCTTTGCAAACCCACCAGATGATTTGCAGTTAGGTTCCACTGCAGATTGCTGCCGTTGCTAGGATTTCCACCCGATGTCAGCAGGTTTTGCATGGTGAAGGGATTGTTGAGATTGCTGTTGCCAATGTTGTCGTTGGCAGGTGTTGCTCCTGTCGCAGTTGTTGGTCCTGCGGCAACAGCTGTCGCTGAGAATTTGGCTTCCCAGTTATTGCCGCCGGCATTACCGAATGGATTGGCATGAAATTGCAAGGCCTGTTGCTGTTGATGTTGCTGCTGTTGCTGGTGTTGCTGGTGTTGCTGCTGCTGTTGTTGGTGTTGCTGCTGTGCAAGAACCTGCTGGGCGAACGGATTGTAGTTGCTGCCCAGATCTGTTGCCCCATATTGCTGTTGCTGTGGGTGGTTGGGCGACATCAGTTGCTGCTGGCCGTTGTTGTAGGGCGATGGCGTACTGTTGTGGTTGTAGTTGCTCGACGGCGACAACGGCTGCGGCGAGGGGGTGAGCTCAGGGGGTGCTCGGTAAGAAAGGCCAAAGGGCTGTGGTGAGGTATCTACAATATGATGAAGTTCCTCTTTATTATATTTCTTAAAGACGATAAAATTTCATAACTTATGCACTCACCTCTTGGTTCAGTTTTGATAGGCGGTATGTTCTGTGCATTCCAGCAATTCATGTTAGTTTGTCCTGAAACAAAAAAACATAACAATAACATATGAAAATTAAAACAAATAATAAACTTAAATGAATTAATTATTTCAACAACATTCTACAAAGTAAGTTAGTTAGTTAAAATTAACAGAATATTAAAACTTGTTAATTATTAATGAAGTAAAATAACAAACAAAAGATGCACCACATAATTAAAGCTAATAAAAAGTGTACGAAAACTAAGAACTTTTTAAAGATTTTCTAAATATAATTACAGAAATAAGTGCTAAGATCGATGTTTATACCTTTTGGTAAATTATAATTAACTTGTAAACTTAACTTTTTATAAAAAGGATAAATCTTTGTTGTATTGTACAACAAACTAATAAGCATATCATGCAAAAAAAACGGAAAAGAAAAGTAACGAAACCAAGAACATATAAATGCAGCTAAATTTTGTTAAATCCTGAAAAACTTACTCAGAAATATTTAAAAACTTCTTTGCTGTTGATACCCTAAAGAACAACTTACTTCAACCTACAGAAATTTCCTTTTGAATAAAAAAACCTTTGCAATAATTTTTATTTTTCTTTTCATTTTAACTTTTTTTTGTTTTTCTTTTATTAAGCTACAATATTTTATACAAAATATGTTTACCAAACTTTAAATTTTTCATTATATAAAAATATCAAATATTCTTCGCATTTAAACGAGTAGAAAAGCGACAAAAAAGTTTCATGTTGATTTCAAATCAATCTCTTATTCTTGACTATAATTTCGACTATAGATGTAAATCAATATATATATAAATATAGTGGGGACTTCTTCCCCTATAGTTTTTCTCTTTGTGTTTTTGGGTGAGTGTGAGATTGTGCCTTGAGTGGGTGCTTTCTAATAGTTTCTAGGAGAGTCTATTCGATTAATACATCATCGGAGGTGATGATTTGTTAATTTAAGTCTTTGGTATACCGCAAAATCATCAAATACGAAGGTATTTGATTTGGTAGGATTTAGTTAGATGGCTGGCATCTCAAAACAAAGTACCCAAGTGTCTCCAAACACACAAGGGAAAAAGTCGACTCAAAGCCGTCGAGAGACACAATATAGGAGATAGAGGAGACCGACACCAGTTTAAATAGGAATTGTCAACAGTCAACTTACTGCCATCCTGGTGGTCGTTCTGCAATTGCTGTTTCTGCTGCTGCTGGAGCAGCAGGTGCATTGGATCACCGCCAGTCTTCTGACGTTTCCGCCTCAAGTGCGCTGGATCTATAAGACAAAAATCACACACACACGTGTTGTACATTTAATCGGTTTTTTTCGGGTTTCAATTTAAACAATATTCGATTCCGTTTGCAGGGAAATCTTACTCTACTCTGAAAATTGAGTGATTTCGCTTAAATACAATAAGTTAGGTAGGGCCCCCTTAAATGGGCAACCTGGACAATAACAAATCTGGTTCGAGCCCTTTCGTCGGCTCTTTTGCCTAGTATCGCTTACAAAATATTCGGGGATACTTTTAGCACAATTATCAAATATAAAACAAATACAATTTCTTGAAGGCTCTGAAGAGGATTCGCTTCAGATGCCCTCACACAAGTGGACAATTTGTGGCATCAGAGTTTATGGAAACACATTTTCCATTTCCCTCTGGCTAGCAGCCAATCTGCTTCGTTTTTTGCGTTTCGTTCGGGGTATTTCCCTCGGTTCGTTTTGCCTATTAACAATGTTGTTTAAGCCAAAAATTTAGAGCCCATTTGCTGCCGCCAAGCGTCGGGCCACCTCGTCGGGTGTCAGGATCTCGCCCGCATCCACGGGAGCATAGTAGGCGGAGGTCTCATCAAATTCACTGGCCGCCGCATTTGGCGGAATACTCGTGTACAGGGCAAAGTGCTCGGCCTCGGTTAAATCCAAATTGGGATCTAGCTGGACGTTGAAGTGCCCCTCAATGGAGCTGACCAAATTGTGCAGACTCTGGCGATCGGCAATCGCCACCAGTTCCATTCCGCCCTCGCTAATTGGTATTTCAGCCAGCTGCAAAGCGGACGCAGTGCGTCGATCCAGTCCAGCGCCCACCGAAATCGTGCTGGACTGGGAGTAGCCCTCGTTCCTGTGCTGCTGGGGCAAACTGTTGGCACTGTCACCCTTCAGTGGTATGTGCACCACATCGGCATTGAGGTAGGCGGGTCTCTTTCCGGAAACACTGCTCACACTCCGGCCCACAGGTTTGCCCAGCTTGGAACCCGGCTTCTTGGCCTTCACCGGACTGGACTTGGCCATCTGTGGTGGTGGTGGACTGGAGATGAACGGGGCTGCCGACTTGGAGGAGCGCAGAGAGGCCCGCATCGGATCCTGCATGTTAAAGTGCCCGATGCTGGGCTCCCGACTATTCGCCTTGGAATCTGCCAGCAGGGAGCTGTTCTCCTGCCCCTGGGCCAAGTCCGGTTTGCTCTTGCGTCGTGAGAAGAGTTTCGAGAAGAATCCCGGTTTCTTCTGGCGCGGCAGGGTATTGAAATTCGGATTCTTGGGACTCGGAGCCGGAGGAAGTCGCTTGTTGAGCGGAGACTCAGCTGTGGCTGGCCTGGCCTGTACCGTATTGGCCTCGATGGAACGATTCTCGGCATTGCTGTCCTGCTTGCGAATCCTCTTCGGCGGCAAGGGCGGCAGTTTCTCCTCCTCGGGGGGAAACGGAACAGTCAGAATTGCTGGCGGCACGGGCGGAGCTGGCCGGAATATAGTCTCTGGCTTTTTGGCCTGTGAGTTCACCTCCACGGGATCATAGTGCTGATGGGCATCTTCGGGAGCGCATTGCGACATGGGCGGCGTTGGTGGCATTATATCCTCCATGGGTATGACAACGGGATTCTTGAAGGCAATCTGCAGGCTGGTGTAGGTGGCAGCATCATCGAAGCTGTCCTCCACCTGCAACGGTGCTCGTCCGCCAATTACGGCCAACTCATTTTGAATCGTATTATTGTACGTATCACGCTGCACTTTGAAATCCGTGTAAATCTCATCCAGCTCGGCCACTGTCTCCAGCAGTTCGTCGAGCGTCTTATCTGCCCGGGAAATTTCAAGGGCCGAGTCCAGAACATCTGCCTCAGCGGTGGGACTTGGCTCATGAGCTTGCTGTTCGATCTCGCTGGACTTCATCCACTCGGTGATCTTATCGTTGGCCGTCAAGGGACGTGGCTCCAGGTGGTGGCCCAGTTCCAATTGCTCCAGCTCCCGCACTTTCTCATCGATGATGGTGTCGATCTCCTTTTCCTGCTCCGATCGCAGGCGGTGGGCATCAGCTTCTGCCTGCGCATCCGCCGCCTCCATGTCCTCGGGAATATGATCCGAGGTGTGATCGGGCAATTGATCTGAGGTCTGATCCAAAGATTGCTGTACTGGCAGGGATTGCTCCTGCTGCATAGGTTCATCCAGTTGAAATGATTGCTCCTGTTGTTGCACGGATTCCTCATGCTCTAAATATTGCTCTTGCTGTAAAGATTGTTCTTGTTGTGGGGATTGCTCTTGTTCATAAACGGTTTCCTCTTTCTGAGACTCCTCTTGATTAAAGTTCACATTCAATGGTAGCTCATGTTGCACACCTATTTTCGGTGTATCCAAATCGATGACCTCAATCGTGGGCGCCTGCGTTTCCCGCTTGACGTCCAACCTGAGGATCTGCTGAAAGAGATCTTCGTCCGGCTTCCGTTTGAGGTGCCGATGAAGGTTCCAGAACGTATGTTTACCTGAATCCAATGGCAGGTACTCGAAGGGCAGGGCCTCGCTGGTGACTCCATCGGATGGACGACGCAGTTGGATGAAGACCTGAATGAAAAGGCAATGGCAAGACTTAGTTTTGGTTCCGTACCTGAAGGGGGGTAAAAAATTGCTCACCTTGGCGGGCTCTGTAATGTCCAGAGTGTGATAGCGCGGCGTCTTAAACGTAATGGCAGTCTGCTTGTGCACATCGGTGTGCTGAAAGTCACCGAAGGCCTCCCAAACGCTCTGGCCGTTCTTCTCCTCAAAGAATCGCACGGAGATGTCCTCCTTGGCCACCTTCTCGCAGAGCAAAATGATCTGCGTATTCCCGAGGACAGTGGCCGAGCAGCTGCACAGCCGGCAGATGACCAGGTCGGACATGGCCTTCTTGTCGAAAATTGGCTCGGACACCACCGGTGGCAGGGGCGATGTGAAACGGCCCTTCTGCTCGCTCTCCATGAATACTTGAAAGCACAGTCGCACCGAATTCAAGTCAATGCTCGAGGGCTGGAAACGATGCGAGAAGCCAGCTGGTGGTAGAAAAAAACTTTTCTTGTTAACAATTGATAAAATAGTTTGTAATTTCACCTACTCTTGAACGGATCCACGCGAATCTCTTCGCGCGCCTTGAGCGCCGACTCAATGTCCTTTTTCTTGACACACTGAATACCCAAATTACTGAACACGGCCCGCATTGTCTCACTATTGATCTCCAGTGTGCAGACGCCCTTCTTGCAGCCCTCCTTGCCCACCAGATTGTGAGGATGAGGACTGAAATAAATGGGAAATAGATTTACATTAAAACCAGGCAGTTGAAAATGAAAAGACCCTTTTAAAATGTCTTTAAAATATTATTAAATATAACTAGTTTTGGTACATTAAATTGGGGAATAATAAAACAAAAAAGTTTCATTAAATGATAGTTTAATAGGAAGAAATTTTGAATAAAAGAAAATAGTTGATAGATTTTGCATTTTTTTAAGTAAACAATGTATTTTAAGTTAAATAACCTTATTTTACAACGAAAATGAACTCACCGATATGGCGTATCCTTGGTGACACAGGAGACGACAACCACGGCGCGTCCCTTGTAGCCCACAATCTCGATAGTCGGATAGGTCTTGTTCTCCTGCGTGGAGTTCACGCCGGGAATGGAACCTGCCGAGCGACCCTCGCATTCGTAGCGGAATCGCAGGGCCTTTCCCGCCGGCTGTTCGGTGATCTTCACATACGGTTTCTTTCGCACATTTTTCGTGGTCTGTGACAATTGCTGCTGCTGCTGCTGTTGCTGTTGTTGCTGCTGCTGCTGGGCAGGCAGTCCGTTGTAATTGAGGCTCTGTTGGCCATCAGCCGCTGGGCCCGGCCCAGAAGCGGCTACGTTGTTCTGGTTGGGAAACATTGCGTGGCCAAGATATTAACTGCAAATTTTGGGAAAAAACATAAAATTTTATTTTAACAAGAAAGAAAGCAAACTTCGGCAAGCCGAAGTTCATATACCCTTGCAGCTATTGCATGAATTAAATACTTTTGAAAACATTTAAATTATGATTTACTTCAGTATATACTGAAAAACAGTGAAGCTATGATGATTTGCAGCTCAATTATTAGATAGTTATTTTATATATTTTTATTAGTTCTATGGGAGCTATATGATATAGACGTCCGATTTTGATAAAATTTAAACCATAATTCTGAAATAATTAAACATTGCCATATGTCGAAGAACTAAACAAAAAATTAAAAAACAGAAAAGTTATAATTTTTTTTCATTTATTTCTCCGATTGTTCCTATGGGAGCTATATGATATAGTCGTCCGACTTTGATGAAATTTAAACCGTAAATCGAAAATATTTAACCATTACTAAATGTCGAAGAACTAAACAAAACATTAAAAAACAGAAAAGTTATAATTTTTTTTCATTTATTTTTCCGATTGTTCCTATGGGAGCTATATGCTATAGTCGTCCGATTTTGATGAAATTTAAACCGTAAATCGGAAATATTTAACCATTACTAAATGTCGAAGAACTAAACAAAAAATTAAAAAACAGCAAAGTTATAATTTTTTTTCCTTTATTTTTCCGATTGTTCCTATGGGAGCTATATGCTATAGTCGTCCGATCCAGCTCGTTCCGACTTATATACTACCTGCAATAGAAAGACAACTTTTGGGAAAGTTTCATGCAGATAGCTTTAAAACTGAGAGACTAGTTTGCATATAAACGGACGGACAGACGGACAGACGGACAGACGGACGGACAGACGGACATGGCTAGATCGACTCGCCTAGTGATGCTGATCAAGAATATATATACTTTATAGGGTCGGAAACGTCTCCTTCACTGCGTTGCAAACTTCTGACTGAAATTATAATACCCTCTGCAAGGGTATAAAAATAAGAATATTAAAAGTAAGGAAGCAAAGCTTTCGATCCCATTTAAAAACAAGAATTTTTTAATAATCAAATAAATAATTAATAAAGAACTAAGTAAATAATTTACTATTGTCTAATAAATATAAAATGAATTTATTTTTCTTTAAAGAAATTCAGTTTTCATACTGAATATGATAACAAGTTGCCATTTCAAAAATGTTGAAATTGGTTTAGCAAGTGCATACATCTGCTTTTGTATTGAGATAATGCACCGAAATAGACTCTTTTTTGTTACATTTTCTGCACCTTTTTTTGACTTAAAGTTATGGCCAATAGCAAACGAAAAACAATTCCTTGGCAAGCAAATCGAAGGCCCCAAGACAAAGCCAGACGATGACGGTGCTGATCAAAATAAAACCTCAGACTCGTGTTGTTGCTCAAATTGTTAGCTGCCGAAGTGAACTGCTAAATGAGTGAGTAAGATTCTCCTGACCACTGGCTATGACGATGCGAACCGTGAAGCGTCTGGCAGAAAACTGAAGACCTCAAAAACTCTCCCACAGACCGATCACAATCTATTTAGCCGCTCTTCTTTTCTGTGTGGGTGGCCATTTTTGTATACATTTGTACATTGGACAGCATCATTAATTGCACTATTTAGGGGTCATTAGGCGTAATGTATATTTTCATAATTTTCACAGGGATCTAATGCAGCTGCAACTCGGGGAATGCTTTTGTTTTTTCCTTTTTTCTTTTGGCCGGGTCCGGCCATGGTCTGGTCCGGTATAGTCCGGCTAAAGCTCCGGACGCCTTGTTTAAAAATAAAATTTTGCGTAACGCGGCCACAAAGCGACAAAAACTCTGCCTCCCATATATCGGGTAATATATATAGGTGGCCGTATATATAGATCGCCTAGCAGACTGGCCTCCCCGGAGATGGGAGGGCTTATAATTTTTTTTTTTTTTGTTTTGGCGAGTTGGGAGCAATCCAAACAAAACATTTTATCAATGATGGCGCGCATTGTCAACGTTTCGTTTGCTGATCATTCAAATACGTATCAAGGTATAAGATATAGACGAAGACTAAGTAGCTGTATGACCTCAGAGTTTATTCTCCGATCGTGTCTAGACATCGGTCTGCCGTGGGTAAAATACGTCAATGGCTGACAAAACTAATGCCCATGCATTGGTCTGATCTCAACCAATCTGATCGGTGGTGGGGGTAACAAGCGGAAGCTAGAAAACGTGTGCCAATTTTATTTTTGTAAGATATATGAAATCCTTAAGGGAAGAAAACAACAAAAAATACCTTTATAATAGAGCTGTTAAATGTACATCAATTACTTTCTTTTATTCAGAGAAAAAATGAACAAAATTACGTAAAAACTACGGCATCTTTTATTTTACAAAACCAATAACAATTTCCAAAAATATATAATAACATTTTTTTATAAGGAACTCATTTTTTATTGATATAGTCAGATTTTCTTTATAATTATGAGCTTTGCGGTTTTCCTAGAATCGTGCGATACGGCTTAATTTATATTTATCAACTGCTTGTTCTTTAAAATGAATTGTGGAATTATTTATTCAAACAAAAGGAGAGTATGGCTGATAACTGCGGATCTGTTATAAAATATCAGAACTTTTTAATGACTGCGGTGAATGAACCTATAATTTGTATGAATATATCTTTTAGTATTTGCACATATTTTAAACTAAGCTTTCAATAAATAATAATTTACTTTGTTTCAAGGAAATGTTAACAGATTGTTTTAAACATTTTCTTTAACTTATCGAAACATATAGACAAAACACATGTTTTTATTTATTGAGTAACTCGATTTCCCGATCAAAGTTTTCGCAGCTGCCAAAGTCTTTTTGTGCGTCAACTAGAAATATTTCGATTATAAATCATGTCCAATGGGACAACATTCATAATTTAATTAAAGAAAACACAAATGAAAGGACAGAACAGTACAATAACCTTTGAAGCTGCTTAAAAAATATAATAAATCAAAAGTGATTCCCACGTACTGTCACTCTGCAATACAAATTTAAAAGAAATTTACGTTTGTGGTTTGAAAAACAATTGTTGAGACCTTAAAACCCTAAATCAAAATCTCCGTGATGCACAGAAAATTGGGAAAGAATTACGTCATGAAATAATTTAAATTTGGCAAATATGAAAAGCTAGTTGGACAAATGCCAACATATGTAATACAAATGCATTTTAGTTACTACATATATATATTACCCACACGTATTTATATATTGATAGAGAATTGAACGATAAATCACCTTTCACTTATCACGGCCAAACTTGGTGGAAAATGGTTCACCACACAGATAAAATTGGATTTATTCGGATATTTAATAGGTTCTATTATTTAATCAATTATAATATTGACAAGAGAAGTATTTGAATTTTGTTCTTTATTAACCGCACACCGTACAAACTTTTCTGTAGTTTGTCGCTTTGGTCTTGAACTGTCTATATATTTCGTATCTGTAGGTATTATCGAGAGAAATGTTTCTCTTGTTGACGGAACCGACGAAAACACACTCGGCAAACGTCTTGAGTACTTGCCTAATGTCTGAACACTGAACCGAGCAAAATGTTTTTCAGAAAAAACACAGAATTCTTTATGCACGCCTGCCCAGCAAAAGTTTTGTCGTCGAGCTTTCTGCTATTTGTATTTTTCTTAATATTTTAAAAATGTATTTTCTTTAAAATTTTGTCTTATAGGTACAATGTACACTCGTATGTATGTACGTATATTTTTATCATGTCATGTATTTATTGCTTTTGCTTTCAAGGAATTTTCTCTTTCGCCGTGGCAGTTGTCCCAATTTTTCAGGAAAATATCAAGAAATTTGTTCATTTCCCTCATTCGTAGCATATATGTATGTACTAAGAGAATTGAAATGAAAACTTTATTACCTATGTCAATAAACTTTTACTGGCAATTGTGTAAACAATTTAAATTGATTGAGATCGTACACGTGTTTTATTGATTTATGACAAATTGACTAATGTGTTTAATAAAAACATTTTCTTTTGTGTTACAATGTAAAATGTAGCAACAAATTCACTATGTATTAGATCACATTTAAGCACCATTAAAATTATATTATATAAAAACAATTTTAAAACTCTTCTTCACACAAAATATACGAACTACGAATCATATGCAAACCAAGCATTCAAAACCAATGCTAGAGCATAAAAAGCATCAACTAATGACCAAATACACAAAAATTGATTCAAAACGTTCAACCAAAACATATTTATGTTTATATCGCACTAAACACTATTCTATATATTGAACCCTGTTAGTCTGAGTCACCCCTTATAGAAGGGAAAAAACGCAAATTCCACAAAATATGCCTAATCTAAGCAAAAGATGCAAAGGTATCTAAAAATTACCATAAAATGCATCAACAGAGAATTGTTTGTTTTTGCAGTGAATATAAACACATTATTCAAGTACATTTGTATGCATCGAGTATATATAGTAGGCATATGGCTTTAGGCTTTAGGTTATATTGGCATTTCCGTTTCAAAATCCACGGCGAAAAAACTTGCCACTTGTCACCATTCAATCCTTCTCGAGTATTTGGCGCCAGATCAGAAAGCTCTCTAATGAGTTGCTAGAACCCAATTATACGGTCTATGCTGGGTAGAGGATATATAGGATGTATACCTCTGCCAAAATGAATGGATGCATTATATTTGTACCAACAGATTTTTAATAACAAAATATCTCAATTTTGACTGGCCGCGAATTTCCACGAAACACACATGAGTCACAACACAAATAGGTATATAGATCGAAATATTTCAGGAATTTGCTCGTGTGCCACCCACTGTTGGCCAAAATCATTCACTAACTACGTGACTTTCTCATTGAGAATGTAGAAAACAGAACGGGAATAGGTCAGTTACCCTTGAAAATACATTATCATTATCTGAGGATATTTAAACACAGGAATTCCCCACAATTGCAATCGATTAACCAATTGAATATGCCATCTAGGGCTAAAACAAGAAACTCTCCGTTTTTTCGAGCACTGTTAAATCATCCACAGTTCAAGTGAGATTATAACTATTCGCAGGCAACCAAATTTGCTACCGTTTACGCCCATCAAATGGAACCTGCAAGCCGTAACATTCAGACTGATAGTGCTCAGGTGGTGGCGTATAAATACCGAAAACAATACTGAAAGATAACCACAAGTATGATAAGAAATATAAAAATAGAACTGAATGAATGGTAATATAGTTTGTCGAACTTTCGTTCAGGAAAATAATATGGAAAACTCAAGTAACTTTTAAAGTTATTTATAAAACTAATTACTTCTAGCAGGTAATATCTTCCATACGTCTTCGAGCTCTAAAAAATTCCACTTGATAAATTGTTACCGTAAAAACCCAATGATCATAAAAATAGTTTTTGAAGCAATAAAATTGACTTAACTATGACTTCTTTTAGTAAAAAATAAAAACGTAAATAAACAAAATAAAATAAAAACATTTCGCTACGATCATTTAATATGCTAATTTTATGCAATTTCCAACAGAGAAGACACACAGAAAAAAGTTCTTTTGGCGCCAGCACCACAAATTAAGATTAGGATCAACATCAAAGCAGCAGAAGCAGCCCAAAAATTCCTCAAAGAAACGGGTTCCGCACAACCTCTAGACAGACAAATGTTTTTTAACGATCGTTGGCGTCAAGCAATTTACAGCTCAAATAAAAATAAATAGTCGATATGCTGACAAATCGATGGAACTAGTTCCAAATAGTTTTTAAACTAATAAAAAATAATTGGTTTTATGCTCCTACACAAGATTGTATCTTAATTCTCATTCAATTCTAGCCTTAACTCTAGTCGTTACGTTTTAAAGTTCTTAGGAGTATACAAATTTCTTCACCCAACTAACTTGGCAAAAAACTTTATCAAAAATAATTGTAGGATGAAAATTAACTTTTTCATTAAACTATTTATATTGTAGTTCGTCTAGTTTTCTATAAGCTTGCATATAATATTATTAAATTTGTTTAAAAAAGAAGAACACCAAATGCAAATCAAAAATTCTTTGTATTTCAATTCTCTGCCTTTAGTTTGATTTGGTTTTTAAGAACCAATTAAAAAACGCACCTACAGAAAAGCAGAAACTTACAAACACACGAAAATGTATGCAAGGCAAAAATTATGTATGGTTAAATTAAGAAAACCTGTACTTCAAGATATAGTATATAAAGAGGTAGACGCTAACAGGCACATGTGACACTTTCCAAAAACTCATATCTTATCCATCACTCCAATTATAATGTTCACGCTTTCATTTCAAATGGTTTTAAATTGTTTTTTCATTTGTTTTTTTCATAAAATCAGAATCCCTATTGATTGATGATTTGCATAGAGGGCCTTACCCAGCGCCAGATCGTATCAATCATGACCTGGCTTTAGCATACGGGGAAACTACCACTAGATATACGGAATATCATCTATTGACTTGGCCTTAGATCTCTGTCAGCACATACAAATTTCCACTCGAGCTTTGTATACCTCAGATGACTTGCTAAATACGATTTAGCGAATTTAGCGCTTTGTTTTTCTTTCGCCCGACACTCTCGATATTATGACTCAGTAGCCGGTTTGCATTTATCTTGGCTGCAGTTTTCGAAATTACTCCGCAATAGCTAAAAGCCTTTACTCATAATTACCTGCGAATTAAACCAAGGACCAGCTAACATATGACTTATTTCTTTAACTTTTTGGGCACATTCACAAAACACAATGACTGCTCTTTGTTGCTTAAATTAAATTGTGTTTTTACGATTAACTATTTAAACACGACAGAAAAATACCGAACCGTAAATTTTAAATTGTAAATAATAAAAATAAAAATAATAATATTTCAACGCGAGCACGACCGTAAGCGCATCGAGTCGATCTTAGAATGAAACAATTGAAAACCTCTCCGGCGTATTTGAGTGGTCGCAAAATACAGCACACACAAAAAAAAAACAAATGCAAGTGGCAAAAGCTTTTCTCCGAGCACCACCGCCTCGGGCACCGCCCCCTCCAGCGCCCACGTGCTCGTAAGAAACTTTCATTTGTAGCGACGACAAAAAAGCCACTGCGACTGCGCTGCCATGTACACAGGTGTTTTGGTTATATTATTTAAGTTTATCGTTTGCATTCACCGTAGATTATTTAATACGCAGGTGAATAATTGCCACCCAAAAGTTTGGATGTACACTGTAAATAGCATTAATAGCTACTATTTTGAAGTAGTCTAATGTTGTATTTACAATTAATAATCAGACGCATTTATGATAGGGAATTTTTACAAGCAAAACAATTATTGGAAATTGATAACGTTGTTATGCGGGCTTAAACCTTGTAAGGTTATGTGTTTGATAAAACCGAAAAACCCGACATGACGCAAAGGCACTGTCTTACCAAATTTTAAAATTTGTACACTATCGTGTTTTATTGGTGAATCAATCTGGCAAAATACATTACACATTGCCAATTTATGGACATGTATTAATGTACAAATATTTTTAAAGAACACAAACAGCCAATTACAATCTATATTAAAACTTGTTTATTATTTTAAATTATAATAAATATAACAGAAATACTGGTCACTATGTTATTATTTATTTTTTAATCATTCTTTAAAAGTGTGAATAATGGTTAAAATATCTCATATTTCGGAATACGATGACTCTAATTAATTAAAACATTTGATACCTCTAGGGGTATTAGTAAACAATACTGCATTTATAAAAACTTCTTATTAAATGTAGAAAACAAAATATATTTTGTCATGCAATATTTAAAAATAAGGTTTAACATAAATTTGTTTCTGATACAACTTTAAATTAGAAGGGTCTCGATATTTGTATTTAAGTAACAATAAGATTTATAATAAGATTATTACTTAAATGCAAATATCGAGACCCTTCTCGAAGATCTCAAAGATTGGGATTTTCCATCGTACTTATTAAAATCGTACTATCAAAGTTTACAATCAATAAATAAAGCTAGGCTCTACGGGGACTCACCCAAGACAAGGAGTGATCTGGAAACTGGCTATATGCATTGATGACTCGGATTGCTAATAATAAAAGATGCCTGAAATTTAACGCGAATCAATTAGTTCACTTGTGGTTTGTATTCATTTTGTTTTGTGTTATTTGGAAAACGGTGCCGTTATGTAAATTAGTTAAAAGCGAGACGAGCAAACTGAGCCAATTATTTATAGTTGAAACAATGGCATTTTTAATGGTAATGTTAACACACACACAGTCACACACGGAAACCGGTTTACTTATTATTTATATATATAAATAATGTTTTCTTCTCCTTCTTTCTGATTCTTCTTTTCTTTCCTTTTTAACTTTTTGCGCGCGCACAAAGCGTGTGCGATAATATCGATAATGACAACAAAAGCAACAAATGGGGGAGAACAGTTTGAACAGACTCTAATGAAAAGTTTAAAAATCGAAGACCGACGAAAGAGAGAGTGGGCAGAGCGACAAAGAGAGGGAGAGAGTGAGTGGGGGAGCGTGACGTCTTTTGTATTTAGGGAATTCCGGGCTTTATGCTTATGCGATCATCGCTAAGATTTTGTTTTTGTTTTTCGGTTTTTAGCTTTGGTAATTTGTTATCCTGCTCTCTACCTCTGCCATTTTATTTCTTTATTTTTTTGGTAATTCTCGCGATGTCTCTGGTTAAATTGTCGATGTGCCGTGTAATCTAATCGGTAAAACGTTCAATTTTAATCGAAATTATCAATACGTGCGCCGTGTTTTTTCCCCCGTTACAAAGGTAAGTCTCTTTTTTGTGTCACTCGTAATACCAAAGCAAGTGAAACTTGCTTGGCTCAATTGAATTTATGCGTTTTTATGCAGCTCTTTTACTTTTCGGGTTTATTTTTATTCACTGGTTTTTCAACCTGCCTTCGCACCTCGAAAGAGCGCTAGAGAGCGAAAGCTCCAAAGCACAGCAAAAAGGTAAATAAGGCCCGGAGTGGGGATAAAACCCACGTAACACACGCGCACAACCACACAACCGATCTCGACGCGCGCGCTTTGAAGACTAGTTAACCATATAACCCTCTCGGTATCGTAGACGCCGCTGAAAATACCGCAGAAGTCGCAGAGCTTTCTGCGGAGTTGCTTGCTTATTTTTTACTCAGTGAAGATCCAAGTGAAGCTCGGACAGAAGAGAGGACAGCCCCAAAGCCCGATCAGCGGAGAGCGAAATGGGAGCTGTGGAGAGCAATTCCACTCATCAGCTGTGGCTGTGCTGAGTCACGTAGCGGGCTTACTTCGGAAAAGCTTCATACAGTGTTATAGCAGGAATTAACTGGGGGGAAGGGGAGGCTAGGGTCCAAATAGTATTTTTTTTAAATAGTTCTTATTTATTTCTTTCTGTTGTTGTCGTTAATATTAAATTTCTATAAGCTAGTATCAAAAGATGTTTTAAAACTCAAAGAGGTAGTCTCAAGAGATCCTACCAACTACAGGTTTCACTGTTTTGAACTACCAGTAAAGCAGCTTCCATTCTGAACAAACGATATAAATCAATTCAATTTAAATAAGTAGCTCTTTAAATATATGACTCTGAAACTGCTTTCTTTTATTTGCAATGGTATTGAAATTTTCAATGTATTTTAATTTTTAAATTAATATTATTATATGTAATATTAACGGTTATTACATTAACAAAATGTATGCATTAAATATATAAATATTTAATTCATATATTTTATTTTGTCACCCCAACTTAAGATGAATAAGTATACATACATACATATACAAAATTGTATTGAAAATATCTGGAAGGAATTCAAAATAAAGTTCATTTCTTAGTATTTTTAAGAATAGTTTCCACTTAATTCACATTCATTCATTATCAGTTGTTCTATTTCATCTAGCAATTGTTAACTACATCAACAATATAGGTTTATTTCTATAGAAGCAAATTCTTTTGATTTCTTCTTTATATTGCTTTAAATACAATGCTATTTTTTCTGCGACCATTTTTCACAGTGTTTTTTTTTGTGACTCATCCTAGCAAGCGGCCGCCTTGGAGAAGCTTTTTCTGCTTTTATGAATGAAACCGCACGAAGCACTCACTATCTGTGTTTGTGACTTTCACCCATCCACTTTTGACCCCACTTCCTCCCATCTGGCTTGCCGGCCTGAATCAGCGTTCGATTCCTGGAAAAGGATATTATCCTGCGCCGGCATTTGTTGTGGCATTAATTTTCACTCCGACCGAGACCCAATGCCGTGACTCACTTGCTCCGTGCTGAACATTCCGGAGCAGCTTTCACTTTCCGGAGGGACGAACTCTGACATTAAAGATGCCTGTTTCCTCCCAATTTGATAAGTTGCTGATTCACTTCTATGGCATCTTTCAGTGCCTAGAGTACGCTGCAGTGCAATACGTAGCTCAGTTGACAACCGAATAATTAGTCATTGGGCGGACAGGAAGTCTCTTGAATTTTGAGATTTGTGTCGGTTCACCGAAGGTTATCTTTTATATTATTAAAAAGCGGAAATATTTCCGCTCCACATTTGTTTATTAAATTAAATTAAACACCGCAGCAACATTCAAAACAGTAATAGTTAATAAAAAATATAAACAATTTGGCAATCAATTGGCAACGAAAGAAAATAGTTACAATGTTTAAATAAGAATAAATGCAGAGCCCAAAACCCGAAACAAACAGCATCTAAAGGTCAGAATTCCAGAATTTATTTATTTATTTTACAACTGGAGTCCACAAAATTTGACTTTTGGTGTCTATAAAGAATTTGTACAGAATATTAAATATATTAAATCTTCACAGTCAATTTTACCACTCAATAGCATAAAAATTCAAATAAATACGTAGTCAAACTTTCCCAACAAATTGGATCTTTAAAATGCGAATTTCCCACCATTATCGTATAACCTTATCAGAAATCGTGGGCCATGCACAACTGGCACGAAAGTCAAGCCAGAGATTGGCCTAAAATGTCCCCTTAAAAAAAAAAGCATAAGTTCACATGAGCTAAGCCCAAATAAATAGGAATTATGTCAAATGTTTGGATTGGAATTCCACAACTATTGCCACCCAACCAAATAGGAGCGGGGGACCTTAGTCAACTAACAATGTCTTGATAGCACGAACGAAAAACAACAAATATTACACCCAGTTAATGGAGACCAGACATCGATCAAACAATGGTGGAAAAACTCTCACTCTCGAAAAAAAACGGACAGCCAATTGCAGAGGGTTTTCCATGAAAATCACGCGATATTCGTCCAGTCCCGCGAGCAAATTTTTAATGGGAATGAATCCCTAACCCCTAATAAGTTGACACGTGCTGAAGCAATCGTTTTCATATACATACATATGTACCCTGGGTATACGAAATTATTGATTTTTCCGGTTGTCGGGCTTTCGCCTTAAACTCTTTGAACTTCCGGCGACACGTGTCCTTGACAGTGGTAGGGCAACTAGCCCTACAATGTTGGGGCCTTTAGTACGACTCTAATTTCAGTAAAAGACTTTCCCGGTAAGTAAGAAACTTAAATTGTCTTTAAACAGTTCCGGGAAATTATCCTCATAAATATATACTTATATTTTTATTCCGTTAAAAAATGTATTAATAAGGTCTCATTTCATAGCAATCATTTTTATTACTTAAATTAAAAACACAAGTTAAACATTTGATTATACTTTTAATGAAATAATTATTTATTTTTTTCTAAAAATTTAATTTTAATGTTCTATTTAATACAATCATCTGAATTACTCATTAAAAAATTACTTATTATCAGTTTTGGACTTTCTGTTGATTAAATTAAATACTGTTTGAACTTGCACCTTTTTTAAAGTTGTTCAAATTTTGTTGCAATCTTAATTTAATGTTATTATAATGTATATGTTAAAATAGAACACAAATATACATTCCAATGGTAGGGTCTTTTAAAGTTGTTTTTAAAATATACGCAAAGTATAGCGACCCGCAAAGCCTTGAGACCTAGTCGCGTGTGCGTGCAAATCGCCATTTAACCCCCGATAACCTTGACCAATTCCTGGTATTTGTTGCGAAATAATCTAAGAAAGGCAAAAGATTTAATTTTTATATACTCGGGGGGCGTTGATTAAAACTTCACAATATTTCAGACCATTTTTTCAACTTGCCAAAAAATTCAGTAAGGAATGTAAAGTCAATTTTTATTCAGTTTATATTTTTTTTTTAGAACGCGCTTCAACGAAAGCCAAACACGATTTTTGGGTTTAACAAATTTTTAAAATTTAAGTTATATTTCAAGACACATATAATGTACGGCGAGGAAAAGGATATTTGTAATTGCCCCTGCGAAAAGAGCTCTTTGTCGCAGACGAATGCTTCAGAGAATCAGCAGCAGATGATGTTGGCCCGACCGGAACTCTGGACCCAGCAGAAATCTGAGGCCAGCATGAAGGTCTTCACCACTGTGATGCTGCACACTTGGCGCCAAAGGCGAAAGGAGGTGCGTCAACTCCAGGACGAAGTGCAGAGCCTTCAGACTAGTGTATGTACTTTCATTTTTTTAAGATATTTTCTCCCTATTTTTAAAAAATAATCCTACTTTTTGTCAATCGACTTTTACAGTACATGAAGTCTAAGAACCAGTTGCACGTTTATGGCACTTTGATGCGGGTTGAGCAGAAAAGGAACAGCGAACTCCAACTGCAACTCAAGCAATCCACCATGAATATCGACAAGGTGCGAACTTCCTGTAAAAGTTTGGCCTCCACGGTTCGCAATCTTAAAAAAGAGAAAATTCAGTTGCAGACGGATCTGGAAAAAGGCAAACAGGAGGTTAGTTTACTAAATACATAGAAATACGACAAATAACATTTGAAAAATATGAAGATAATATAATTATATTATTTATTATTTTAGTCAGTGACCGTTAGGATTTTAATTACAACCCTGCAATGTGTATTATTAATTTGGCCAGTGAAACTAAAGATATACCACCATCAGCTAGCTTTCAATCTTTGTTTTATGCTTAGATCATTTATTGCATACCAGAAAGAAATTATTTAAAACAAATGAGTTTGTCGGTTAAGTCAAAGGGCACAGTACGTATACTTCATAAATGCTACGCGTTGCATTTATCAAGTATACGCACTGCGCTCTATACCTTTATGTGTATTGAAAAAGATTCATGAAATAAAGTAAAATTTGTACAAATTATTTTAACATAATTCAAATTGCAAATAGAGGTGAATCTTTTTCGTGTCCTACATTATTTGACAAGATTCTTTCTTCAATACACTTGTATCTATGCATCGACTCGCTTAATTTTAAGAATACTGTGCTTCAACGAAAGTATTTTAAAGGTCCAAAATTCTGAGCTTACGAATTTCTAAAAGCACGTATCCTTTTTATTGGCAGTTCGATGAGCTGGAAGAGGTGTCTGGCCAGAACAAAAAGTTGCTCTTCACCGCCCGCTTGGAGCAATCCAATCTGCAAAAACTACTGACTGACGAGCAGCGAATCAACCAAAACCTCCATCAAGAGAACGAGCAGCTCGTCAAGGAAGTGGTCCTGGCGGAGGGCAGGGAGGCCAAGTACCGCCAGGTGAGGGATTGGTACCACCGCCAATTGGGTCTCAAGGAGGAAAGAATTGCAGTCCTGAGGGAGAACATTGCAGTGCTGGAGGAGAGACTGCAAGCTGTTGGAGAGTAAGTTAATGAATATCCACTTTATATATTTGTTTGTTTAACCACGAACTGATAAATTAATTTATGATTTCCTAAAGATAAACTTCATAGTAGCAATACAATTTTCTCATATAATAATCATAATCATATATATTTCTTATCAGTGTATTAGGCTGCTCCATATAGTCATGTCCATATGTATTTGAAATTGCCAATGAGATAGCCTCTTCTGACCCAAACTTTGATACCAATGAATTTGATATTTTCAAGGTTATCAACAATGGGACCTTTATTTCCTACACATTTGCACTACTTTTTGTTTTTAAAGACAATGAAAATTGGGAAGTCCCATGTTTGTCATAGAACGACTGGATCACCAGACTATTCTGACCTGATTCTGATTAGGGATGTATAAACCTAGAAAAGTGGACAATTACAAGATAAATGTTAGTTATTAAGATTTTTATTAAAGAAAAGTAAATTCAGGCAAAAACATGTTACTGCATTAAACTTTTATTGGTGCATTTTGTCCATCATGAAAGTATCTAATATAATGGTCTCCCTGATTTCCTGTATCGGAAAGGCAGCGTCTGCTCCTCAATCCAGTGCTTGAACTGGGCCACATCTGTGTAGGTGGCCGGGACATCTTTCAGGCCGCACTCAATGCCCCAGTTAACGATGCCAACTTGCTCGTAGAGACCTGAATCATCCTCTCCGATGGGGCAGAACAGGGCAGATCCGCCATCTCCGGTGCAGGCATCTTGGTTTAACTCACCTCCGGCGCAAATCATACTGGCAGGCAGCTGAAAGTCTTGACCTACTTTGGTTTTCCTCAACTGTTGCTCACATGTGTGCCTGTCCACCAAGGGTAAATCCACTTTCTTCAGTACCGCCGAATAGTCTGAAGACTGGTACTTCATCTTACCCCAACCAGCAACAATGCAACGGCGCGGTTCGAACGTTTTTTTCGGGACGGGCATACAAATAGTTCTGATATGCTCCTTCAACTGGAACGGAGTTTTTAGTTTTAGAATTGCCAAGTTGTTGGCACCACTAGTAAAATTAAATCCTTCGTGGCGCTTTATCCTTTCTACTTCGCGGTTCTCAATTTGAAACGACTCTTCGTTGGTGTCCATGTTCCATTCGCCAGCCCTGACCACAAGGTCGGTCTCGGTCTTAACAACCAGTGGATGGGCCACTGTTAGGACATAATCTGAACTAATCAGGGATCCACCACAAAGGTATTTTCCATTGCTAAACACAGCCACAACCCAGGGATATTGGCCAGGTCTCGCTTGATCCCCGGTGATTCCTTTGATAAAACCCAATCCATTTACGTTGCTCATACCGCAGTGTTGATTTTGGCCCGGTCTGGCTCCTTCTGTCCCCGGAGTCGCTTTGTTTGCATTGTAGCCTTGGGTTGGTTGCTCCCTTCTTCCTGGGTTTAAGTTGTTTCCGGCTGTTCCGGTTGGTAGGTTTCCTGCACCATAACCACCGTTGCCTGCTGGACGCTGACCTGCTGGCCACTGTCCTTGAGTGGTACCTTCTGGTTTGACCGATGCTGGCACATTTGCTTGATGGCCACCGTGGACGGCTGGGTTTTTATCAGGCTGGTTCCAACTGTTTCCATTGCCGCCTGTATAGCCACCTGTTGGTTGATCCTCACGTCCTTTTGGTAGAGTTGCTGCACCATAGCCACCTGCTGGACGCTGTCCTGCTGGCCACTGTCCTGGCACATTTGCTGGATAACCACCATTGACTGGTGGGTTTCCGGCGGCCTGGTTCCAATTGTTTCCATTGCCGCCTGTATAACCACCTGTGGGTTGATCCTCACGTCCTTTTGGTTGTCCATAACCACCGTTGCCTGATGGACGCTGTCCTGCTGGCCACTGTCCTTGAGTGGTACCTTCCGGTTTGACCGATGCTGGCACATTTGCTTGATGGCCACCGTAGATTGCTGGGTTTTTATCAGGCTGGTTCCAACTGTTTCCATTGCCGCCTGTATAACCACCTGTTGGTTGATCCTCACGTCCTTTTGGTTGAGTTGCTGCACCATAACCACCTGCTGGCCACTGTCCTGCTGGTCGTTGGCCTTGAGTGGTTCCTTCAGGATTGACCACTGGATTTCTATCAGGCTGATTAAAATTATTTCCGTTGCCACCGGAAAAATCATTTCTACCAAGGTTCAAATTGTTTCCAGCTGGTCCTGTTGGTTGATCATCATGTCCTTTTGGCTGAGTTGCTGCACCATAACCACCGTTGCCTGCTGGCCGCTGTCCTGCTGGCCACTGGCCTTGAGAATGACCTTCAGGATAGCCCCCGTTCACTTGTGGATATCTTCTAGTCTGGTCATAATTGTTTCCGCCCGACAAATTATCATTAGGTCCATTTGGTGCAACTGATACGGGTACGGCTGGACGGTGCTTTTGACCAGTTGAACCAACACCAGTTTGGATTGTTTGATCATATGATGGTTGATGCTGGTACCCTGACCCGTACGAACTGGGTGGTCCTGATGGCTGTTCTGGTTTGTTCTACAAATAATCGAGAATATTAAACTACAAATCTGGAGCACACTAACAGCTTTTTCAAACTTACACCTCGCGGAACTCCACAACAAATTTGGTGTTCGGGGCAATCACGTTTTCTTCGGTATTCGAAATCAGGAGCCTCGTATTCACACAGTTCCTTGGGAACACAGGTATATTTACAGGCATTGCCCATTAGGACGCAGCCCAAAAGAAGAGCTCCGATTGCCCAGTATTGTCCCATGTTTACCAGAAAAGACGGAACGACTGACTATAAACCAGCGGCTGTCGTTCTTTTATAAGGCTTATCAGTCCTCAAATACATAGGCATGTGCATATGTATGTGCTTGAATATTAATTGTTCTAAAAAACACGCAATCATTGTATTGTTGACACCACAATTTGTTTTCTTTTTAAAGAATTAGTATATTTTATAGTGATCTGTGTTTTACCAAACACTTACATTACTGAAGGCTGGCTATTTCTGCAACTTTATTTGCGGATATAACAGATATCCGCTGGAGAATAGTCGAGCAAAAACTAAAATGTCTATCTATCTGAAACTTAAGAAAAAATCATAATTTATAATGCAGGCACATAAGTCGGAACGGACGTCTATTTCTTATAGCTCTTAAAGGAACAGTTTTAAAAATAATTAAACAAAAATTAAAATTTTTGTATTAGCATAAAATTTCTTAAATTTTAATTCTTCGTATAATTTTAATTTAAATTTATCAATTTATAATTTTTTAAAATTAAAATTTATTTTTTACAAAAATCGGCATAACTTTTGTTGGTATGTTTGGGAAATTAAAAATAAAAAGGGGCTTGAATAGACAAAACCAAAGTTGGTCAGTCCCCACATATGTATGTACATATATGTCTGTATATTTATGGTTCATATGTACATATGTGTGTATACATGTATGTACATATATGTGGTTCTGGGAAAACGTTATCAATGCATTCTCCCAGTAAAGTTGTTGACATCACCATTTAATTTCTTTTTAAAAATAAGTATATACTTAAATTCATTGGCATGCTCAATAATATGTACCCAGATTAGCTCATTCTATCTGTTTGTCATTTCTCGAGGAAAACCCGATTTTTGTTTTGAAGCTAAGACATCGCCGCAGAACATAAATCGCCTAGAAATTGCCATGTTATCTTTATGTCTGTATTTTCTCATTTGACAAAATCTTGGCGTAATAACATCATTAGGGTAAAGTAAATGTAAACCCAAAACACCTTGGTGCATTATCATTTTATTTTGCGATTTTTGTCAGTTAAAAGTTTCTGTAGGTAAAAGGAACAAGCTGATCCTCAATCCACTGCCTGAACATAGCCACATTGGTATATGTCGCCGGGACATTCTGGTGGCCACACTCCATGCCCCAGTTGACGATGCCAACCTGCTCGTAGAGACCTGAATCCTCGGCTCCGATGGGGCAGAACAGGGCCGATCCGCCATCTCCGGTGCAGGTATCCTTGTTAAGCTCACCTCCGGCGCATATCAAACTGTCAGGCAGATTGAAACTGTTGCCCAAATTGGTTCTCCTTAACAGTTGCTCGCATTGATTTCTATTTAACATGCGTAAATCCACTTTCTTCATAATGTTCGAAAGGCCGCGATCCCCGAACTTTTTCTTTCCCCAACCGGCAGCTGTGCAGCGAAGTCCGTCGTAGTTGGATTGTGGTTCAGGTAAAGCGATAATTCTAATGTGGTCTTGCAATTCGAAAGGCGCGTTCAGGAAGAGAAGAGCCAAGTTGTTGGCACCTGTTTCGAAATCGAATCTCTCATGGCGTACGATTCTGTCCACACCGCGCTCCTCGAACTTAAATTGTTCCGTGGAAGAGTCCATGTCCCATTCACCAGCCCTCACTACAATCTCACTGGCGTCTCTGTACCGTATATGGTGAAACGAAGTGAGGACAACTCCTGGGCGAATCAAAGATCCGCCAAAAACGTGGGTTCCAAATATATCCTGGTAGAAAATAGCCACCACCCAAGGATACTGACCAGGCACTGATTGATCATTGGTTACATATACCGAGGGTCCCAGTCCACGTGGATTGCTTTTGCCGGCCACTTGTGCCTGTGGATCAGAAGTATCGTCTGATTCAGGGATTGGCCAAAAACTTATATTAACGAAGGGCTTGGTCGTGTGCAACGTCTGTGAAATCTAAAAATAGCTAACTTTAAATGAATGGCACAAAAACTAATTTTAGAAACTTACATCTGTCTCACAATTGTTTGCTACATTTTGTACTTGTGCCTCCGTATTATCCTGCACATGAGAAAATGGGCTTAGCTATACATCTGCGCACAAAATGCTTATTTAAACTTACATCACGAAGAACGTCACAACAGACATTATAGACAGCGCATTCGGAAGCAATTCGGGATTGAAGACCCCAATGGAATTCGAATCGAGGCTTCTCAACCAAGCAGTCTTCCTTGGGAACGCAGAAATTACAGGCATCGCCCAAAAAGACGCACCCTACTAGTATAGCAGCAATTACCCAGAGTCGTTCCATGTTTGCTGAGATTAACTGACAGTCGATTTGTGTTTCATTCTTTTATACAGCTCATGTTGACTTAGCAAGCTAATAAGCTTATCAGGCTATATATCTCTCTACACATACACATGTTCGTCGTATTTTTTTTAATTAAATAATTTTCAAATTTATTTTCTTGAAATATAATTCAACTTAATGCATGTCTTCATTTTCATGTGTTTAATATAATCCAATCAATTAAATTTCTATCATTAATGCGTGATTAGGTGTAGGCAACCAATTCATTTACATGCACAAGCATAACTTTATGATATTTAATAACTTTTTATATTTAAATTCAAATTTTCTACGAATTTATTTTATACTTTTTTAAATATAAACATACAAATTTAAATATTTCTCGGTAAGTACACTTAATCCGCGAAATCCATCATGAACTTTAAACAAAACACGAAGTCAAAAACATTTAATGTAACGATTTTGAACCCAAGTTTATAATTGTCGGCTCCGAGTAAAGCCTATACAAATAGAAAGGCTGTTAGGCTTAGCCGATTTTACAGTAAAGTTACACAAAAACCTATTTTTAATACTTCGAGCTAAAATACCTCTAATCTTTTTTTTTTCCTTAGGCAATTAGAAGAGCTTGAACAACTGCGTGTTAGTGCTCAGCACATGACGGATCAAATCACGGAACTGCGGCAGGAGATCAACCAGTCTCGCACCAGCTTCTTTAGTGTCCTCGGAGAACCCAGCAGCCGCTTTAACTTCAGCCACCTGAAAAACGATGTATTTGCACCCTTCCAAAGAAGCCAAATGTGGATAAATTTTCGCCGGTATTCCTCCAACGTAATGTACTTATTCTGTTTGTATTTCCTGCCCGCCATGCCGGTTAGCTATCACCGCAAAAAATAGAAAAACGGTGGAATTTTCAAATTAACATTATTTGAAAATAAATATTTCATACATTTTATTTTAACAATTTTTCCATTACTGATTAGATGCCACGTTTTCATTTTTTTAAGAACTTCCCAAATTATTTTGCGTAAAAAAACAGCAAATTGAGGGAATGTCAAAGAAACCGAACATAATTTTCTTTGAATTTTGCCAGCTAACAAAAGGGCAATTAAAACCGACAAAAATTTAGTTTATTCATTCCACCAATGGGTTAAATCCTTATCTGTCTACAAGTTATAAACTTTATTTTAGTTGTAAGGTGAAGCTAAGGTACAATTATTGCACATTTTTTAAGGAGTGCCAAGAGAGATTACATAGTTAATAAATATCATGCATATGTTGTTTAAAAGTTTCTCAAATGATATAAGATAAAGATTGACATTTCCGCCAGCAAAAGCAAAAGAATGGGCAAATTGCTCGGCAATGCCTCGTTCATGGAAGTGTTCTGAACAGCAAATATATTACGAAAATCCGAAGCTAAGCTACAAAGTTACTTAACCAAGAAATTTTGAAAGTGGCTGACTCGGGCAACTGTCGTCGGCTTCAACGCCGGCCCCGCCGCCCGTCCCCGCCCAATACGTGTTCCAGCCGTGGAGGCCGGAATCCGCCGGGGCGGAGGGGGCGACGGATGACTGGCGCACAACCGTGCGTCAAATCGCCGGACAACCCGTCGTCGTCCGGCGAAAGGCAACGGAAAGCCAATCCGAACCAGATAGCCACAGCAATTGCCAGGCAGAATTACTGGGAAACAAAGGTGTGACGGAGGGTCGGCACTGAGCAGATCTGATATACAGATATTACCCATATATCGATCGATGCACAGAACAATCACAGAATACACTTCCAACATACGACGAGTCGGAGCTTGTATTTATACCCACTGCGCCGGGAATTCGCACTTGGGAATCACAAGCAGCCAACCAGTCCAAGCGAGAAGTGACAGCTACAAAGAGGGTTGATTTGCGTTTGCTTGTGCAAGTCAATGGCCGTACTAAAGGGACTGTAAAAATGCTTTCAAAACTGAACCACAATAACTTTTATTACAGAATAGTGTAAAATGTAGTTTGAATTAATAAAAAAGAAAAAAAAAAAATACTTTTTATTAGACCGCAATAGGAATTGAACTTGGGTCGTTCTAAATATTGCATGCAAAAATGACCATATTTGCTAACTGACGAAAGCTGCTCTGCATAAAATAACACAGGTGAACTTCCATAACTACAACCTTCATTTACTAAATTAAAAATTCGGTCTACAGAGGCTTCGAGTTATATACTTAGTTTTGCATAAAACCACACAAGTAAAAATAAATACATTAAAAAACCTTACCATAGAGACAGCCGATTGATGAGAAATTCCACTCAGAAGTGTTCTGACATTAACTACAAAACGAACAAAATATTAATAGATGCTGTACAAATTTTTATAAATACTAAAAAGTGTAAAAATTAAAAAAAAAAAGTTTATAAACAGCTGGAATCGAGCTCTCATCGATTTATACCAACTGTATGTAGCCAGATTTTCTATCTGACTAAAGCTCCTGTTTACGAAACTCTTCCGATGGCCTTAAACCTTTTTTTTGTAAAATATTTATACCCCCTAACAGCAAAATTCAAGGGCATCCATATTTGCTAATTTGTTTATTTTTACATATTTTGCAATAAGTATTTTGTATAATTTATGGTTTTTTTCAGGGTTATCCCTTGCACACTCGGTTGCATTTCTCATATGTCCACAGTTACCACTTGCAAAGTTATTGCAGTTTGCCGGCAATTTATCATAAAACTTACACTAAATATCTTTCAAATCTTAAATTCAATTGCTTTACTCTTACTTTCATTCGGGAAATAGAAAACTATTTGCATTTCGCGTTGCTTCCACTTTATTCTGTTTGGTTATCAATAATCTCTAATTGAAGTACACTAGTCTCGAGTTAATTTTATGATGTAGTATGCATATTATCTATCAATATTTTGGCTTGTTGGATCGATGTATGAGTTGAATGTGATCTCGTACTTTTGCTTGGACACGAAACTTAAAGTGAATTGTTTCATTCGTTCGTTATTGGTTCAGTGAGTTGCGTAAATAGACTTTGTATTTTTGTTCGTTCGCAAAAAGGGACGGTAAAAATTACAATAAAATCATTTTGAAATATGTATGCAATTTGTTTTGTTCGCTTGTTTCTCATTCGATACATCTACTAACTTCAATGTGTCTATAAATATATTTACAAATAATTTGAGTGCTTCTCCATGCTGTTCTGGCATATTGCATAATTGCTATAAGCAACTCCTAAGAGTTCATATGTGAATGCATGAATGGACGTTGTGTGTATCAGCATGTGTGTCTCTGTGTGTATATCTGTGTTTATTTAATATAAATTCAATTTAATGGCTCGGTAATTTACACAATATACGATCTTGTATATATAAATTTCATGTAGAATATCGATATCTTCCGATTGACAACGAAAACATTATGAACCCAATAAGAAGCAAACTGCTTGGAATTTTTTTGTTTTTTTTTTCTTTTTGGGGTTCAGCGGTGATGGAGTAAATTAAGTACTACTACATAATGTGCTCAGGCTGTTGTCACTACTCTTGTGTTCAATTAGCTACGATAATAATATCTATTTAAACTTTAACGCTTTGTCTTGCTATTTGTATGTTGGTTAAGCTGCTGGCAATCACCATAGTTATTTATTTCTTATTTAAACAATACATTGTTTCAAGGCTGTTTGTCCTAAGCAAACCATAATTTTTTTCTGTGGATAAGTTTGCTACAGCAATTTTATAAAGTGGGTTCCCGCTTTTAATCCGTTTCATGACTCACATTTTAGGACTATGAACGAGGAATCCATTAATAAATTAAAAATAAAAACAAATTAAAATATTAACTGGCTTAATATTTTCGTGTTGCGATTTATTAATAGTATTAAATAATAATGCACAAATTATAATTTATGTCTGCAATTAATGCTAAATAAACCACAAAAAACTTAGTTTTTTTTCTCCATTGCAAATTATAATTAATTTCCTACAATTTCTTCATTTGAGAGCGACCAAATGCTACTCAATAAATACAAAAATCATCTTCATTTAGAATCGTCTTTGAGACGTAGCCTGTTGCTACTCTAGGTTCAATGGCTGCAAACCATCGGTAATATACATTTCGACCGAAAATCTGACCTTTTGTTCTTTACATAAATTTAGGGGCCCCACATAGTTTGAAATGGGCCTTGGAAAAATACTCGCGGTTATCGGGCAGGCCAATTAATACATTAATACATGGTTCAGTTGCCAATATCAATATTCTATTGTTCAACATCAACTTGTTTATCGTTTTAGTTTGTCAATTTTTTTCGCTTGCGCACAGCGTTGTTAACAAAAATCAAATAATCAACGCGAAAGTTAACAAAACTCAGATTAAACAAAATGTAGACGTATTCAAAGACAAGTACGTCATATGTATATAGAAAAATACGATTCGTTACGTTATCATTTAATCTCTTCCTTAATGTTTTTTGTTTTAATTAAATTAATTGGACGTTTAAGTAACTAACCGTTAATAACCGTTCTTCACTGCTTCCTTGTCTAACACAAAACTTTCATTCTAACTAAACTTTCAATAAATACAAATACAATACAAACAAACATAGTTATAGTAGTTGGATAGAGCATGGATATAGCTTCGTTCTCGAACACGAACACGTTTGCAGTATATCTGGTGATTGTGGAAATATCTGTCTCTCTTTCCGCAGGAACTCCAACGAACTTACAACTTAAGCAAAGTATAAACCAAAGCCAGAAGTTTACGCTGCACGCTGATCTTATGTTAGAATGGGTTGGCGTTGCTGCTGGCTGGATTCCTGCTCGAAGGCCGTGTGCTAAATGAGGATTTGCCGCTGGTGCCACGCTGGGCGGGCATTGGTCGGCGGACATGGCGCATTTCGCTGTTCGGAGGGGAAACAGAGTACTTATTAGTTGACAATTTAATGTTAATCGAAGGGGCTCATTGACAATCCAGTATAGATCAGCGCACAGCAATTGCTCATGAGGTTAGGCAGATTCCAGCAGCAGGTTAGCAGGCGGGCGAGCATGCAACAAATTTTCTGCCACTTGCAGGGGCTTACCAATTGCTGGACTCTCAAGGGGATTTTTGGGAGAAAAAAAACAGGGAAATGTGGAACCCTAATCGATGGAGGGATCAATGTGTGTTTGCTTGTAACTGGGTTGGTGATGCGGCTGACTTTTAACGACCCAAATGCACCCACCGATCCATTTCCATCTCCTCGAGGCGCTGGGTGAGTGCCAGCTTCTGCTGGACAGCCAGGCGCAGCAACTGGTTGAGAGTCTTCTTCTCCTCTTCAGCAGCCTCTAACTGGCGGTTGAGATCATCCACCTGGGTCACATACTCCTCGCAGCGAGCGGCAAACATGGCGCGCAGACCTAAGCAATAGAAAATTGTCATTAATAAATCTTAAAAAAAGAAGTCCCATTTATTAACATACTTGAGAAGGTGGCTGCATCCTCCTTGAGAAGCCTGAGCTCATTACGCAGCTTGGACATGGTGTCACTGACAATGATCTTCTCGTTCTCGTATTTGGACTTGAGATTGGTGAGGGCCACCTCGGCGGTTTGTTTGTTCGACTTGAGCACATTGCGCAGGGTGCCGATCTGTTCGCGCTTCACGGACAGAAGACTCTTGAGCTTGACTATCTGCTCCTGCAGCTCCTCCATTTCCTCGGTGTTGACCTTCTCCAGGGCTGCAAAACATATTGAGGTCAATGGAGATTTCAATAGCATTTCTGAAATCAACTTACCATCGCCTCCTTCGGAGCGCACTTTGTATTTGTTCAGATCAATGGTATGCTCAACAGCTGTCTTCAGATACTTGATCTGATCGCTGACTGTGTCCACATACTTTTTAATCTCCACGGAATCCGCCAGGCCTTGCAGATCCTCAACGATCTGCGGCTTGGCAATAAACACGTCCGACTTGAACTGCGACTGGATGGCAGTAAGAGAATCGTTTTCGAAGCTGCAATAGATACATTCATTATCTCTTGTTATCTCATAAAACAAGGTCATGTCCTTTAAACCTACCTCATGTCATCGCTCTTGTGGTCGAGCAAGACACGCGTGGGCGTGTCCCCGTTGACGGTGCACACTAGGTGATACAGCTGAGCGAGATCGTCGCTCAAAGCCACCAGAGTACTGCGCGCTGAGCCCAGACTTTGGCCAGCGTTCTGCGAGATGTGTGTGAGGGTTTCCACGTCGCTCTGCAGGTCCAGTGACTTTTGCTCCGTGGAGAGGAGCTTGTTCTTCAGATTGGTCACCTCGTTGCGCAACGTGGTGGTGGCATCGGTGTAGTTGAGTCCCTTCTGCAGCTCAGCAATGTCAGTCTTGAGGCCATCGATCTCCTTGGCAGAGAGCGTGAACCAATTGGCGTACTGCGAGATCAGAGCCCGCAGCTGCTGCTCCAGCTCATCCTTCTTCTGGTCACCATCCCTGCCCTGTTCCTTCACGTCGATCTGTTTCTTCAGCTGGACCAAAGCATCGACATGGGCGGCCAGAAGAGCCAGGCGCGACATGAAGTTCTGCAGCTCGTTCTGTGACTTGTCCAGACTCGTCTGCGCCTCCCGCAAATTGGCCGTCAAATGGGTCTTCTCGCTCTCCATGCTCTCCAGCTGCTTCTCCAGTTTCTTCAGTTCGTTCAGGTGGATCTCCGAGAAGAGATCGCACTTGGTGCCGTCGGGGGATTTTAGTTCGGTGCTGAGGTCAGCCTCCAGCCGCTTGAGAGCCAGATTCTCCTCCTCTCCGTCCGAATTGTTGCTGGCGTTGTCCTCCATGTTGCTGCGTATGCTGTAGGCCAGGTTGCTGATGTGGTACATGGACTCGCGGTTCAAGTGACCATCCAGCTCCTTCTTCAGCGCATACTTTGCCTCGCGTTCACCCTAATTTTTTTTTAGTAATTAGACTTTGGACTATAAGCATTCTGCACATTTGATTTCAAGCAAACCCTGATTGGATTTCCATTTTCCTTATTAGATCAAAACTTAATTTAACTTCAAACTAAAGTATGCTTTTATAAGAATATTTTGATTGTTCGATGGGAACTGAATGTTTAGAATCTGTCTTAGCATAATACCCAATTTCTTGTAGTGATTTAGGTATAATTTATTTACCTGCAAGGCCTCCAGCGCTTCCTCCATTTGCTTCTCGGCAATCTTCTTGAGATTCGCCAGCTCATCGACCTGTTGATTCAAAAGCTCAACTTCTTCGGTGAGGCGACGAATCTCGTGCTTGGCACCCTCAAATTCCACCTGAAAAAATTACCAAAAAAAAAAGGTTTAATATATACTAATATATATCTTAAAGTCTTATTAAAACTGACCTGAGAGCTGCGCAGGTTGGAGACCTGCTTCTGCAGCGATATGTTCTCCTCCTCCAGTTCCGAGTACTCGCTGAGCATACGCGTCTCGCGGAACTTGAGGTCCTTCAGCTCGGACTTGAGGCGCAGGCGGTCCGCCTCGTTGTCGCTCTTGTCCCGCCCGAAGTCCGAGTTCTCCTGCAGCATCCGGTCGCGCTCATTGCGAACCCTCTCCAGCTCGTGGCGCAGCTGTTTGAGCTCGTTCTCCAGATCGAAGATCTGCAGGTTGAGCGATGTCTCCCTGGCAGCGGACTCGTTCAGCAGGGCGTCCTCCTGCTCGATGCCCGTCTTGTTGGTCACCTTCTGTGAGGTTTGGAACTTGGTCAGCGCCTGGAAAAACACAACAACATAAAAACATATATAAATATATATATTTGGAGCACGTGTCAGTCGTTGGGGCGTGAATAAGTGTGCGGAAAGCAAAGTTATCAAAAAAGTTTCCTGCCTGCCCACCGAATGCCTGCGATTTTATTGCACTCATTTGCATGTCCCACTACACAAGGAAAAAGGGGGTTTGTTGGGGGCGTTGGCCACTTGGGAGCTTTTTGCTGCCCTGCTCGGCGCTTGACGCCCCCTGCATTTCACTTGGTTATATTTTTCATTAAATTCCCTATCTGTGATGCGTTTGGAAAGGGTATGCAGGGAAAAACGCTGTTGAAAATTTAACAACAAAATTTAAATTAATATAATCCATCTTTTGAATATCTTTTTCCGGCTTAAAAGTCTTAAAATAGTCTTCAGGTTGTCTATAATGGACTACAATTCCTTAGAAACCGATATAAATTGTAGTTTTTTAAGTTTTTGTTTATATATTAATATTATTATCATGTCACCAAAGAGTGCGAAGTAAACAATTTATAAAAAAAACTCATGCATCAAAGGCTCAACCATGCAATGCAGTGATATATTGAGAGTGTGTTTCAGCAAAAAGAATAAGGTAACTCCAATAACAAGGGCTATATAATCGAACATTTTTCAAAACATTTTCGTAATCTTAGGTATATTAACCTGTAGATGATAAAACTGAAGTTTGTGTGTGACTTTTACTTAGGAGCACCCACTTATCATGAAAAAGTACAAATGATTTCTTTTTTTGTCTGTGTACCTGTGTCATTATTAATCCTTCCAGCAAATATCCCAGTGGTCAAGATGCACCAATGGGAATAGGAATAGGAGATGCCAAGCTCGTTGGTCTGCAATTATTGGATTTTGTTAATTGCGACTGTGTCTCTGTTGGTCGTGTGAAAACCGCCCGAGAGCACATAAAGGTTAACGGCGGCCAGGGACACACCCTGTACGTGGACTAAAAGCCACCAGCAGAGGTAAGCACGAATACCGAATGTTTATGGGGCCAGGCCAAGCCCTTAACTGGGCGCTGGAGACCCTTTCCATATGGTCAGTGGGAGTGGATGGTTAGTAGGTAGGGCTTAAATGTGAGGAGGTATATAATCCTGTGGCGGCTTTAATTGAAATCTCAACCCCTAACGACGCTCGTCGTCTGGCATTTTTTGAATGGGGGGCCGTTTGGAGTACGTGCTTCACAAGTTCCACCATCATCATCATCATCAACGTCATCAAAACTGGTGTCCAAACAAAAATCCCAAGCAGTAAAGTGAAATGACCACGATTCAGGGATTTGGCAAAACGGAAACTGCATCAAGTTCTGGAGAAAAACTTTACTTTTGGTGGGTTTTGTCTTAAATGCCGTGTAATTAGCAAGCGGCAAACAAATGAGTCTTGGTTTCCGAGTCTTATCCTTAACCCCTTTATAAGCTTCCCAGTTGCCCCTAATTCTGCCTTTATCCCCTTCTTAACCGCCACTCTTTTCAGTCCCAGCTTTTTCTAGCTATATAATTATCGTTGGGCGACGTCAGCCACCGTTTTTGTTGACGTTTTCGCAATCTCAATTTGACAATCACACACCCACAAAGTAAGCCCCGAAAAACCCCCCATCCAGCCCACTTTAAGCCAAGTGCATTTCGTTAATTAGTGTAATCCGAGGAAGAGGAGGAGTGGTTGGGGGTACTAAAAGAGAAAGCAAACAAAAGGCCAAAGTCTCGGATGGAATTTCAGCTGCCTAAAGCTGTCACACATTCATGCAACCAAATTGCAAGGCGCCTCTTAAATAAGAAAGAGACCGACAAGAAGGGCTAAAGAGAGATAGGGAGATGGGCAAAAGAGGAAGATTAAGTGTGAGAAATTTATAAAACAAAGGTTCTACCACAGGGGCTGCTTATATAACCATTTTAGATAGTACTAAAAATACTAGTACGAGAATTTAATTAAATATTGCAGATTGTGTTCAATTGCAATAAATTATATACAGCGATCCCAATGCATTCGCTCATATTAAAGATAAGCTTAAAATTGTTATATAAGCAGAGCAGATAAGAATAAATCCTGATTTGGCACATTTTCATGTTCATTAGTTTTTTTCCTAAAATGTAACAAACGGAAATAAGATTTCTCAAATCACATTTTTCACTTAAGAGATAAGCAATATTAAAATAGATAAGTTAAAGGGTTCCTATTTTCAAGTGATTGAATAATTGACGAGCGGGCACAACATTAAAAATTACCGAGTTCTTATTTTATTCCACCTACTATCCAGCCAAAGAAGCCCAACATTTTATTCTATCGTCTTAAATAATTATCCTTTTTATTCAATTAACGGAAACTTGCATTGAGCTAATAAGTTTAACTAAACTAAATAAACAGCTTGCTGCGTGTGGGCTTAGCTTTGCTCACACACAAACACACTGGCAGAATATACAAACGCCTTCTTGGAGTGCACATCACAAAATCAACAAAAGTTTTTATTTATTTTTCAACTCCTGTTCAGCTCAACCATGTGGTACAATTGTATTTTATACATTTTTTTTAAATAAACTAAAGGTTAATATCTATACCTTCAACGCAAGATTTTTCTACAGTGCACCAATGACGCCATCTATCGGGCATCAGGCCGCAAACAAATGACGGCATAAACTTTATGCAAATTAGAAAAGATTTTTAATTAACTCGGGCAAATATTAACACAGTTCACAGGGGCCAGACAAGAGCAGAGCAACCACACTACACTTGGCATAGGCCAGACATCGGGGGTTTGCCTCCTGCCACCTTTAAGCCACCCCCCATCTAATCACCCTACCCCACTTTGTATCTGCTGGATTGTTTCACAATGCTGCTGTGGTTGAGATTAGAATGGTTGAGAGAGAGAGATAGAATGACGTCCAAACGGCCTAAACATAGTGGGTGGAAAAGGAAAGGTGCCCTCGAGAGCACACAGATAAAATATTATATGTTTTATAAATGTTCAAATTTAGAAATAAATAAATTTAAATGCAAAATATCGCAATAATAAAGGTAAAAAGAACAAGAATGGAAGCAAGCTTTGACTTGCCGAAGCTAATACAGAAATAAAATATTTTTTAATTCGTATGTGTAAAAATAACAATAAAGATATGTCTATTTTCCAGTGAATTTTTCGATCGTTGGATATGACAGTTATATGGAAACTTTATCGGATTTGAATAAAATGGTAAAGAAAAAATGTTAACAGTAAAAGTGTAATCAAATATTTTCCTTCGCTGCGTTTGCAAACTTTTGGTTTTAACAAACTTTAAATTGCAATTGGCAAAGATAGTCTTAGGTGTTTTCCACAGTGCAAAGCAATAGCAGCAGTAGCAGCAGCAGCAGCTGTTGCCATCAGTTCTCCGGATGACTGCAATGAAACTCCTCCTGGTCGGGGCCACTAAAAATAGAGCAGATTGCCCACATTATGACGCCGATGAGCAGAATTTTGGAGCGCACTGTTTGTGTGAGCGAGAGCACTTAGGTGGCACAGCCACATTATAAACAGCAAGAACAACAACGACAAGGGGCAACAATAACAATTTCCTCCTGGTCACAAGAGTGGGTAGCAAAGTGGGTGGTTTGGGCTGGCTTCCCGCTGGTTACTCCCCAATGCTGATAAAGTATGCCATGAATGACTGAACAGATTGTGCCGGGCCAGGGCGAGGGCGAAGGCGACGCCACGCCCAGTTCGTTAACTGGCAGCTTCACTCTCATGGAACGCAGCGAAATTTAAATGTGACACAGACTGCAAATGCAATAGTAACCACATGCACAAAGGAGAATTTCTACAAAACTAATCTAAATTAAAGAGATCTGATAAAAAAAGATTTAATTTAAGTCTAACTATATTTTGAGTTTGCTCTAAAATCCTTCTTAAAAGAAGAAACAAACAAAGCTTAAGAAAATGTATAACATTAATATAAGTATTAAACTACACTTAATATAGTTTGAAATTTCGTTTTTCTCTTGGCCCATTAAAATCAAACATTCATTAAGACTTTTCAATTGGCCAATTTAATCTCTTTTTTTGCAGTGCACTACCTTTGTAGGCTGTGCACAATTTTGAATGCCCAACGTACATGCACATATGTACAACAATGAGAGCCAAAAAGAGAGAATAGGAAATGGAAATTGTGAGAACGGCGCATTTGTGGCCATCATGTCAATGCACGAGCTTGACACTCGCTCTGAATTTGAAATGTCGCCTAAAACGACAAAAGAAATGGCGACCAGAAAAACGACAAAAACTGCAGGCCGGAAAATGAGAAACCTGTGTGCGTGCAAGTGTTGACGCTGCGGAATTTTTTAGCCTGGGAAGCTGACACAAAAGGGACTCAAATTACACACTTAACGAAATGGAAATCCAACGGAAATGCCAGCTGAAAAAATAAATGAATACCCCTAGTATTTCGCACTAACAGGATACAACGGAAATCCACTTAAACAAAACCGCACCCGCGAGTGTGCTAACAATGGATATGAATTTAAAGGAGAGGTTTTATGGTACATCTTATGGTTTCAAATCTTAAAAGCCTTGGAATGCAGGTTTTTAAGTCAGAGAAGCCTTTGAAAATTCAGAGTTGGAAATTACGATAAATATTAAACATTTGATCTTTCATTCAAAGGATATTATTTGCACTGAATTCTTAATTCAATATTTTGAAACATTTACCTATTTTTGAAAAGTAAGAAAATAAATTAATAATGAAAAAAAAGTGCCAATTATTAAAGAATAAGCAGTATTCCGTAGTAACTGAGAAATGTTTCACAAAAAAGCGAATAAGGTACAAAATAACGCTGTTAAGCATCAGAAGGAAACGCGAAATGGACGCAGCGGGCCATGGGAAATCCTTGAAAGCACGGAAGTATAAAGAGAAATAATAACCATTCGCTCCTGCTGCGAGTGTCCATGGATGTGTTGCATAATGCACAGCGCATACATATATGTACATATCCTGGGCAAATATCTCGAGCGCATTTAACAGCCAATAGTCATGTAGCGCTTTCCAGGACTTTGTAGTGGTGTTGATGGTGGCAGTTCATCCTTTTGCGAGCTCATTGCATCTGGCAGAGTTCCAATCTCCCGAGAGTTTGGCTGGGGCCAGAAAACTTACGCAAATAAATTGCACCGTCATTATGCAGGACAATTGCAGCAGAAGCAGCAGCAGCAGCAGCAGGAGCAGCAGCCGAAGCTCCGCTGGAAAACTGCAATTGTCACAACATTTGCCCTGGCATCCTTGCCCAGATTTTCGCTCATCATCGTCACAAGTCTGTGTGCTTTACATTTTCATTGCTGGCAATTCATTGGGGAAAATTGGAGGAGGACTTGCGGAAAAGCGGGGAGATGAAGTAGGAAGATGGCTTCAGTTGGCGGGAAATACAACACTTTTTTCCTACTCATTTCCGTTCAGTCGTCATGCCAGACAGCGACGGAAACATGTTTTGTCAGTGCTCAAGCGCCGCATTTAACCCTTGCCAACCCGAGAGCTGGCGGTACTTAACCCACCCATGGCCCCCATTGTGGCTGTTGCAGTTGCTTCTGCTTCTGCTGCCAGTTTGATTGCCATAGAATTGCAATTTGCGCCAAAAGAACAGAACATCAGTGTCAAATCATTATAATTTTTTTGTTCATTCCCGCTCCTTTTCGTCCTTCTGCTGTTGCATCGTTTAGCTCTGGCTTTGTTGTTGCTGGCTGCTGTTGTACTAATTGTAATTGTATGCCTAGGATTTGGATTTGGAAAGGATAAACATTTGGCCGGATTCACAGGGTCATAAAGTAAGGAGGCACTTTGACAAAGTGTTGGCGGATTTAGATAATGGCTTTGATTATCGTGAATTGTATACGAACTAAATTTGGCAATTCTCCAATTCTAGCAAAGGTCAATCGAATTATCTAATTTTAAATAAATTGACATACAATCTGTACTTATGAATCCTTACATTATGATAAAATAATTTGCATTTAAAATAATAAAATATCAAGCGAAATTTAAAGACAATATATATATCTATATAAAAAGCATAAGCTAAAAATGTTAATTAATAAAACAAATCATGCATTTTTAAGATTCTTTCTGCACACTTTCTCAATTTCATAAAACTTGAACCTCTATCTCAGAGTTTTAAAGCCATCTCAAATAATGTCGTTAATTATTAAATTTTTGTTTAAAACTTTTTGGGGTAGAAAGTAGCAAAGTAAGGCAGCCATAAAACGCCAAACTACGCAGGACACGAGAACGTGACCACTGGACGGCGGGATGTCCTTGCTGGTGGCGCGATGTGAGCCATGATATATGGCCAAAGGCACCGACACCCACACCCGCTCCCGCACCCAAACTTACAGGACACATGGCCCACATATTGGGGCGGACATGTGTTGGGCTACTGCGTCCATCGCTCGTTTTATGGCCCTTGTTTCGGGCCTTTTAATTGCCGCAGTTACAATCGTCCGAACAACAACGTGTTTTCCTGCCCCTTCGCCAGCCAACCGCCCTATTGTTGCACTAACTCTGATTTAGCTAACTGAATAAATTGCCAAATGCAGCTGACAGTTTCGACCGCCTGACGTCCCGAAAACTGGGTAAATATTTGTTTTGCGGTTCTGCAATTGCAGTTGCCAATTTGCAGTCACTGTGATGGACCCAAAATTAGCTGTTGTTGGATTAAGTTTTGTGACAGTTAATTGATTTGTTTTCAAATTAAATGTTTGACATTGAAAGCAGAGTTTGTATCAATTATAAGTTTAAAGTTAAAACTGGTATTACAATTTTAGAGTGATTCAAAATTTTGTCCTTCCTATGGTATATTTTACATTATAAATTGGTCTTTTAATTATTATCACAATTATCAAAACATGAAGGAAAATAGATAGTTTAATCATAAGCTGTTTATGTGTTAAACACAAAGTTTGAAATAAAAATGACAAAAAGTAACATCTAATTTCCAAAGAAAATTATTATAAAAACACTTAAATAAATCAATTTAAATAATTGTATTTTCTTTTCTCAAATTAGCCCTATGACCTGGCCTACGCATAATCGAAATTCTATTACATTAGAACTCAGTCGATGGGAAAATTTGTCGTGCCTGCGGCTGGTTGAAAAATATCCGATTAATTTTAGTAAGCTAATTTGCAAGGTGGCCCGAAGAAGAAACTTTACCCTCTTCTGCTGCCGTCCTCGTTGATTTATGTCATTCCATGCTGGGTTCGCCCACGGCAAATATCTTGATTACAAGTGAAAATATGTCCCCCTCTCAGCACGATCCCCCCCTCTTCTATATTCAACCATCCCCTCTTTGCACTGTTTGCTGAACTGCAGTTTGGGGGACACAAAATGCCCGCAGTTACGTTGTCGTCGACGTTGCAAAAATTTTTTTAATTTTAAGCATCCATTAAAATTATGTGTGTGGGTTGTGGAGTGTTCTTTTGGTCTCGCACTCTTTTTGTGTTCTCGTAAAAGTTCAGTTGAGTTCAAATCCAACAAGCTGGAAACTATCAAGCGGGGTGTGCAAGTGCACCGCCACCTGTCCAACAATTAATTGGCAGGCTTTTTGTTTTGTACGCATAGAAATGCATGAATATATACACGCACACCTATTTGTAAAAAGGTGTTTCCGGTTGGGTGTATGTGTGCAGGTGTTAACGCCCTCGTTGAGTTTAATTCCAGAACTTTTAGTCCTCTGTATTATGAAATTTTAAACTGTATCATAATTACACTGGTTAATCCCTTGGGGATGTAATCATAGTTTTTTTATTTATATAATGATTTTAGTTATATATAATGATGTTAGTTTAGTCATTATTCAATCAAAGCAATCGGCTCATTTTAACGAAAAATTCGAAAACAATTCCAGCAACTTGCTTTATTAACCCTCCTTGTTCAACAAAAACCAGCCTAAACCAACTTTAGCTTAACAGTCGCTTTAATTACCAGCAAAAAAAAGAAAAAATGAAGTTGTGGAACAATCGAAAAGAGGACAATAAAGGGCAGAATGATTATGGTTTGTTTCCCCCATTTGATTTTCACCCACAAAAGGACAGAACTTTTCCCTTTCGACGGGCGATGCAGTTTGAGCCCAGGAATCCACAGCCGGTGGAATTCCAGCGGAAATGCCAGGCGATGACGACGACTAATTGGAGAGGAAGAGTAATAAAAACGGGCAAGGGGGAGTGGCAGTGGGCGTTTGAGGGTTTGTGGGTCCGTGTGGCGCAAAGCTTAATAAAGGTGCAAAATAAAACGGAAAAAGTTGATTGGCCATGTTGCAATCGGCCAACTGAAAACTGTAGGGGCTTTTGAGCCAAAACCATTGTTTTCTTTGAGCCCAAGACAAATTGAGCGAGATCTTTGGGGGTAAGAGAAAGAATAAAGAGATCAAAGAGAAGTGGAGAAAGAGAACTAAAGAAAGAGAACTGAGAAAGCAAGAGGTGGCAAACATAAGGCACTCACTGAGGCGGCTTAGAGTACCGCTAGCCTTAATTGTCGTATAAATACAGTTATTCTTCCTTAAAACGAACTTCACATACTGGCTTTCATCAATCAATATCTATATGCTTAGTTGCAGAAATCGATTCCATCAATGCTGTAGATTATCCGTATAAAATTCAAAACAGGAATTATTGCAAACAATAAATACCCAAAGTTATGTGCTAAAAATACGTAAGCCAAAAATATACTTATGACATTTTTAAAAACAACTTAAAAGGTTTGGTAAATATACTAATATATAATACATAACAGCTATGCTTTATTAAAAACTTAACAAAAATTTAAACCTTTTAAATTTAAAAATTTTTTAATGTAATATTTATGGGTAGTTTCTCATTTAAGGGGAGATCAACTGTGTTTTTATGTATACAAACAGCACGTGACCATATGGTCAATTTCCGATTCCATGATCAGGGAGTAGATAGATCGCAATTATTTCTGCTAGACCAGACTTCCGAGAGATGAGAGAGTGTTAAGAGAGAAAGAGAGACGGGCTAACAGGTGAGCGAGTTAATTTGCCAGCAAGACAAATTGATGGCGATTGTGGAAAGGTTTTCTTTGTCTATGTATGTGCTCAAAGGTGTGTGTTTAGGTGTGTGGGCTAGTTGGGCGATAAGCGGCGACTGCTTGGAAACAGATCAGGGAAATAACCACAGTATATATGGATTATTATCTTTTCAGAATATCTACAGAATGCATAAGCTTTTTAAAAAATATATTTTCAACGATTTAAGATTTAATTTAGTTTTTAAAAATCTCCGTTTAGCAATTTTAAAATAAATTTGTAATGGTTTCAAAGTTCAATATACTATTCGTTTACTGTATTTTTATTTGCCTTTTTCAGAATATATACATAAATATTTATGCGTTATTAGCAGCTATATAACGTGAAATTATCAGGTTACAAACAGAGAGCACAAAAGTCAAATACTTTTTGCAGTTTTAGGTCCAAGGGAAATATTTTTAAACAGAAAAATATTTGTAAACTTTTAAGAACACATTTTGATGAAACATAAGTTTAGAATCCAGTCGTGCTGCAGTAAACTTTAGCCTTTTTTCCTATTTTCTTTTTTTCCTATATATATATACATATCTTTCTTCTATTTTAGAAATTTAAAACTGGAATTAAATGCATAAAATTCAAAACCAGATAGGGTTAGAGGTATTTATTTATTGAATTAAATAATGGCTTTCTAATTTCTTGTAGGTAAACTATTCTCCTGAGTGATGTAGGGCTATAATTATTATTTCTTTTTGAAATCGGGTCAAAACCAATTGCCAATTTCTAAATAGGAAACTCACCTCCTGAGTGATGTCCAGTTCGTGGCGCGTGTTGTCGTATAGTGTCTCCAGTTCCTCGCACTTTTGCTGCAGGGCGGACTTCTCCTCCAGCAAGGACAATCCGTATTGGGCGGACTGGGCGCTGGCGGAGGACACCTGGTCCAGTTCGCGCGTGAGGCGCTCCACCTCCATTTGCAGATCCTGCCGAGATTGGCCCTGCGATGGGCCATTGTCCGTGTTGCTGGGACTGGACATGATGGATGGTATCCTTCTTAGACGGGGGGAGAGGGCGGGGTGGCGGAGGGGTGGACGGTACAGCTGCCCGTGGGCGTGGCAGGTGATTTAGCTCGTTGTTGTTGTCCTGGGCGGAATTCTTTTCGATACTGTTTTTATTTTGGAGGGAAATCGATAAAAGTCGATTTGTTTATGCCGGACGTTTCTTTTTGTTTTTGCTCTTTTTTTTATCGAATTCCTACTCACTCGTGCTTTTAGGTGTGTGTTTGCGTTTCACCTTTTCTCTTTCGCGTGTGTGTGTGTGTGTGAGTGTGTGTTTGGAATGGTATTTGTGTGGTTTTTCTCCTCTCCGTAGTAAATTACAAAATTAAATAGCACTTAATGGCCAATTAACCGTATGCATTTAACGGCATATAATTCTGCACAACTTTTAATATAGCAGTATATGTAAATCACACACACACACTGGCACACTCGCACTCCCACATGCACACAGTGGCGCTTAAAAAACAGTTGGTAGCAGCAGCAAAAAAATCCAAAAAGCAGCGCAGGAAGTTGTTTCAATTAACTCGAAAGAAACAGTCAAAATGACATCACACAATTTCCCCTTTCATTCGCTGGCGGAGTGGGAGTTGTGCCCATTTTCCTCGTTTTCTTGCTTTTCCCCTATTCGCTTTCTTTTTTACGTATTTTCGTTGCACAATTGCGGCGTAGACGGCTAAGTTTAAGATTTAATCGGTGTTTGATGAAGGCGAAATTTTCAAGCAAGTGCAAAAACAAAAATTTAATCCGCAATCACGTCGATTCTTTGCAATGTTTGTGACGGAATTTCCGTGGGACCGTACTTGAAAGTTTTCTAAAATACTATGCTATACAAAAATACTAAAGTAGTCAGAAAAATCACCAAAAACATATACTCATGGCCTCAAACCATGAACGAGTTGTCTATTTAGTGGTGACACGAACCCCTAGATGACGGACAGAAATTTAATTTATATTATTATATTCGAATTTCAGCTTTTAGCTTTAGATTTTTATTTATTTTGCTTAGTTCTTATCTTTCGTAAAATATATATAACCATTACTATTTACATATGTATATTTAATTTTATTGTACAATTTCTGTGACAAATTTGAATTGATTCATTTTTTAATCAAGCTCGCAAATAAAATGACTTCTAGTATCACACATGATGTCGTTCATGAAGTAATTTCTTTGTGCCATCAATTCCACACAATCCTCATCTTTATTACCAAAGACACGGCTGGGCTCCCAAGTTGCCCACATCAAAAAGGCTGGTTGCCCAGTTGCTTGAGAAACGTAAGTGACATTATCACCCAGGTCGCTGATTCCAACCCAATAGTTTTGGCCAGACGTCAGTTTTGATTTGATTGCAGACAACTCCTCGAAACTCCTTGGAGCAGCCAGAAATCCATTTTTTTGTCGGCAGACATCCGATGCGCCCCACCAGTTTCTCTTGAGTTGACTTTCGATGTAAAAGTATCGCGAACCAATTTTCTCGAATCCTGCAATCTGCTTTTGTCGAGTTTCTTCAGCGTCTTTTAACGTTTTCCCCGCCAGAAACAGGTTTTCCTGCAGGGTTATTAGTTTTAACTGCAAGCTTATTAAACTTTGTTGTGAGCCAAGTTCAGAAGAGGCATTCGAAGTTGGGATATTACAATCTCTTGCCAAACATCCCTGCTGATAAAATGCACTCAAAACACCAAAAATAAGCCCGGTTTTGAACATTTTCTGACTTAAAGTTGCAGCTGCTGAGTACAAAGTTTCCTGAAAAACTAATTCAACGTCTATTCTTTCTGCGCTTATATTCAGCAGAATACATTTTATATACATACATGAACAGATAAGGAACAATTACAAACATTTAAAACATAGATTGTATTATTTTTAATAACAAGGTAACGATAAGGATGTGATTAATTCGTACACTTGCTAGTCAGTGGGATTTTTATATTTTAAATTGTTTGATGAAATTGATAACAAGTTTTTCAAAACAAGAGTCCCAAATCGATCTTACCTTTTATAATTCTTTTATTTCTAAAAGATATTAAAAAACGATTTACTTGGCCTAACCTAGATTATAAATGGAATAAGTAGATTGATAGCATACAAATTTTAATTTGATGTTATCTTTTTGGTTATGAAAAGTTCGCATAAATCATTTATAATTTTTTCAAGTGACACAAGCGAAAAGTTATTGTTTTGAATCTTAATATTTTCAGATTGTATTATGAAATTCCGAAAATATCGTATCTAAGATCTTTTCCGAAATTAGTGTTCCGATAACACTGACCCGTTGCGATAATGCCCCCAGCTCTGGTCACACTACCGTACCGATACTTTTGACAGCTCAGCTCTAATTCTCACTCCACATTTCGCCTAATCACATTTACTTTTTGTCGTACCATTCGAAATCGAGAGAATAACTACCACAAGTTGAACCAAAATGCCGGACGCAGTGCAGCAGAGTTTCGTGCGGAGCTTCATCGATTACCTGAAGAAGCAGTTGGACGCGATGTCGCCGGACCAAAGTGAGAGCATCGAGGTGGCTATCCAGTGCCTGCAGGCGGCCTTTGACGTGGGCGATGATGTGGATGATGCGGCGCAGGACGCCGCCGGCCAGGATGAGGCCACCACACAGAGCAGCACATCCAGTGCCCCCGGCGGCGATGCGCTGGGCGCCAGCGGCAGTGGCAGTGGCCCCCCGAAAAACATCGACATATTCGATCTCTTCCAGTCGCTGTATATTGAACGCAATCCGGAATACCTGGCCCTGGCCGATTCCATTAAGAACGAGGGCAACCGGCTGATGAAGGAGTGCAAGTATAACGAGGCACTGCTGCAGTACAACCGGGCCATCGCTTTCGATCCGAAGAACCCGATCTTCTACTGCAACCGGGCGGCGGCCCACATCCGACTGGGCGACAACGAACGAGCCGTCACCGATTGCAAATCCGCCCTGCTGTACAACACCAACTACAGCAAGGCGTACTGCCGCCTGGGCGTGGCCTATTCCAACATGGGCAAGTTCGCTGAGGCGGAGCAGGCGTACGGTAAGGCCATCGAGCTGGAGCCGGACAATCCGGACTACCGGAACAACCTGGAGGTGGCCAGGAATGCTAGGAATCAGCCGCCGCAACTGTCGCATCTGACAGACGGTCTGAACGCCATGCTGGCCAATCCAACGGTCAGGAATCTGTTCAGCAGCGCCGAAATCGATCTGGAGCAGCTGCAGTCGATGACCCAGAATCCGATGGTGATGAATACGATTGGCCAGCTGTTCGCCAACATGGGTCAGCCAAATGCCGGAGGAGCTGCTCCCGGTGTCGGTGGTGGTGCTCCTCCTGGTGCTCCTGGCGGCGGTGGTGCCCCACCACAGATCCCGGCCATGCCCAACGACATGCTGCAGCTGTTCCAAAGCTTCGCCAGCCAACTGGTGGGCGCCCAGCAGCCGGGCGGTGCACCCAATCCGAACGGCAATCCTGGACAGCAGCCTGGCAATCAGCCTCCGCCGAGCATCTAGTGGGCGAGAAATCGTAGCCAGGATCGGGACGGCAACACAGATTAAGTTTTTAAGCTGAAACTATAATTACTGTATTTATAATGTTTAAATGGCTTCTATTACGCAAATACATATATATATTTTTATTAATGGTAATAAATACATATATGCATCCCAATAGCTGCGTGGCCTGCAAGTCAAATTTGTTTCTGTTGTAATCGAATTTTCCACGCTTATTTAAAGGGAGTTACATAATAGTAAGACAACATTATTATATCTTGGTCCAATATATCATTAAATAGCAGGATCCATTGGATGACTTTAGAAAATTAGTAGGTTTTCCAGTTATTATTTCAAGAAAACCATAAACGAGTTTATTTGAAGCATTTTTATTTAGTTTATATTTTTCCTTGGTGGTAACTACATTTTAGAGCTATTTTATAGGTCAATAAATATAACATAGTGTAGTTTTAATGTTGCTTTTATTGAATTCAAGAAATTTATGCTTTCTGTGTTTTTTTTTCTGCTGATTTGCATTTCTACGTGGTACAATTGTTGATTTGATTACATGTTAAATAAAAACTAAAAGCTTTAAAACAAAATGTTGATTTAACAAACACTTGCTTGTTTGAAAATCGTTTTCTTCAAATCGGGAAACTAAACTTTTCCGCAGACTTGGAACTTTGTTTTATAGATTGTTATTGCAGAGTTCGTTCAACTGGTTATCTTTATAATCTTATATTTATGCATTTGACAGAATCGAAAATTAGTCGTGATATTAATTCAAAACGAAGCCAGCGCCCCTCTTGTTGAATTCTATGAGAAGAGGGCGTGACGTTGTTTGGAATATTTCACGCAAAATGTGGCAAAAACATTTTTCACGAAAATAATAAAAGCAATGCGTGAGGTGTATGAAAAAATGGTTGTTGAAATGTGGCATTTACTTTCCATGAGAATTGCGCTGAAAAGAGACGAAAGGGGGAAAGTTACTGGGAAATTAGATGTCATACTCACCAGAAATTGCTGCAAAAAGTAGATTCTCTTGTTTTCGTTTGTTTACTTGCTTGGCTGTAGCATCATTTAAGTTTCGTTTATTCAGCACGAATCCAATCTCTGGTAGTATTTTTAAGGTTTACGGACTAGGGACAAACCATTCAAGTACGCGCTGTTGCTTATCTCCTTCAGTATTGTGTACTTAGTATTTGTTGAAGCGTCGATTTCTGTAGCCTCCGCCGCCGCCGCCGCGTTGTCTCGTCCTGTTGTTGTTGCCATAGTTCTGGTTCACCTTGTTCGAATATTTTCCAGATGGCGGCGAATAGAACTTCTGGTCGTTGGATGCCCGCACCTTCTTTTCCGGCTCCTGATCCTTCTCCTTGCCGTTGGCAGCTGCTTTTTCTCCAAACGTAATGGGTGCATGGCGCTTGCCAAGCTTGGTCTGCAAAGATCGACTTGGTTATATAGACTTAAGGAGAGTAAAGTCAAATTCTTACATTTTTTGGCACAATCCAGGACAGAACAATATCATGTTTGAATATGGGCGGCGAGTGGAATAGATCCCGTATCAACACGTTAATGTTTGATGTAGTTTTTAGCGCCGTCTGCTTCAATTGGTTCTCCTCCGTCTTTAGCTCCTCCCCAGTCTTGCCCTTTAGCGCCTCCTCCAGTTTCTTAATATAACTGCAATATAAATAATAAAATAAATTATCCGAACACAAATTCATTTTTTTAAGCCTACCCCTGTGTGCCCCTTGCTAGATATTGCAATCTAGCTCGAAAGTCTTTTAGCTTCTCCGCATCCTCGACGAAACTTAAACTATTTGGATGGTTCTTTCCTAGCGTGTGCAGAGCGTACAGTAAGCACTCGGCGTGCGAGAACTGAAACGAGGGCGGGGTGTCCCCCAGATCCTCATCGCTCAGCTTTGGCAAAGGCATGTACTCCTGGAAAGGAAAAAGCAAAGCACTGGTTATATTTTAGGTTTCAGAGTGAATAACCAACTGATCTCACCAGCAATACATGGTAGACTGCATTAATGCGTTCGCTGGCATTCTCCAGCTTGTCCGTGTAAGTTATCATCTCGGCAAATACTTTCAGTAGTCTGAGTTGAATTTGATCTTGCGACACTGCAGTGGCGATCATGTTCCAGGTCTTGATGGGCAGAAGTTTATCGCAAACGTGAGCCACAAAGGCCGTTGATTTTATGGTCTTCTACAATAATAGCAAGAGATTAGATTTGGAAATTCGCAGAAAGCAGCTAATGCATGCCTATAACGTACCGAAAAGTAAGGTGCCGCTGCAGTGGCGCACTGTATAAATCGCTCCACAACCTCGTCATCGACGGCAATGATGTCCGTGTCTGTGTTATTAAGCTCCGCCTGTTCTGTGGCCAGCTTGACGAGCTCGGCGTGGCCGGTGATGGTGCTGCCCAGTTTGGTGGCCCCCAGAATTGTCATGCACAGATGGAACTCATCAGCAGTGACGTCCTGCAGCGCCTTCTTGATCTCCTCCACAATGAAGTCCTCGATTTCCTTGGTTATAACCGTGGGACCCATGGTCAGCAGTTTGGTGGCAATGAACTTGAGGCAGCGCTCCCTTGTCGTCTCATCCCCCGTGGTTATCTGTTGAAAGAGTCCGGTGACGGAGCTTTTGGTGTCCAGCTTTATGATGGCCAGCAGCGAGTTGTTGACCTGCTGCAGTTCTGTGGCATCGTCCAGGATGAGCAGTTGGGCCAGAGTGTCGCCCACTCGAATGGTGGCATCAGCGTTTCCCTGACAGAGTTTCGGCAGATCCTTAATGGCCTGGCGGCGGATCTGAAGTGGTTTCGTTAGTTTAGTTTAATGCTCTAGAATTTAAACACTTTGGGCAGTTAAAAATTAAATACTAAAGGCTGATATGGAAAACAAATGCCTTATGAACATTGAACGTTGAACATACATTTATAGGAAATATCTACATATAGATACACACTTGTATAGTTTAAAAATTCCTAACTCTATTTATCATCTTGTTAAGTTCAAAGGGTTTACAGCTCCCCACCCACCTGTGTGTCGTCATCTTCGCACAAATCGAACTGGGCATCGATGGCTGTGTCGGCCAAATCCGGAAAATGTTTGAAGAAGTTGCCAATGAATTGCGATGCCAAGCGTTTTTCCTTCGATGTGCCCTTTACGGCCTTAATAATCTCTTTGTATTCCTCCACATGCTGCAAAAACAATACATATCATATACATTTCTCATACCGTTTTTTCCGGCACATTTTGCAATGGCGGCTTACCTCGGATATTTTATCGCCCGCCTCGGACAGAATTTCGTAGCATTTGTACAGTCGCTCTATGTTGTCCATCTTCTTAACTATTAAGTCTCTGTTGTTGCAGCGATTTGAAGCTATTCCAGTCGGTTGTACACCTTTTTTATTTAGTTAATGTGGGCGACAGCGTTTTCCCCTTATTTTTCACGTTGCAAACAAAATGGTGATCGGTAGTGTGACCAGAGCTGGGCAGAGTAAAAATACGGAATCAGTCGAAACAACCGATAGCTATCGATTTTCGTCGTTCATCGATTAATCATCGAAAGACTCGAATATATTTTTGAATAACATTTTAAAAATTGTTTCTCAAGTTAATGTTTTTCATAAAGATATATTTATTAAGGAATAAATTTTAAATTTATATTTAATAAATGTAATATAATATAATATAAGATATGTATATATATAACAATTTATGCAATATGTTTTCACAATAACCAAATTGTAGTTGGAATTGTTTTTTTTAATTTTAGAAAACCGATTCATTATTTATTCTTAATCGCCGCCTAGTCGTAATAGTTCTATAGAATACATTGGATATTTATGGAATTGCCTTCAAGGCCTGTTCAAAATACTCCACCATCATGGGGTAAACTTCGTCGTATTGCTGAATGTTCTTGCGCCTCGCATTGTCGCGATACCGCTGCAATGCCCCCGAGATTAGCTCCAACTTCTCCCGCTCCGCCGTGTGTCCATCCAGCCACTCAATCAGACGTTCGTTGGACCAGTTGGCCGTGGTATGTGGCGACTGCAGATCCGCTCCAGCGTGTCCGAAGAGCAGTAGCAACACTATATAGCTGGGCACCAGTGAATCCTCCCCAACCGTCTGCTTCACCAGTTCTTGGGCCGTTTGGACAATCAGCAGGGACATAGCTCTTAGCAAACGCGAGGGCTTTCCAAGCTCGGCGAGATTAGGGCACAGGGGTTTCAAAGCTTGCTCCATGTGCTGGCAGTCCTGCTTTAAACGCTGTCTTCCCGCCGCACTTAAAGGACGCAGAATGCAGACATTGTGCAGAAAGAGCTCGATACAGCGCTTGGCTAGCTCGTGGCCACACTTCGTAGTCATCTGCTTGTCATCGAACAAGGCGATGTGATGCGACCAGGAACGGTTCACAAACTCCTAAGGCATTTAAAAAGAAAGTCATTAATGTAGATCACTTTTACTGAATGCTGCTTGTTCCACCCACCTGCAGTTCCTTCATGTACATCGATGGGCCCGTGGTCGACAGCCTCTCCGTGTTCAATCCCGGCTCCCTATGCATACTCAATATGATGATACTGATGGTCGTTATAATCGACTCCATTATTTGCTGCAGAATGGTGCCGATCAGCAGATCAGCCTGCTCTAGGGATCGGGCTATAATTTCCCTGGCACTTCCCGGGGTCTTCTCAAACTGCACTTGAAGATCGCTCAGCATGCGACGCACTGAATCCTTGTAGTAGTACAGAACATTCGCCAGCTGTGTATTTTGCTGCTGCTGCAGGTTGGGTAGATCCACAACCTGTTTGGAATCAGCTCCCAGCTTTATTTGAGCCTCCAGCTTGGTACACATTTCCTTGCCGCAAGCTGCGAATACATTCGCAATGGAGTTCGTGAGACGGGAGTCGATCAAGGCAGCACTCAGTTCTGTGGAAGCCACCCTTATAAAGTTGTCCACCGTTTCGTTGCCAGGTAAATCAACTCCAGCCAGGCAGGCCTTAAAGTTGGCGGCACACTTGCTAACGTAACCCACTTCCAGAGGAGCGAATAGCTCGTTATCGAACTGAAACTCGCCATTCAGACGCTGCTCCAAGCCGCGAGAGGAAGTCAGGAGCTTGGAGAGTCCTTCCTGGAGGGTCTGCGTCACATGCTGGGCGCATTCGTCAAACGATTTTCGCAGCAGCTGTTGCACCTGATGCCAAAACCGCTGCGGAATGCACTGATCCGAGGCCTCCGATGTGTAGCCAAACTGGTTTATCTGCTCCAGAGATGTTTTAAGCAACTTAATCTGGGTGCAGGTCTCAAAAAGTTCGTCGTAGAGCAGCCAGTGCAGGGATTTCCAGAACTTGGCCCGGAAGTTCTGGGTGGTTGTCAACTGGGGAGTTTTTCCCGGTCCCCTCGAGGGAGCTGGTTTGCTAACATTGTGCGTGGGCGACTTGTTGAGCACGGATATGTCATTCCCGGCAAAGCACTCTTTGAGGGATTGCTCCATATCAGCGATAAAGGTGGCCAGCAGGTTTTCCAGCGATTTCTCCAGCGTATTGAAGTTCATGAAGATCTGTGGGTTAGGTATTAAAGTAGTGTAATCTTTTTTTCTTTCTCCCCAAACCCACCTTTAATGCATTAACCACTTGGTTTTGATTTCGCTCCTGGAGGCCCGTTACCAACTGCATCTGCGTGAGGTTCCTTATCTTCTGACCCGAACTGATCACGTAGGCCCGCTCCTGCTGTATGAACTCGATGTCCTTGAGCTCCTTGTCCTCGATGAGCTGGCCCAGCTCGAAGTGCAGCTCCGCCTGGCGCAGCACATCCTTGGTGCCCTTCAACTTGGCCGCGAGTGTGAGGAGGGTTCCAGCCGAGCGCAGGAGGTGGCTGACATCGTGCAAACGGCCGAGCACCTGCGTCTGGTTCTCCACTTGCTGGTACTGCGTGTCCACCTGGTTCTTCAGCCGGTGTCCCGTCTCCCTGACCCGCTGCACATCCTCCGCCAGCGTGTTTAGAGCCGCATCGAAACGACCGGCGTGGGTGGCTTGCTGCAGAAGTGCTCCATGCTTATCCCGCACCTGCTGGTGCAGCTCCTCCTTGGTGTTCTGCAGTTGCTTGGACAGCTCCTGGATCTGCTGGCCAATGGTTAGATGCGTCATGGAGGCGGTGTAGTCGTCATCATCTGAAGTCGTCGCATTTGTGGTCTTTGTCGCGCCCGGATCACCAGTGACCATGGTCGAGGAAGGTTTAATCTTTGGAATTACCAATTATCTAATTTAATTACTAAGTTATTTCTATTAAATCAAGCAATTTTAATACAAACATTTATTTCCACGCAACCAAAAGCGGCCTCCAATCGATAACTTAGCACGGGCGTAGGCAAAAAGTATTAAAGGGGGTTCTGTTGTTTAATAAACTTTTACAAAGTTTTCCTCATTATCGTTGTAAACGTTGAAACTGACAATACAATATATTTCTTTAAATAAAATTTAAAATAAATAGATAAATGGAAGTACAAATTCTAAACAATATTAAAATTTTATTTTGTTATATTTTGGTAAGCTTTTATTATGAACCCCCAAAAACGACGCCCTTGTAGTGCGCACTTATCGATAGTTTCAGTCAGCTGTTGGCAGTTTGTTTTGTGTAAATAACTGGATGCGGAGAAAAAACTGAATTTTGTTATTCTAAGTCCGTCGGTTTCACACTTTCACGCATTCTCCATGTCGGACGACATCAAGAAGTATTTAGATGGCCTGCTGCAGAAGTAAATGTTTGCTTAAGGAAAGGTTTCCTACCTTAATAAACTTGCGTACTTTTCACTTTAAAGGGTCAGCGGCCTGTACGTGATTCAGATAACGGACCGCGACGGAGTGCCCCTCCTGCGGGTCAGCCAGGAGAAGAACGTGGACTTCGCCCTGATGCCCTCGTTCATTCCCACATTCACCACCGCCTGCGACCAGGCCAGCAAGCTGGGATTGGGCAAGAACAAGACTATCATCTCCATGTACTCCAACTACCAGGTGGTGCAGATGAACAAGCTGCCGCTGATTCTGACATTTGTGGGCGCGGAGAATTGCAATACGGGCCATATCCTCGCCCTGGAGCACCAGGTGGATGGCTATTTGGAGGACATAAAGCTGGCCGTTACCGAGGCATAGAATTAATCTACACTTTAATATGCATATTTTTTATAAAAATTATTAATCTTTATACTTTATTAAAAATGAAATGTGTTATCTAGGGACTTAACTTAATATCAACAGTCCCCTTTTTTTTTTAACTGACTCAAAAATAATTTTTAAAGTACGAAATTTGTTGACACTTTGTTCTGAATGAAAGTCTGTTTCTTGCTTTATGTAGATTGTGGGTGTTCTTGTATTAGCCTCTTACGATTAGTAAACCGCAAGATCAGATATCAGAATATATATATCAAACTTGTTTCTGCTCAATTATTACAAAACTATTAAGTATGTTTACACAATGAAACTAGAATGTTTATTTGCTATCATTCGATTTAGAAAGAAAATGATTTTTCGAAAACTATGATAATTTACTAAAAATGTATCCCATCGAAATGATTTTATTACCAATGTGTTCGACTATAGTTTTTAAAAATACTATGCGTTTACACTTTATTCAAAATGAAACTTGATGTACTTTTTGCTTAAATGCATACACTGAATTAATTTGCTACAATTCTTGATGATTTTCCTGCAACAGCTTGGGAATGATCTCGACAAAATTAATATTCTCCTTTAAAACTAAAATACAATCCCCAAATCGCTGATCTTCGTATGCCAAGCACACCACACATTTCTGTTCGGCTCATCCTTGATGGTGGATTATTTCAGAGTTCGTCGTGCAGGTTTTCCGTCTCGGCCTGGAAAGCTTCGCTGTCGCAGGCGGCGGGTGTCTCGAATTCAAAGAAGTATTCACAACGATTTGGCTCGCTGACGGCAGTGATCTTGGGCTCCAGGGCACAACTGATGTTGATGATGGCCGAGCGATTCGGACCATTCCAGCAGGCGGCCCCATTGGTGTACTTTTGCTGCGAATACTTCTTGGGCTCGCCGATCCATTTGTCCCAGCGACCCAGCGTGGTTTCGGCTCCTCCATTTCGCGACTTCTGAGACGCCCGATCGAAGGGGCAGAGAGTGTAGACATACTCCCGATCCTCGAAGTTGTAGCACTGGCCATCGTGCACGGCCCACTCCTCGGTGAGGCCATACCCCTTGCTGTTCTGCTCGTCAATCTCCTTAATCTCCTGCTCGATCTCGCGCAGGCTGCGTTCCACTTCCTGCAAAGCGTTACGCGCCTCGTTGGCCTGCTGGATCAAACGCTCGGTCTCCGGATCGTAATTCGGCGGCTTCACTTCCTCCACATCCGGAGACGCTTCGCCCACGCCCACATCGGGCTCTTCGTCGTCGTACTGATCCTCCTCGCCCTCTTCGTCGGCCTCGATCTCCTCTTCCCCAGCCAGATCAGCTTGTTCTGGAAAAGTATAAAAATAAAAGGATAAGATAAGGGATAACAATATTCAGCGTTTAAGTATATTAAATTAAGAAATCCTTCTTCACCTTGACTTGGCATTGGCGGTGTGGGCTGGATTCCCTCGGTGGTGGGTTGCTCCTGCTCGACAACTTCCTCTGGCTGCGGCGGTTGGAACAGTCCCTCGGCCAGCATTGCCAGGGGCTTAATCCTTGGCCAGGCGAGCGTGACGAAGGCATCCAGATCGACGCGTTCGCGCTCGTCCAGGAAGAACTTGGCCTCCTCGATGGTGACCACACCGTTACGATCCCTGTCCAGATTCATGTCCACCATCAGTTCGGTGACCTCGACGAAGCCATCCTTGTTGGTGTCGTAGCGCACGAAGCTGAGCGAGGCCTCCTGGCGCATCTGCTGAGGCTCCTGCTCCGCCTGGGCCGTCTCCGCGTCGACTTCACGCTGCTCCGCCTTGAAAATATCGATTGCCTCCTTTTCCAGAGCCTCGGCATTTTGCTTGAGCTGTTCCTTCTCGTCGCGCAGAACCACCTGTTCCTTGTGCCGCTGGTCCAGCTCGAGGCGGCGAGCCTCGCGTTCTGCCTTCATCTGCTTGCCCTTGGTGATCATCTCCAGGCGTCGCTCTGCTCCTCGCTTGTGGAGCTCCGCTTCGTTTCGCCGTTGGACAGCAGCCGCCGCACCGAGTTCCAGGCAGGTGTTGGGGCAACCGACCACCTGTGACTCATCGCTGCCGTCGCAGCAGTCACAGATCCCGTCCTGCACCTGCGAACTGGGTATGTCCACCGACTGGTGGCCCTTGTTGAGGCAATGGAACTGGCCGTTTGAACAGGCCGAAGTGCCCGGCTCATCGCTGCCATCCGGACAATCACAGTAGTCGTCGTTGATCTGGGCGAAGGGTATGCTCCGGCTGCCATCCAAGCAGGTCCAACTGTTGTCGCCCGCCCGCGGTTGGTACAGTGAAGCCTTGGCCAGTGAGACTCCCAGCGGACGTGGAACATCGGTGGCCGAACTTGCATTTAGGAACACTATTGCCACCACGACGGGTATTAGCACCGTTTGGCTAAGTCCCAGGCCTTGCATTTTGGACGTGATTATCGCTACTCCTAATTATTCTCCTAATTTCAGTTGGTGGTCCTGTTCTGTAAATCTTACGTGGAATTTGCTATGGTATGGTTTTTTTTACAGTAAATGCCGGTGTAGCGCTAGCGATGGCAGTAAAGACAACTATCGATAACAGCAGCCAGGGGCGCGATTAGTAATCGGTGAGAGGGTTTGATTTGTGTTAACATATATTTGTTGTATTATTAAAAGACATATTATTTATCTATTATACCTAGTAAAATACTACTAAATGTCCATGAAATAGATAATATTTTAATTAATTAATTAATTGTTAATGTTTTTAAATGGAAATTGATTAATCCCCCTTCTTTTTTTTAAATTTTATTCCACTGACTCATCGACGGTGTGGCAACGCTGCGCAATCAGCTGCCGGTTTGTTATTTAACCAAATTGGAGGAGCAAAGAACCCATAAAACAATGGAATTTCTGACTAAAGTGTGGGCAAAGGAGGCAACAACTCCCATCGAAATAGAAGCAACCACCGGCACAGCACAGAAAAACCCGAATCCACAGCCCGTAAAAGATCCTGCCAGTCAGGAATCCTCCGAGAGCACTGGCACTAAGCAGAAGGATTGGGGTTATGACTTGTATCCGGAGAGGAGGGGCGAAACGTTCAAACCCAAATGGACACGGGTTTTGTTCGGACTGGAGGGCCAGGAGAACATCGATCGTTTCAAGTGCGAGGAGAATGTCTATTGGTGTGTCAAGAACGGGCCGCTGGTGAAACTGATGATGGGAGCCCTCAAGAGCTCCGGCTGTCCCATCGATCTGCGCCGGCACATCTCGTGCGAGGTGTGCGATCCCACGGTCACCGGGGGATACGATCCCAAGCTCAACCAGATCGTGGTATGCCAGAACATGGCCAAAAACAAGAGCATGGTCCATGGCGTCCTCACCCACGAGATGATTCACATGTTCGACTACTGCAACAACGACATGGACTTCCGGAACGTGGACCACCTGGCCTGCACGGAGATCAGGGCGGCGAACCTGGCTCATTGCTCCTTTTTGAGCGCCATGTTCCAGGGGGATGCATCGCCTTTTAATGTCAAAGAAGCTCATCAGGTGGGTTATATTTATATTTAGTTATCATTTTCAATTTAATTTAAATTATATATATTGGTAATAAATTAATCTATGTAATGATTAAAGTACCTAGTTTTTACCTATCTTGTAACTTTGAGCTAAGGAAACCTATTTGTTGAATGCGTATTTGCGTTAAGTAAAGCAGTTATAAAATTTACTTTAACGAAGCTTAGGAATTAGGAATGTTTTTTAATTATTTTGAATAATATACCTTATAAATTTAAGATAAGCTAATATTATTACCCTCTTATAGTGTATATCATTTAAAAAAAAGATTTTCAAGCTGTTGTCTGCCCCACTTAAAATTAAGTTATAAATAGATTTCGGTCATTTTAACCTTTAAAAAGCTAAATCTTCTTTTAAAACTCCATTCCAGAACTGTGTCAAGTCCAAAGCCCTGGCCTCAGTGCTGGCTGTTCGTAATATAACCAAAGCAGATGCCATTGCTGCAGTGGAGAGAGTTTTCCCCAAGTGCTATGCCGATCTGGAGCCCATTGGCCGAAGAATCCGACGAAATTCCACGGACCAGCAGAAGGCCTATATGGAGGGACCCATGTACGGCTATGATGTATATTAAATTGTTATGATATGATTTCGTTTTTAAGTACCTACACAAAAGTTGAATAAAACTATGTTTTAAGCTCTGGACATTTTGAATGTCACGCTGCCAGACACATTTTATATTGAAAGCCAAATGGTTGGATATTAATTAAATTGTGTACGATTAACCATGAAAATGTACCAAGTTCAAAATATAAATTCAGTTATATATGTCTACTACCAAATTGTATATAAAACAGCCGCTTAGAGCTGCTGTTGTTAGTACAAATTAGAAAACCAAAGGAACTTGGCATGGAGGATTGTGAAATTATTGGAATGATATTTGAAATCATTGGGGACATGCTGTTCGGCTGTAAGTTGGAGGATATAGGAGAAGTGGAACTGGATAAGTAATATAAATCAAAAACCTTTTTTATAACGAATTGTAAAAAAATAAATTGAATATATTTTAAAAAACAATTTGCTTTTCAGCTAACAGCTCTTCTGATGACGATTATGACTCTTCGACCTAAAAAGCGTTTGTCAAGGTCGCTAAATATTAAAACAGCCGAATAATTAATACAAAAAATTAACCACCTAACCAAATGATATATATACAACAATATATGTAAAAAGAAACAAAGTTAAATCAAGCATTATGGACTGCTGTGAGCTGCCGGAAACATTTTTAAGCTTCCCTAACGACCTTTTCTTCTCGGACATAAGTAATTAATTTTTGTTTATTTCCAAATAGTCAAATAATCATATTATTTCTTGTTTGTAAAGCTGATGAGGAATACTTTGGTGATTACTACGACAACTAAAATTGAAATAATCCGATGATCGCAAAGCAAATAAATAAATTTGATATGAGCATTTACCTTTAAAAGCTTTTCAATAGGCAGAGTATTTTTGTGTACTTTTGACCTAAATCATGCAATCTTTTTTGGTTTGAATTAAAACCAAATTGGTCGTGCGTTTTTGTCATGGCTCATTAAAGGGGTCCGGGTCAAAACTACTCTGGAGCAGTAATGCCATTGTATTTAGTTACAAAACGTTAACCTCGTCGGATCAAATATGTTTTGGGATCTACTTGGTGGAATTTTTGAGTTTATTTTCGGACTCTTGTTTCCCAGTGAGTTTTTCAATCTCTTTATATAAGTTCCTGTGGATAATTGGTGATTTTCATTGATGGACAGGTTCCGGCAGCGGCGATGAACCGGATTCTGAGGAGGTTGAAACTACATGAAGCCAAATTCGATTTTTTAACAATGTAATTTTGTAAAAGTTTCATGTTTTCGCTTTATTACATCTACGTAGTGTGTATAATTAATATAAATTGCTTCAACAGCTACTACATCTTCATAGTATTCATTAAAAGTGAGGATTATATACACTGCGCATTCGTTATACGCATTTTAACAAGTTGCAAAGCTCAAAACAGTTTAAACTGTTTTTTCAGCTCCATTTTCTTCCATTTGGGCAGCTCGTCGAATTCGTAAAATGACATTTTAAAAACCGAGACAAAGTCATCGTGGGTCAGATGAACCTGTGTACAGTGGAAACAACATTTTAGAAAACCTTTTTTAAAAATTAATGAAGTATGCTTAAACTAACCTCTCTCTTCAGCGGATTAATTTCTGGTGGCAGCATGTCCATCTCCTGGATGAGAACTGTCAGTGGATACTTTTTGTGGCCATCAAAGCCCTTCTGTTTATTGTTCAGCAGCAAAGGTGACCCATCATTTGCAAGGCTACAGGTGGTGGGAACAGCGTTCCCCAGATCCTTGCGCATTGCCTCGTAGGACAAAAAGTTCTAAAGGACATAAAAGATTATTACTAGAGATTTCTTCGCACAAAATTTAAGTTGGATGTATGAGTAATTGCGAAAAGCCTAAAACTTAAGCCAAAGTTACTTGGATTTCGAATACATTTTTTGTTCACCAAAAACAACTATATTCTATGGTGAGAGTTTGGTTCGTTGGTTTGGTTTTTGTTGGGCCACCCTAATTCATAATTAACACATACCTTGCCGTAATCGTTCTGCCAGGACTCGAAGAATCCCTTGAAGACGTTCGGTTCCTGGAATTGCCTGACTACGGCCAATGCAGTAGCCGATCTGCGTCCGAATGGAGCGTTCTGCACATAACTCTGGGCAATGGCCGTGTAGCGCTCCTGGTTCAAGGCCTGCGATCCCAGCCAGACGTAGGTGAGGGTACCAGTGTCCAGAATATATGTGCAATCCGAGCTGAGATCCTGCTGATCGAAGCCGAGAATTTCCTCATACCTCAGCGAACTCTGTTGCCACCAGACCATAAAAAGTTGGACCGGGGGTCTCGGTTTACTGGGAACACTGGTGTTCAGATAGCAATTATTGCTGAGGGTGGGTGATATGTTGCCACCGTTGGAGCTGCCGTTGCACATGCTGCCGGCACCACTGCTGCTGCTGGTGCTGCTGGAACAGGAGTTCCCATTGCCGTTGATCACGAGAGTTTGATTGAAGTACATGGCCACCGATTGCCAGAACTCCTTGCTCTCCTTGCCCTCCAGCACCAGCGAGCTCTCTCCCAGAAGCGCTCCCACCGACTTGGCCATCTCGCGGGCATCTCCCGTGCTACTCTGACCACACCACACCCAAACGTGACTCGTCTTGATCACATAGCAATCTTTGGAGCTAATCGACGACAGTGGCGTCTCCTCCACAGCCTTCGCATTGTAGCTGGCATCGCCGTAGACCTTCAGCAGAAAAGTGTCCGACAAGACATTGCCTCCATTAACGCTCCCGTTGTAAAGCATCTCGCTGCGCTGGCCCCGCATAATGATCAACTTTCCCTCGAAGATCTGAAGGAAGTGTGGCGGCTCGTCGAACTCGTAGAGCTGCACGAACATCCCGGGCTTCTTGAGGGCATCAAAACTGGCCTTGGCAAACTTGTCGGCACGGGAAATCGATTCCGCAGAGGCCTCCGAGCCATTCCATTGGTAGATGATCGTTTCAATGCCCACAGAGGCCAAATCCGCGGGCACAACAGTGGCACACTTCAGAGGATAGGATGGATATATCATTAGTTTTATGATTATATACAATAAAATAGGCTCACTCTCTTACCTGCACAGTGTACTTAACCACGTAGCTGGCATTGGTGGTGAAGACCACCGTCTTGGAGACGGGCATCTCCTGCACCTGATCTCCCCAGATGCGGTACAGTATCCTTTCACCCCTGCCATCGTCCACGAGCTGTGTGTCCGCTGCCATTTTGGGGCGCTCGCAGAGGGAGTGGGCATCCAGCTTGCCGAACTTTGTGGACACTGGCTTGTGACCTCTAGCGTTCTCCTGCCAAACATTCAACCAGTTGGCGAAGAGTCGCTTAAACTCCACCGGCTCGTGACCTTCGAGAACACGCACTACCAGGGTGCTATCCGGATACTTCTTCTTTTTGACAAAAGCCCGTCCATTTCCCATGGCAGAAAGTGCATCTGCCTGAGGGGCTTGGGCTCCAACCCACAGCCAAATGCTCTGGCCATAGTTATCCAGTAGATACACTCCATGGGCATCGCTCAGATCATCCTTGGCCGGCATGCCCACGTCCAGTTGATCCAGATGCAACCTTCCTCGCTGATTACACTTGTAGATGCGGAATTTATTGCTATTGTAGTCGGCGTATTCGGTGACCAACTGACTGGCCTGGCAGACCATCCGTTTCTGGAGCGGAAGCAGGGAATTCCACAGCTCTTTAGTTTCGTGGGACATGGCCTGTTCGTAGCCATCATCCACTATGGTGATGGCGGAGCCACTGCAGTGCTTTTGAACCCAAGCCAGGGCACTTCGTCGCTCGATTCCCGAACTGGAGCGTCCTATCCACACAAAGATCAGGGTGTCCGTTTGCAGGACCATTATGTAGTCCGAGTTGAAGTGAGTCCAATCGATGGTGGCCAGCTCAATGGATCGTAGCCATTTGCGGGCGCGCAGTTGAAAGAGGCGTGGCCTCTTAGGAGCATTTAGCAGGGCTCCTGAACGAACGCTGTAAATTATAATTGTTATTATTTGTATATTCCTTTGATAGTCTTATTCCTTAATTGCATTAATTGAAAATATGTTTAACTCACTCGTAACCCTTCTTGAAGTATGAAAGAAACCTCGCACTTTCCAGATTCTGGGTCTCTCGATAAATAGAAGACACATTTCCCAGATACGAGTCCAGCTCCTGGATTTTGTGCACCACATTGGAGCGGTTCTGCTCACTGACACTCTTGCCCAACCAGTAGTGGATATATCGCTCCAACACCACATTCGGCTTCTGTTCGCGTGTCTATAAGTATAAAATTTTCATTAGAAACCAGTCTGTACTAGTTGATTGAGTTACGTTTACGTACGATGGTCTCGTGATTGGCATAATGACCGGGCAAACTCGCTGCGTAGATAATGTATGCGCAGTTGTCATAAAAGGTTCCATACTGCGATCGAGGGACTGCCTCCAGGCGATCTTCGTCTATTTTCCAGAGAGCAAAGGTTATGGCATTTTTCGCCACCTTGCGAAATGTCGCATCGACTTTGAGGTCTGGAATGGTGTTGGGCCGGATCTCCTAGAATTTGATAAATAAATGATAAGTTTTAAAGATTTATTAAAAATAATGTAATATATATTTAAGGCAATAAAAATTAATTGGATTTAAAAGTAATGTTATGTTATAAGATTTTCTTTAATGCGCTTTAATTTTATTAATAATTAATATAATATAATTAGTTAAATATTTATTAAGGTAATGCAATTTTTGTATATTGTACGTGTTGGAGAAAATGAAAACAGCCACTCAATAACTTGATTACTCCTCCTCTTTCATAGCTTAAGATTTATGAGTTCAAATTGCAGGCACGTAGCGTAACTCGAACCGAATCGAATAAATCAGGTTTTATGAAATACAATTTTCATCTGCAATTACCATTCTGTGCTCCCATTTTCACCGAAATGACGACAATGCCACTGGCAGGCTGTTCGAACAGCATTTGCCACGACATTAAACACCTTTCAAACGATCGCCAATTGTTTCTGACATGCGACACTTTTCCAAAACCCAAGCATAAACACAAAAACTAAAAAAAAAATCATTTTCAAACTAAAGAAAAATATAAAAACCGAAACCCGTCTGGAGAAGTGCTCTGCATCCGATTGGTGGCAAGTGATAGTGAAAACTAAAAGTGAACTGAGGCGGGCGTGAACCACATTTAACCACATTGGTGGTGCAGCTAGTTTTTGTTGCCTGCTGGCTGTCGAACATTAAGTTTTTATTTATTTATATATTTATGGAACGCAGCAAGGTGGAAAGTGGTTGCCAAGCATTGGGTGCATGTACATACTCTATAGTCGACTCGTATGTGTACCACTTATGCATGCATCTTCATCTCGATCTTGGCTAACGGTTTGGGGTCATTAGGCTGTGCCTTTGGCTAATTAATGCTTTGACTCTGAGCCATTTCATTTGGACGACGCTGGCAGTGGCTGTGGCTGTGATTACACTGGCGTGCTCAGTGACCAAAAACAAGTTCATGCTTCGCCTGGCAGTGTCTGGTTACTCCCACAAAATGACATTTCATGGAAATCACAAAAATATAATGACTGGCTTTTTCTGGGGCTGCTGCTCATAAATAAGCAATGCATAAAATGCGCTGCACACATAACATGAAAACATTTTAATTGTTGCCTGCAAATGGCGAAATAACTCGGATTACTTTAACTGGGCTTGGGTTAACCAGGTTTTCCAGCTCTCTGGCTCTGTGATTGATTGATCTTCACTGTTGACAGCCAAACTGCATTTGTCATGGTCTTACAAAACAAAAGAAGACAAGAAAAACTAGCACAAGTAAATTTCCTCTGCCAGTCGCAAATTATAACAATTTTTTTGCAGCCTTTGTTTTTGAAGTTGATGGTCCCAAAGAGACTTTCACAGTCGCCAATTAGCGTCATCAATCCAAGCGAAAGCCATTCGGCCAATGTTCTAAACAGAATGTCAAAAAATAAATTTAGATACGCATATATCTGTGTAGTAAATTTTTACTTTCTTTGGGGTAAAGCTATTATCTTAATGGATGAAGCATAAAAAGTTTAATTGTTTGCCATCGATGGCTTTAAACGTTTGTTAAAATTGGGAGCAGAGTTAAATTGTTTTAAAAAAGAGTAAAAGTAAATTTAAAAGTACCGCAAAAGAAAGTGTTTCGACAAATAATGTAGCTTTAATAATATAAAAAATCAAAGCTGATACAGATATTTACAAAAACCTTTATTGGAAAGTTTTTATCTGATAGTGCTAACAAGCCCGTTTTAGTTTTAGTAAAAAATAACATTTAAAAAATTTTATTTACATAAAAGAAACATTTAGACTGTGCAATGTTTTATTATACAATAGATTAACTTTTTCCAATGCCAACGAAATAGTTGCTGCCTTTTTCATATAAATAAATAAAAGAATAAAGAAATATTTAAAAATAATAGAGCACTCAAAATGTAATTTTATGTTGTCATAAATATCATATCGTCTTTGCTGGGCAAAGGATATAACTATCAAACAAAAAATTCCAGTTTTTTTGCATCTGTGAAATTTCTTTATTAATTTGCCCCCTAACAACAATTTGCCCCCCTGTGTCAACAATTTTGTACAAGAGCTAGCCAAACACCATAATCAGAAACCAAATTGATTGTAATTGATAAACAAATAATCTTCATGTCGTAATTAACAGCTGAACCTGGCTAAATAAACTTGTCCAGGCTGAAGATTGCGCTAAGATCCAAGTAAATATAAGAGAACTGATGGGAGAGATTCGAGAGGCGAGTATGCATAATGAAAAGCCGGTAATTACCGTTTCTTTTTGCGACAGCGATAGCTCCATGTTGCAGGGGATCAAAACCCACGAATGTATCTGTATCTGAAAGATACTGTGACGATGCCTTGAACTAGTTTTGTTTCTCTCCAACTGATGGCAATTCCAAATGGAAGCCGGCAGCAAGCGCGGCCTAAAGTGAAATCCTTGCGAGTTTTTCCACCGCTTTTGAAAAGCGAATGTCGCCGCACACACAAACTTTACACACACGCAGCGCGATTGAAAGCGGAATGCCCAATGGAAATTTCACGTACAAAATTAGAAAAATTTTAAATTTCTGTGTATAATTGCCAAAAAATTTAACCGAAATAAAGAAAAATTGAAAGTTAAGCCAAATGCTAGGCTGGATTCGATTTGATGCGGTTTTAGGATCGGTTTTCCGACTCTCGCGGCTCGTGTTTTTCCCCACAGATTTTTCCCCGAGACTCTTTGCTAGCGCGTCTTTGCCACCAGAAAGTCAAATGCAGACTGGTCGCTACGGAAAACCGCGCTCCAAGTTTATGGCCAGGCCAGCATCGAGCAGCGGGCATCGGGCCAAGAGCTGCGAGCCAAAAGAGCAAGTGGGAAGCGCCGAGTGTGACTCAGAAGTGAATGAAAATTATCAGTTATATTGTCGGTTTTCCTCTCCAACCTCGCCAAGCGAACTGGCTGAGAAAAAAGCAGAAAGCGCAGCGCATTTTGTTGCGGTTTCTCGGTCTTAGGCCAACGGAACCTGGCTCCGGGCAAAAGGCCAAGAGGAAGTGCTGACAAAAGGGTCTTAGACTTAAACAAATTCTTACGGGGTGTTTGCTAATTCCTTCTATTAGCTCTCTGCGGGTAAACATTTACATTTACATTCACTTCAACGAAGGTGTTTCGGTTCTTTTAGCTATGTCTAATAGTTTGATCAGTTTGACTCATGAAGTTAAATGAAGCGCTTGATGGAATGTAACTAATGTATCTATACATTATACAAAGTATTATAAGCGCTATTAATTCCTGGTTTTTTAGGAATGTTGGTATTGAGTATTGTAGTTTTGATAAGCTCAAATGATATATATTATTTTTAAGGAGCTGCCTATTAAATGGTTTAAATATGTGGTTAGCAAGGAAATTTGAACAAAAATATTACTTTGATAAATTTGAAAGAAATAAATATAGAAATAAAGAAATATTTAAATAAGATCACGGATCAAGGATAAACAAAGCTATAAGTAAATTTAATCAATTTTTAGTGCCTATGAGTTGGTCTATAAAACTATATATCTTAAATCAGTACTACATTTAGCATTTAGATCAAATATAATATAAAAAGAGTATTAGTTCGTCTACCCTGCGACTTCAGTGCATGACTTCTTGTCTGGCCAATGTCTCTTTCCCCGCAAACTCCACACTTTGCTGCACTGACATTCTCCACAGGCAATCAAGCACAAACAGAGGAAAGCAGTAAGACATCGGTATCGTTATTGTATACTCCATCGATTTGCATCTCTCGGGTTTCCTACGGCTTTTGTCAACCGAACTGACGCGCTCGACTGGCTTGAGTCTTCACTTTTATGATTTATGCTTAGAGACTGGCAGACGGGCATTTGCCATAATCATTAACAGCCAGCGGGGATTGGGAGTTGGGAGCCAAAGACTTACTCCCCCGGGTTCAGCGAATGAGGAAAGTGGTCAATTTATTTTTGGTGAAACAATTTGGCAGCGATTTGTTCAACAACAATTCAGAGATGAGTTCGTCTCAATTAAGTCAAAAATGTTTTGTGTATGACTTGGTAATGAGTCGAAATGGTTTTCCAGTGTGTTCCAAAGCGTGAAAGACACTAATGGGTCTGGCCCAGAGAACCGTGTATCTTTGGTACGAGTATCTGCGTATCCACGTATCCGCATCTTGGCAAGACAATGCGATGCCTTTCAAAAAACAAAAACACAACTCTCTTTGTTGTCCATGTTTCATGTTTCCATGTTTCCATGTTTCCAAGTTTTTCCCCCAAACTCTGGCCAACTCAAAACTCTGACAAGTTCAATCAACCGTTGAGGTTGAGGCGTGAACTGGGGAAATGGCGAAAAAAAAAACAAAAATGAAAGCAATTGTAAATGAAAATGTAAATTGTAAATGTACATAGTAGATGCGAAATGCAAAGCATTTTTGCAGGCTGAAAATGTGCGACTTTTAGCATGATGAAAAATGCAATTTACTATTTATGATAATTACACACGTCAAGCCGCAGCAAGACAAACGACCAGGCAATTGACTTTTCCTTTTACCCAAAACCAAAAGCCAGAAAAGCCAACAAACAATTTGATTGTTTGCCTTTTGTTGCGGTGCCAAAACGCCAAACACATTAAGACCATTTTGTGGCCAACACCGCCGCCGCCACACGCGACATTTACGTAAAAAGTCGCTATAAACCGAAATGCAAACTTAAGTCATTGCAAAGGCCCACAATGCAACATCGACTTGTGGCATTTTTCATTTTCCTCAACTGCAAGCGGAAAACGGGCCGGCAAATGTACCGCTTTGGACGGTTTTTTTTTTCTAATTTTTTTTTTATTGTTTCAGTTTTCCTGTAGCGGTGATTGTGCCAATAGATCTTTGCTCTTTTTCAGGCTTTTCATTAGCCACAACTGAAGATGGCCAAAGAATGCTGGGTAGCTTCATCTTCAATTGATCTTCGGGCTAAAAACAGCCCACGTTAATTGCCAACCGATCCAGATCCAGATCCCAGGCATACAAACAACCAGCTGACTCCTCTCAATGGTGTTCTTCGTCATGGGATTCGGCTGCTCTTCTTTTAGTTTGAGTCATGATCGATTTGTAGCCGAGTTTGCCAGTCATAAAGGTGTAATACAAATGGGATACAATTTTTTAAAACGAAAGTTTTATTATCCACAAAGTTACAGAATATAGTACGATTTTGAACAAAAAATAAAAAACAGTTGATAGAGACATAAAAAGAACCATATAAATAAGGTATTCTTTTACACAAATAAATCTTGTCTCTAATATAGCAGGTTTGGAAGCCACTAAGCATTTTAACGATTATATTATAGAAGGTTATTTTGTTCTAAACGAAGTCTTAGAAATATAATGGTGCTTTATAATAATGGTAATTGTAGAAATTTAATTAAATTGGGATTTAGATTACATTATATTGAAAATATCCAAATCAAACCATATCAATATGGTTATAAGATTATATCAATCAATGCATGAATAATTCTTTAAATAAGTAGAGGTTGAATCGAAATTTAATTTGATTTATTTCATTTTTAAAATAATCAGAAACTAAAATAATTTTAATACATATCAGTAATAAAACACTAATTTAAGCCTTTTCTCGCATTTTTCAATTCAACAAAAAAAGATCATTTCATCTTCGCTCTATTAATTGAACTTGCTGCCTTTTATAAGGCCAAAACACGACGGCAGCTGGAATGGTAAAAGCTGAATATCAATAACAATAACAGGTGTTTTGGTTGGCAGTGCTTTTGATTTAGCATTAATATACGGTTAATTAGCTGCGATAGGCGGGAACAAAACCAGAGGCCACAAATCATAATGGTTTTGAAAGGCGTTCGATCTTTGGATTGAAAATCGGATTGGATTTCCCGGTGGCACAATTGATTCGCTGCACATTTCACGAACTGGCTACCGCAGATGTTATTTTCCAGTCGTTTCTGTGTTTTTTTCTCATTTTTTCCACTTTTTCCACTCGTAATAACAATTTGGTATTGTCTGCTTCCCACGCCATAAGCCGAAATTAAAAACCAAAGTTAAAGTGTGGGTGAATTTAACACGAAGAGTTCAAAATAATTTCTTCATTGAAATCGGCGGCACAGAAAAGTTGGACAACAATTGCGATGGAAGCTGGGCATTTGGGAGCCATAAACAAACGCCTAATGCCTAACGGTTATTTAACTGTTACTTAACATGCAATTAACCCGGCGTTAAATACTAAAAACAAAAACTGAATAATGCAAATATAACAAGATTCGGTTCGGGTTCAGCTGCGCTGAGATAATCTCTTAAAACTCGGACTACACGCAGATGTGCTGCAATAACTTTCTAACTAAGGGGTCATTCGTCTTAATTATCACACGACTGGGAAAAGCTCGACTTGGAAATTCATTAGGCAGGCCCTTAAAAGATAGTCGAGTATAATCATATACCCTCGGCGGCTGTCCATTGACCCATTTGCATTTGGACAAGTCCAAGATCTAACAAAATTAGTGGGGGAAAAGCCATAAAAACACAAAGAAAGCTGCAGATGGGTTGGACCTACAGTTGCGTAGAAATTGTTCCCACCTTTATGGTTTGTTTGGCTTAATACTCCCCTTCCCGGAGTTCGTGTTAATGCGTAGTTCTTCCAGCCCCGATGGATTTGCTCCTCTTTCTGACATTTAATCACCGGAAGCTATCTTCAAGCATCTCCAGAAGCCCGCTTAATTACGAAAATCTCTTTTTCAGATCCCCACTTCTTGGAGTCTCCAGCTGGGCGCCTGATTTGGATAAATCCATTTACGTTGTGCATTTCATTAGATTCAGTTTGGATACATTCAAATTGGTTTACCATTTCCCGTATTATATTTTCTTTCGTTTGTTTCCTTATGTTTTGAGTCTGCCAATTAGACACGACTCTTGTCTGCCGCTTGTCTTCCACAGATATGGTAAATTGGAGCCACCATTATGTTCGATTGTGGGGAACTGGAAACCATACGTATCTTAGAGTGCTCTGAGTCATTTGTTTGTCGTAGCTCATTGTTATTCTCGGAAAATATGTGATATTTTAATTAATTGATTTGTGGCAAGGTAGACAGTATTGATTACCCTGATAAATTAGACAACAATGATATGATGTACCTTTTTGCAGGTCTCGAATTGCAAGCTTATTTAAAAGGAATACTAATTTGGGTGTTATTAAACATAAACATTAACATAAATCAGACTCAGAGGAGAGTGTATCTTATTATCGCAAAATATTTTTATATCATTAAATAGAAAAGGTATTTTTACAACGTATTTAAAAATATATATAAAGATTTTTATGATCGGGCTACAATATGATTTCAGCTGATGTATTTATAACTAATATTAATATTTATTAAATTCCTTTTTGGTTGAAGCTTTAAGTGCACTTCAAATTAGCAATGGCCCAATTACTTAGGAAACTTTCGGCGCTCGTTATCGATGTCTACATTAATTGCCTATCTGCAATCGAAAGCGCTGATTTACTAATTCACTTACAGCACAAACGCCTAGTTAGTTAATTAATGACTTAGCGTCATAAAACGTGTAGAAACATTTAATCGTCTGCTGTTCACACTCACCTGCTTGATGAAATTAAACGGCGGCATTTTGTGGTCCAAATTGCGGCTGCTGCAATGCAAATGTTTCTTATGTGTGTGTGCTTAGTGTGTGTAAATCTAAATCAAAACATGCAGCTGTACGTTGTTGTTGGCAACTCCAAAAGTAAAACAATTTAATTAACTTTTCGCACCCAGCCGACTATTTGTTGTGTTTATTGCTGTCACCTTTCTGGCATTCGCTTTATCTGGCCGCCTTTTTTGCAATTCGCTTTCGCGTGCTTCTTCGCGCGATTTACCGTTAGCGAGAAAAGAGAGCGCCCAAAGAGTGATAACGCGTTTTGCTTTTTTTTTGGCACTGTTATTTTTGCGCACTTTCAAAACAAATTAACCCGAATTAACGCCAAGCGGAAGTAAAACAAAAGGATATGTGAGTGCGATCCGGTTGCTGATCGGTCGCTTCAACGATAAACTTAACCCGTGAAAAGTCGGCTTACGACTGAGCGAGAAAAACTTCAATTGAAGCCAGATCGCACGTAAATATGTATGTGCACACTTATGTACACACCGCATGTTTGTATGTATGTATGTTTCTCTGCCGACGTCAGTGAATGTGACCCTTTCGAGTTCCACTTTGACCGTGGCCAACATTTTGGGTATTTCTGACCAGTCGACAGCAGAAGCTATTATTAACAATTGCAATGTGTTTGTACGCTAACGAATTAAGCAAAAAGTTGTGCAATTGCAACACCATTAATCGGGAATGCAGCCTGTGGAAAGTGCGACGGTTTGTGGAAGGTATGTACATATGTATGTACAAATATATATAAACAGGTGAAACGCAATTATTGTGCAGCATGCATATTAAAAAAAAAGTTAATAACGAAAGCAACATTTTAAAAAGGTTTGAGTTAATTCTTGCGGAATTACAGTTTTTTTTTATATTGACCTGTTGGATTTTAAAAAGAACACTTGAATGTCAAATTCTTATGCATCAAAATACAGAGGTAAACAATTGGTTCGATATAACAATATCTCTGATAATTTTAAAAGAATATTAATAAAAACTTTTAAGGGATTCGATTTGCAAAATAATTAAATGTTAGTTCACGATAGTAAGTGAATTTCGTAAATTATGGATTTTGATTTAATGAGCCACAAACTATTTACAGGGTATTACCGTATAGAACCCCATTCCTCATTTCTGGGGGACAAGTTTCGCGGTCCGCTGCTCGCTGGTGTCAAAATGCCGACCACTGCGCTGCAGAAATCACCATAGTCATAGTATATGGCTATTCCTAACCCATCGCCCCACCACCATGTCACAGTCATACCCATAAAAACGCAGGGTTCCCAGAACTCCCCGATGGCTTTTGTTGTTCTCGTTTCTGTTTTTATTATCATACCACTCGCATTCACGTGGAGGTGTCGTTAAAATTACAGAGATGGATAACCTGCCCCCATGTGACGTCACTCACTGGTGGGGATGCCCTCGAACTGGTTTTCCTCGGTCTCCTGGTAGCGATCCTTCTCCAGGAGCATGAGACACTCCCTTACCCTCACCCTGGCTTGGGCTATGTCCCGCTGAAGGCGCTCCTTCGGCGCCCGCAAACCCATCACAGTTGGCGACAAATTGGACCGCATCTCGGTCAGGATATTTAGTAGATCGCTGTATTTGTCTACTATATTGGCATTGGCATCGAGATCTGAAAGGAGAAAGGAGTTCTTAGGAATTCAGCTTCGATACCATATTAAAAACTATGTACATATGTAAGTACATATGTAGGATCGGATTTCTAAATTAGAACACATTCATCTATTAAGTTAGGTATTCTTCATAACACAAATTAAACAAACTCATGCCTATAGCATTCTACGCATCTTAAGAATGTTTAGATAACTTTTTCATTATCTTACTTATAGAAGGCTGCATCATCCCATAAGGACCGCAATCCAGTCCGGCTGCTCCCAAATTGCCCCCTCCATTTGCCAAGGACATAAGCTGGAGCTGTGCCTGCATGTACTTGGTGTACTCCAGTTTGGCCATCACCTCCTTGTATTCGGTGGCATAGGCAAGAGCCGCGGCGTTTTGCTGCTGCCTGTTGCGCTGCAACATCGCTAGATTCGCCGTGTAGCTGATTCCAGATGCTCCGCTCACCCGGGTTATCTCCACTCGAGGCTCCTGGTGCTTGACTGCCATCTCCACGTCGGTGGACATCGCTTGCTCCTCGGAACGGGTGGGCACGGCTGTCACGGTTATGTCGCTGTACTTCGAACGAAAGGATTCCATGTCCAGGTACTCCATGCTGGGCAAACACAGTTTTGCCAATGATTATATTTCCTTTGATGGCTAAATTATGTTGACACTTAAGCGATTGATTTAACCAGACCTACTTTGATTTTGTCGTATGCTAATTGACAACTCAGTGTTGAAAAAGTTTTCGAAGTCTTATCCAATTTTTCTAAATTTAAAGGATAGGGTTGTAAGTAGTTTAAAGACTATTAAAACCATTCAAAATCAATGCTTTTTGCTTGGAAAATAGTTGTTGTGACCATTTAATATAAATTCATTCATACATGTATGTACATAAAATGATCCCAAAAAAAAATACCAAAATATCCGGCCTTATGAAATAGGATCTCCCCTTAAACGATTCAAATTTGATTCTTTGGCCAAGGGTAACTTTTTTATTTCTTGAACCCCCTTTTAACCAGTGGTTGTGTAGAAAAGCATACCTTCACTTAGTATTTTGGTGCCTGTTTTGCCTTTATCCCCCCACAAGAACCTTTCTTTCTTTTGGGCTATCGCATGACGAGCGGGTAATTACCGGCTGCAAAACAAAACACGTTCATAAACAGTACATTCTGCTGGCGTTGTCCGTTCGCCAGTTCGCCCGTTCCCCCGCCGGAAACCGCTCAAGCGTGCTTCCCGTTCTGCGCAGGCGCACGCAGCGAATGGCAGCGATGGCATTCCCCCCGGCGATCAACCCAATCTTTTGCCATGACTCATGGAGTATTCAAATAACACAGGCGGCTCTGATCGTCGTGGTTGTTGTACTTATTTCACATGCAAATTTTGACCAGAACTATGTCCAGAATTTCTGGGGTTAACAATCTTCGGCTGGTGCGTATAACAATTTAGTGATCTAGAGTCTGCTTAGTGGCTAGTTAATTGCTGCTCTGGTGCTGGGAGCGAATGATCGCCTCCAGGCTGCGTTCCGTTTGCTCTCCACACTCGAAGCGATGGTAGTCGACAATTTCGCAGCTGTGCTCCTGCAAGACCTCGCCCACCGTCTTATCCGCATCCAGCAGATACTCTTGGTGGATCAGGCACGTCTCGTCGTCCTTGTTCTCCGCCGGCTTGTCCTTGTCGTATTCCCCGATCTTAACCGGCTTCATGCCCACGATCTGCTGGCAGATGCTCTTGTGGAACTCAAAGTCCAGCAGCTTCTGCTCCGATCGGTAGGCGACAATAGCTCCGTACTTGCCCACCTGGGTGATGCCCTCGGTGGTGCCCACGTTGGTTGGAGCCGGGTGGGCGTAGCCAACCAGTTTCAGATCGTTGTTGACCTTAAAGCACAGTGCCCGCCGGATGGTGGCATTCTCGCCGATGGCGCCGATCAGCAGGGCCAGGTGGTCACCCAATGTGCGACCCTCCTCTGTCCGCAGGTTCTTAAGGGCGTCCGCATCAAAGCCGAGCTGTAAAGAATATCTATATTAGTATGTGATAACTATTTTAAGAAAGGGTTGCAAACCGGTTCGGTATAGAGAGGAGTATCAAAAAGCTATATAAATTCGAAGTTTAATAAGAGTTTGGCTATCAGAAAACTTTGTTCTTTTTTTAAAGTTGTCTTTCTTATCTCTAATCATATTCATGACTTATTAATTAATAAAAACCGACTATTCTTTAAGTCAATTTTAAATTCAGTATGTTTGTATCTTTCCCTTATGAGTATCGAATTTTAATACACAGTCTGAACCTGGAACTAATACGCCTAATCAGGGTTTTAAGATATATGCATTGAAAGCATTATTTAACTTTCGCACCTTCCACAGATCGCCATCGAAGTCCGTCAAGTCGGTGTAGTGCAGACACATGCAGGCAACGTGATCCACGAATCGCTTGAAGGTGTCGTTCCTGGCCACGAAATCCGTTTCGCAGTTAAGCTCCACCATGGCGCCACGATTGCCGCGGATGAGGACTCCAATTAGACCCTGAGCGGTGGCTCGATCTGCGAGTTTGGTGGCCTTCGTCCAGCCGAGCGACTGGGCCTGCTCATGCAGCCATTTTTCAGCCTTTAAGGTAAGAAATGATTTAAATTATGCATAATATGAGGTAGTAAGCTGAGTTATAGAAACTATATGGCTGGTTATAGACGATGCAGTAATTGCATTCACGTATTTGCTGGCTATGGGAAAATAATAGTGATATATAGTTGGGCATTTAATTTCCTATATTATCCAATCGTCGGTTAAGTTAATCACTTATCCTTCAAGTAAAGCCAGGGCTTAGAAGGATAATGCTGCCTCTATATCGTTTATAACCAACTTAAAGGATTACCCAGGTATTTACCCACCAAGCCGATATCGTTGTTGTGCTTTTCCAAGGCTTTCTTGCAATTGGCAAAGGTGTAGCCGGTCTTTTTCCTTAGGGCCGCCAGTGCGCTCTTCTCCAGACCTCCAGTTCCACCAGTTGCGGCGTAAAGTTGCCGCGTGGAGTGCAGGGCACGGGTGAAAATCTTTTGAAACAGCATTTTCCAAGCCGAGACTTTTAAGTGAGACCTAAACTGATGTGTGTTTTTTAAAGGGGGAGGATGTGTAGACTTGTTGCTGTTTGCCTGCTGCCAAGGGCAACGTTTTTCCAGTGTCTGTTATTCCGACCTGTCGTTATGTGTTTTCCAAGCAGTTGCCACGAAAATCAATTCATTCTAAACAACCGGAACGTGTGTGATTTTCATTTGTTTTCTACTCCTTCGTGTGTTCGGATCGAGTCAGTTTAATTAATCGCGTTGCGGCGCGAATTAATCCAAACTGTGTGTTTGCCTCGATAGGTGAACGACTGGTAAGTCGGCAGGTCAATTTGCCTGATTCGTGTGCGGAGTGTGGAATTTATTTGACGTCTATGAAAATTTTGACAAATTTTCCGGGTTGCACAATTCGACAAGTTAGGGATGGCAAAAAAGCCGGTCAGACGCGTGTGTTAAACAGCTGTTTGCCAGCAACCGATATTTACGCAACTATCGTTTGTCAAATGGCGTCCAGCGGAGACAGCAACCTCTTACCCGGTTACAAACGTTTAGAAACGGTTAAAGATTTGTTTGAAATTTTGAAATTTATTCTTAAATTCCTAAAATAAGGTTAACTTTCTGACCTATTTTTCCTACAGTGCAAAAATTTTTCTTTTTTATAAGTCTAATTTTGTAAAAAAAACGAGAATTTTTCATTTATGCATGTCGAATCAAGCATTTGAAAAATGTACAGGTTTTCCAATAGAACAGCAACTTATACATATTCTATATTGATCACGAATACAGTTTTTTAAAACATTGTTGATATTTTTTAATTGTTTAGTTCATTAAATTTTATTTAAATTCTTAAATATTAAAAGGTTTGAAACATTCGAACAATTCAAACCTTTTTAGCTTATATATGTTTCTTCATATTTTAGTTATATACTTTATGGCTTTCAAATTTAGTAAAAGGTTTGAAACGGATAGGTAAGATAAAATTACCTTGTGAAAAAATTCAAAAATTATAAAATTTGTATTTCATTTCAAATTAATATGGGAATTTTGTTCCGTTTTCAGGCCGCAACATGCAGAGAAGACAGAATCCGAATCGGGAGATCAGCATCCCAAGCTTCACGTCCATATGCGGTGCCCGCCGCCTGTGCGACAAGTCGAAGATGCTGTACACCCGACCCAAGCCGGATGTCCTCCAGAGCATCCTGCAGTCGAAGGCCAATCCGGAGTACAAGTCGCGTCGCCTGTGGTACGAACTGAACATGCCGGAGTGCGCCAGCTCGCTGCTGGACGGCAAGATGCAATCCGACCTGCCAGACAGCATCCTCTGCATGAGGAAAAACCAGGGTAAGAAACGCCAGAAGAAGCACGACAGCGCTGTGGCCAAGGCCAACTACATGACCATGCGCCTGGAGCGGGAGCACTTCCGGCGCAAGCTGGTAGAGCTCATCCTTCACATGGACGACGACCAGGATCCCGAACTCGCCGCTCAGTGTGCCGTACCCTTTCCCGACCAGGAGGAGCGCGAAATACTGCGCTACTACTACTACATCAAGCATGGAATCGACACCATTCACGTGTCTCCGTTGAGCAAAAAGATTCTTAAGAGGTGGGTTCGGCTCTCCTCAGGTTACTGATTAATATGTTATTGAAGTTACGTGTGATGTTAGTCATGTTATGATTATTTGATGATTTTTCCCTGCAATAAGGTATTTCTTATATTCAGCTGCATTTATAATAATAGTAATAGTAGCAAAACAAGTTAAGCTAAATAAAAGCTTTTCGATCCTTTTCGTTCCTTTTACTGAACAAAAACAGAATTTAAGAATTTTTTAATTTATAAATTGTGTTAAAACTACAAGTCCTCTATAGTTATTAGTTTTTTTTTAATTTTTATACCCAGTTTAACAATAGTTATGGTTTTTAAAGGCTTAAAAATTTAGTTTTTGAACAGACATGTGTACATTTTGATATCCTTTTGCATTGTAAAACAATTCCTCAATTAAAAACTGATATATATTTACAGGATAACAGATCTTGTGCCACCACTGCTGTACAAATGGCAGACGGCCCTCAATGAGAATATAGCGGAGGTCCGAGCGGATTATGTTTTCGCCATGAAGAAGGCCGTTGTGGACTTTGTCCTGCGGCACACTGTTCTCGATCGTTTGACCAAAGAAGGAGTGGGCGGAAAATTCGACACCGCCGAGCGGAAGGAAGTGCAATCCATGACGAACTTCTGGCGATATCGGTGAGTTTTTATTGGCAATCAGCCGTATACGTGTATCTCTTGACATGAAAAATGCGCTTTCAATGAAATTTTCATGCTAAAAATGGCTCAGAAGCGGCAAATGGAAGAAAAACAAAATTTGCCCAAATAGGTAATGACATTGTCAACAAAATTGGAAACATTTTGTGACTTCAGTTACATTGTTTTTTATACAATTAGTATGCTAAAAAAATCAAAACTTTCCTTAAGCCGAATGGATGTTGATTAATAATGACTGTGCCATCGAAAAGGGTTCGATTTTGTTGTTTTCCACAACATTTCCTTGATAAAATCCCTTTAGCTCGCATTGAAAATGCGTTTTGAATGGAATTTTTTTTTGCAGTAAGTGCTTAACATGAGCAAATTAAATCGAAACTT